AACCCTAACCCTAACCCTAGCCCGTCGATAGGCGTGTCGTGCTAGATTGCGATGTTGATACAGTATTTTCATCGGGACCGTTCTCCGAGATCGAAAAGCGAAAGTGATGCCGCAGCACACATGATCTGGGTCGATCTGGTCCTTCCGAACAGGTCATTGCTGCAAGCCATATACCTCGCATCGAAGCATGTTGCAAGCTACATGAATACTTTTGAAGAGATCTATTACATCGTGGTCACTGTGTTGAAGTCAATTTCGAAGGCTGATTTGGAGTTCAAAAGTCGCGCAAGGATTCGGAGGTCGGCCCTCGATCGCGCAAACTCGGCTCCTTTACTTTTCGCGGGTCGATCGGATAGTGATCCTCGACACACGATGGAGGACTTTCTTAATGGATTTTTTTCAATCTTGATGGAAAAATCCATGCGGTGCTTTGCGGTGTCAAAGCATACTTTCAGTCATGATTGTCGGTGAGGGATGCGGGCCGCAGAGTTTCGACTTTGCGTGAAAATCGAGGAAGCCCCTCGCTGTCGAATCACGGCATACCTCTGCAAGTAGCTGTTCTTCACACATATTTACTTGCTACAGTCGTAAAAAGTCTATAGGACACAGGCTACGGATCCGATTGCAAAGTTGAAGCCCACTCTAAACGGACCGCGGCATGTCACTGCAGCTCCGTCACCATGGGCGACGCATACGCATGAGCAACACATACCATCGATCCAGTGAGTCACTGTGACGTACTCCGAGATAGTTTTAGTTGCGTTCAGCAGATGGCAGTCCAGAGTTCATGTCGGATTTGATACAAGAACATACCATAGAGGTCTTTGCGGCAGAACCATGTCCGAGGCCGCAGGAAAACCCGGCAAGAATGGGGCAAGAAGATCCAAAGGTTCTCAGACATGCACATATGAGCTCAAGACCACCTGGTATTGCATCAAAGAGCACATCCTCAATTATTCGTACCCCAGAAATGCAGGGAAAGAAGTGAAAGGAGCAAACGTCGCTCGAGCAGTTGACCAAAGAGTCAAGGTGGTCCTTCGTTCTCAATGTCAAGGCGAGCGCGCACGACGCTAGGTCGCCCAGAAGAGTTCGCATGGTTGACGAAGCCTCCTCACACAAGTGATTGGCGATTGTCGAGTCTTGAATGGCGGAAGCAGCAGCGGCAAAGACGAGAGCTTGCATGCTCCTCGACAAGGGATCTGTCCCACCGAGTTGAGTTTTGAGGTCGGGGGCGATTGAGGAGATCGAACTCGAGCAAAGCAGGTCTCGCCGAAAAAGTCTGGATCCTCAATTGGAAAGAGTCGACGATCATTCATCCATGAGAGCGAGAAACGGTTTCGAGCGAGTTGGAGTCTGAAGAGTCGAGCTAGGCGCAGGCTGGAATCTGAGAGCGAAAGAAAAGTCAAACATAAGCAAGAGTGCACCTACTTGCAAAACAAGGTGTGGAGGAAGGGAGGGCTCTTAAGTTGATGGCATGCACTGACCTTTCGGACGTGTGCTCGCTTTGTGACTGCCAAACGAGTTCGTTTACACCCAGCGAGGTGAATGCATGAAGAAGCGAAGCGAGGGGAGATGGAACACCGTGCGTCGCTGATCGCGGTCCATGACCGCATGACCAGGGCTGCTAAAGCGGGTACGAACGTGCATGTCGCAGAGGTGGGATGGTGATCGCACGAATAGAGCTAGTCGAGCAAGTCGCCGAGTTGGATTGAGAATGCAAAGGACCGTCACGGTCCGAGGCCGAATTCGAGCGCCGAGTGGTCCGGAGATGCCCGAGTCCTGGCTGTCTGATTCCAACGTGCGCAACCTAAGACGGTGTTCGAGTAAGATGTGAACGAATGAGGAGGTGTTCGGTGTGAAATCTTGAGAGCTTTGCCAGCAAGTCGATTGGTCGGTGCGATCAACGAAGTAGCGTGTCAGCGTGCAAGTCCGGTCAACTTGAACGGCAAGGAGAGCGGGAATGTGGGATGTTGAGGTGCCATGGGGTGAAACGTAGACGATCTGGGATGCCTTGACAAGCTGGATGACGAAGGCGGGCGATTGAGCAATTCGTTCGCGGCGGCTCGAAAGCCGCTGGGCGAGCAAGGATCCCCGGCGAATCTCCGTGGCGAGAAGGCCGAAACTGGTCTGCGTGCTGGAGACTTGTCGCAAGAGAAACCGAGGAATGGTAATGAATGAATTCGGATGTGGGCCGTGCGAGCGTGTGAGCGAATCGGGGCGAAGCTCCATTCGAGGAAGCGCTCCCATTCCGGGTTGTTCGTAACCAACAATCTACACTGCGCAGTGACACGGCATATCTTCGTCTCATCAGCAAGGGGTGCAAGTCGCAAGCGAGAGCTCAGATCGAAACAGCTCACTGTGGGCGGTCTGAGCGAGTCGTCCGAGGTCGAGCAGTTCCGGTCGCGATGGCTCAAGTGAGCAATTGACATAGCCCGGACGCAAATGTAGGTACCTTCGAGCTCGTTATCGACTCGTTGAAAGCCGATTGGCGATGTTGATGGTGCTGCAGTTGCTGAATAGGTTCCGCGCTTGCCTCAGCCGGCTCGGGTTGACACTTCAAGTGCCGGGTCGAGTAAAGTCGAGCCGCATGTACCGGCCAAGTGACGTTTCAACGTGACGGCAAGATGTTGCGTCGTCGTGTGTTTGTGCACTGAGAGTAAAAGACGAATGTGTCGAGTGGTGCGAGGGATTGGCGGATATCGAGTCTTGGGTGGCGGAGGCAGCGGCGGCAAAGTTGAGAGCTTGCACGCTCCTCGAATCTCTCGCACCGAGTTGAATTTTGAGGTCAGGGCCGATTGAGGGGAGATCAAAGTCGAGCAGAGCAAGTCCCGCCGAAGAAGTCTGGATCCTCAATTGGAAGAGTCGACGATCATTCGTCCATGAGAGCGAGAAACGGTTTGTAGCGAGTCGGAGTATAAAGAGTCGAGTTAAGCGCAGGCCGGATTCTGAGACCTGGTGGAGCGAAAGAAGAGTGACACATAAGCAAGAGTGCACATACGGGCAACACGCGGTGTGGAGGAAGGGAAAGCCTTCGGGTTAAAGGCACTCACTGACCTTCCGGACGTTTGCTCGCTTTGTGACTGCCAAACGAGTTCGTCGCTACCAAGCGAGGTGAGTGCAAGAAGCAAAGCGGAGCGCGAGGAGATGGAGCACCATGCGATACTGATCGCGGTCCATGACCGCATGACCAGGGCTGCTGAAACGGGTACGAACGTGCATCTTGCAGAGGTGGGATGGTGATCGCACGAATAAAGCCAGTCGAGCGAGTCGCCGAGTTGGATTGAGAATGCGAAGGACCGTCACGGTCCGAGGCCAAAATCGAGCGGCGAGTGGTCCGAAGAAGCCCGACTCGGGACTTCATGTTTCAACGTGCGCAACGTAGGATGGAGTTCGAGTAAGTTGCAAAGCAATGGGGAGTGTGCCGTGGAACGCCTCGAGAGTTTTGCTGGGAACTTGATCGGTCGGAGTGATCGACGAGGTTGAAAGCCAGTGTGCAAGGACGGTCGAGTTGAACGGCAATGAAGACAAGCGGGAATGTGGGATGTTTGGCATGATGGGTTGAGACATAGACAACCGTTAACGTTTGTACGCATGAGAGTGTTTCGTGGCACATCTCAGGAGCTGTGCCGTGAAGTCGATCGGTCGGAGCGATCGACGAGGTTGGGAGTCAGCGCGCAAGTCCGGTCAACTTGAATGGCGAGGAAGGCATGTGCGGATGTTTAGAGCCATGGGTTGAAACGTAACGGTCTGTGATGACTTGAAAATCGAGATGACGAGCGCGGGCGATTGAGTAATTCGCACGCAGCGCTTTGAAAGCTGCTGGCCGGCGGATCTCCGAGAACGTCGACGCTAGTCTGCAGGATGGGAACTTGTCGCAAGAGGAGGACCGGGCAAGTGACGTTTCACCATGACGGCAAGGTTGTGCTTGGTCGTGTATTCGCGCAGTGAGAGAAAAGACGAGTGGTGCGAGAGATCGGCTAATAACGAGTCGTGGGCGGCGGAGGCAGCAGCGGCAAAGATAAGAGCTTGCACGCTCCTCGACGGGCGATCTATCGCACCAAGTTGAGTTTTGAGGTCAGGGTCGATCGAGAGAAGATCGAGGTTGAGCAAAGCAAGTTTCGCAGAGAGGGTCCCGATTCTTGATCCGAAAGAGTCGACACTCATTCATCCATGAGAGCTAGAAACGGTTTCGAGCGAGTCGGAGTTCAAAGCGTCGAGTGAAGCGCAGGCCGGAATCTGAAACCTGGTGGAGCGGAAGAAAAGTCAAACATAAACAAGAGGGTACAGACTTGCAATACGCGATGTGTGGAGGAAGGGAAAGCTGACAAGTTGAAGCACTCACTGACCGTTCGGACGTTTGTTCGCTTTGTGACTGCCAAACAAGTACGGGGGATGTTTGGAACGACGAGTTGAGACGAAGTGGCTTTGGACGGATGACTCGACGAGCAGGATGACGGGCGCGGGAGGTTGAGGGAGTCGCGAGGCGGTCGAGACGGGGTGATAGTGCTCGAGCCGATGAAGGTCTCGGACTGCACATCGACGAAATCAGTCGGGCCGTGCAACAGATGTTCCGACAACCCCCGGGCTTGCCGCATCGTTGAGACTCTTCGATCCGATCAAGAAAGAAGCGTGAGGGATTGCATTCGAGTGATCGATCGACGTTGACGACGCGAGTGAACGATGTGGGGGTGGCGGAGGAGATCGTCACCGGTCGATAGTGGTGTGCGGGGCGCGGCGATGTGGGTCGAGTGACATATGCATCGATTCGAGACCTGGGGAACGGTGAGCGTCTCCTCGATGGACCTGATGTGGGTTGTGCATTGTGATCGCAGAGTATGGTCCTACAAGTCACAGAGCGGTTCGGTGCGAAGCTCGGATGGCAGCGAGTCGGCCAACGCGCGATCTGAACTAGAGTGATGAGCAGCAAAGACGATCACGAGGTGAGCGAATGAAGTGAGAGCTTGGTACTACCTGAATGAAGAGCTCACCCACACTCATCGGTCGACTAGCGAGTGGGCGATCGGGGTGATCGAGCCGGTGCAATGACCGAGCACGTGTGCGACCCAGGACACTCGAGCGATGCATCGACGCAAGGCTAGCACGCTGCTGAAAGTGACCACGCCCTTTCAGATCAACCTGTTCAGCGTATCTTGCTGAAGATGACGATGTTGGAGTCGTTGATATTCATGTCGTGCGACGTCGCACCGTGCCCACCTCAGTCGGCTTGAGGTGACACGTCGAGCTGTAGTTGAGAGAAATCGAGTTGCATCTTGCTGATTGAATGGCGCATGCGAGCGATGTGAAAGCATGTGACGTCGAGTTGTGGCATGGTGCGATCAATGCCGAGTCCGACTCGAGTGGTGCGAGTGAGAAGTGAGTGGGGAGAGGGAAAGGAGCGTTGGCGCGCGCGAACGTGAAGTCAAGCCTATACATGCAGTGGGGTTGCAGTACAGACACGAGATCTGCGGTACAGACATGACAATTTCGATTCATCATGAGTACTAAAATACCCATGCTATCATGTTCTCCTTGCAGACTCAAAGTGATTCTACTCATATAATTGCTCAACAGCATCAGTATTATCTGATATTATGGACCTAAAATCAAGGGACGGACATGTCCGTCCCCTCATGTCCGTCCCCTTGATTTAGGGGACGGACATGTCCGTACATTTGTTCTGGCCCGACGACAAGAGGCAGTGGACCGCGCGCGGCAAAGTCGTCAAGGCCAAAACGACTAGTGTAATTGAATACACTCAAAGCACAATGCATAATAGCACAAATTAAGCATGTACACACCAGTTGGGATCGGTACAGAGTTAAAATAAACTTATCTACGTCTACAAGTCCTCAAGTCTGCCGTGCCTCCGCTCCAGCGATACACCGAAGCCCGAAATGGGTTTCCCATTTCGGAGATCGCGAGCGCCGGTGGCCGAAGGCTGCGAGGGCCGGCCTCAAGTGCGCTGGTGGGAGGCATTTGCCCTGGTATGGAAAGTGCCCAAATAGTGAGATCTGTTTCGGCACCGGCCGGTGCGGGAACAAGAATCGAGCGCAGTCTTCTCCCTCGAGTGAGATCTGATTCGGCACCGGCCGGTACGAGAACTGGAATCTGAGTCGGCACCGGACGGTGCGAGAACAAGAATCTGATTCGGCACCGGACGGTGCGGGAACAGGAATCGAGCGCAGTCTTCTCCCTGGAGTGAGGTCTGATTCGGCACCGGACGGTGCGGGAACAAGAATCTGAATCGGCACCGGCCGGTGCGGGAACAGAAATCGAGCGCAGTCTTCTCCCTCGAGTGAGATCTGATTCGGCACCGGACGGTGCGGGAACAAGAATCGAGCGCAGTCTTCTCCCTCGAGTGAGGTCTGATTCGGCACCGGCCGGTGCGAGAACTGGAATCTGAGTCGGCACCGGACGGTGCGAGAACAGGAATCGGCACCGGCCGGTGCGGGAACAGGATTCGGCACCGGACGGTGCGGGAACAGCAAATGAACGCAATCTCTCTGCATGGCCACGAAAAGTTCGAGCTACACTGGGTCGTGCTGATGTTGAGTCGATGCAATGAAGATCAAAAACACAACATCACGTGACTTTTTTGCCTCTGGGGCCACCACCTAACTCCAAGAGCTAACCTTTTTTAGGGGGGGGGGGGGGGGGGGGGGGGTGATTTACCTATAGACTTAGCGAAGCGCGCGCGGAGATTTCGGTGGATGCCACCTTCGAGGGCGTTCGTGCCGCGCCGACACGAATACAAGCGGACACCATCATCAGCTGTTCCATCAGGTCCACGACAAGGTCCGAGGTCGGTGTAAAGCTCGATGCCCACTGGATCAGAAAGCTGTCCCTTTCGAACGAGTTCGAGACACCTTTTCGCAGCGAGGAGTGCAGCCTTATTGAAGAGGGGCTGCTTTGTTTTAACATCGAGCAACGACCCGAACGTCTCGAAAACTTCCCTGACCAATGGCTCAAGAATGCTTGGAGGAGGAATCGTTTCGTCGGACACGCTTCCAGATGTATTTGGCGTGAGCGGGCGACCGTGTGGCTTCGTCGAAAGTCATCATCGCTTTGGCGAGTCGTATCGACACTAGGTGCTTGTCGTCTAGGTTGACGACATAGATGGCATCGGAGAGAGCGCGAAGGAAAGCTCTTGTAGCTCCGTGCTTTTTCGAAAGATAGATCCTCTGGAAAAAATGGAAGGGATCCATGAGAATTTGGGGTTGGGGATCATCGAGCGACGAGGCTGACCAGATGAAAGAGATGGAAATGGAATGAGCCTCAAATCGAACTCAACGGAGGAACCGGAGAGACCAACCTTTGTTTCCTTCGGCAGCGTCTAGGATGACCGAGATCGCAGCCGCAGTCGTCTCGCAATGTTTGAGTAAGAGCGCTTCTTCGATCTCAGCGGTCGCCGCATCGAGACTGTCGTCGAAGTCTTCCGTGTGCTCTTCCATCTCCGTTTCTCTCGTGCAGGAATTCGCCACGGCGCTAACGTCCAGTGCTTTTGGAGGCGAAGATATTTTGAGCCGAGGACAGCGACGGCTTGTGAGCGGACGTGGATGTGTGAGCTGAGCTGTTGACGGAACTCTCGATGGTAACCTCATCGTCCAAGTCGACCACGAGAGCATCGAGCGCAAAAAGCAACGGGAATGATCCGTCACCGCTTTAGGAGCGAACGTTGCTGTCAGTGTTCTGTTGACAAGGCGCGCGCATCGAGCGCATTCAGGGATCAGGCAGGCAAAGGAAAAAGACCAAAAAGGGGAAGGGACGAGGCTGTATGCGAGTGAAGTAGTGGCATGAAAAGTGAACAGTATAAAGAGTGAATTCTTGACAGCCTCAACTTCCTCCTCCATCCATCATGGAAGCACTCCAGCAGCCTTTGCTTGAGCCAGTATTCTCTCCGCTTGAAGAAGCTATGAAGAGAGCTCGAAAGCAAAGTCAGAACGCTGCGCAGGCACTACTGCGTATCGACCTTCATCAGCCCGGAACGTTCTCAATTGAACTGACCATTGGAGCATCAATCATGGCGGAGTTGCCATCCTCCCCGACCAACCCGTAGGCACCTGCTCCCCCTAAAGACGCAACATTGTACTGTTCGAGTATTCTAGTCGCTCGCTCGATGTCTGTCCCGCAAGTAAACCGTTTCAGCAACAAGCCTCCCACCTCCTCCGCCCAATTTTCGCGCGGGTGCCCACCTTTCTCGGAAGGGGTGAAGCACTTTTGCACGGTCTCGACCTGGTTCGGATGAATACACTGCTTGCCATCAAAGCCCAACCGCCGAGCCTCGGTTGCCTCTTCCTCCAACGCCTGCGTTGCCGTCTCCCCCTTGTACGCCGTGCGAACAAGATCGATCGCGCCGAGTCCGAACGCCTTGGCGACGGCGACGATCTGTGATCGGACAAAGAGCATCTCCTGCCTCGATTCGGTGCGAATGATGTTGGAAGAGGCGCAATAGTCTTCTGCGGCAAAGAGCAAGGCGTCGATCCGGTTGGAGCAGGTTGCGATCTCCTTGAGGTTCATCAACGACAGCGGCGACTCGACGGAAACGACGAGTTTGATCCGATCCTTTGTCGCTTCCAAGCCATGCTCCGAGATGCAACGATCGACGACTTGGACATCTTTGACGGTGTCGACCTTGGGGATGACGATGCCTTGGAGGTTGGACGATTTGAGCACGACTTGGAGGTCGTCGAGGCCAAAGGAGCGAGTGGGGGAGTTGATCCGCACGAACAGCTGCGATCGGGTCGAGTCGGCCGATTGGAGCGCACTACCAGAAAGCAGACAAAAAAGAGTTGATCTGATTGAGCGTCTGCAAGACGCCGATCACTGCGTCGCATGTCCTCGGTCGATCGCACCCGGTCGGGATTGCCCCCCACTTTTGCAGCCGATCACCGCTCACGAGCCAATACTCACTCGAACACGTTCTGCCTCGCCGCGCCTTTTTGGCCCGTCGCAACCGAGTCCTATGGGAAGCACCGGATGCGGATCAGGGCTCGAAGCAGCGCTTACATTGACCGCACCTGGGCTGGGCACCGACCTCGAGGTCCAAGATCAACGCGTCGCTGGTCGCCTTGCTCAACGCACTCCGCAGCATCTTGACGTTCGATCCGGGAACATACAGCAACGCCCTCCTCGCCGATACGGACCGCGCGGGTAGCTCCGGGGCAAGCTTGGACGTGGATGCGGGTGCCGACTCGGAGTCGCGCGCTCCAAGTGGGGCAGCAATGAACGTGCGGCGATGATGAAAAGGCTGCGGTGCGACAGTCGGCCGCACCGCACACGTACAAGTAGAGCGGGTGTAACGAGAACTCGAAACGATCGCCCGAAGAGCGAATGGACTGGGAATACAAGCGAGCGGTGACATGGCTGCGACGGAAGATCGTAGATGATCGAGGCGGGCGAGTGTAGGCAGTGGGGAAGAGCGAAGCGCTGGCGAGAGAGCGAGCGCAAAGGACGACGATGAGCTCTCATCAACCTCATCTCGGCCAGTCTCGGCCCGACTCGCTCGAGGTCAATCACGTCACCATTTCAACGCGCAGGATCATTGGTGGAACCATCATCAACATTACAACAACAGAACGTTCAACGATCATCCGGCTCCCTCACCTCCTCACCGCTCCACTCCTCCTCCCCAAGTCGGACATGCTGGGGAAGTAATCGCTCAATTCCGACGGTGCGCGGCCAACCCTCATTCTCCCCACGCTACTCCCCAACCCAGGCATCATCATCCCATCCCCACCCCACCTCTTCCCACTCACGGACCCATTCAACGATCTGATCCCCCTCTGCCCCATCATCGGCGGCGAGACCCTCGACCTCGCCCAAGATTCGGTCGATCCCGCACCGGACGAGATCCCGCTCGAGATGGACCGTTCAGGCCTAACCGCTGCCGCAGCTCCGATCCGATGCACCCTCTTGCGCTTGGCCTTGATCGGTGCACCCGAATTCGGTTCCCTCGAAATCCCAATCGGGATCATCGACTTGGCTCCATCCTCGCCCAAGCTCGCAACGTGCCCCACTTCAGCCTTGACTCGCACATTCCCATACGGCGTCGATCGTGCCGTAAAGTGCTCGTGGTTCCTCGTAAACGGCGAGAGCGTGTAATTCGAATGATTCAGCGTCGTCAAATGACCGCACTGCTCATTGTTGGCGGGGTTGAGCGTGATCGGTAGATCGTCGTCGTACGAATCGTGGAGGATCGACGAAGGCGAACACGACAGCAGATCGATCGGCGTGGGTCGAGTAGGCGGGTACACGAGCGCTTCTTCCTCCTCTTCATCGGGTCCCTCCCCGATCATGATTGGCGACGTGATGGAAGAAGGCGGCGACGAGTATCCCGAACCGACGGACGAAGGTCCGCGCGTCGCCATCCCACTCATCGAAAGCTGCGACGACAATGCTGATCGATGCGCCTCGAACACGTTCCTCCTCACATTCGGAGCCGACGACGACCTCGGCAACGAAGGATGCACCTGCTTTCGCTTCGCGGCCGACGTTGACGAAGACAATTTCGGAAACGGGAACCGAGCCGAAGATGCGCCCGCGATCGAAGCCGTGCCCGCTCCATAAAGTCGCAAGGTGTCCAACACGCCAGCTCGATGAGACGGATGATCAGGTGGCGAACCGAACGGATCACTCGCGATCGATTCGGTCGAGACGCGCCCCAATCGAGCTCGAGTCGTCGCGGCCGTCGTCGAGGGACTCCCGTGCGCCGTTAATGAGCCCTGACTATACGTTCGAGTGCGCATCTGCGACTGGGTGTGAAACACGCGAGGTCGAGTGATCGTTCCGCCTCCGACTGCAGGGATCGTCTCGTACCGATGTCGAGGGTGGTCGGGATCGAAATCGTCAAACTCGAGACCGTCGTCTTCCTCATCGTCGTAGCCGTGATGTCGATCGAGATGCGACCCCCCACTTGCCCACTTTTTATCGCTGACGCCGTCGAGATCGGGCATCCCCACGAATTCAAAGTCGAACGAGTCAGAGTCCTCTTCCCCTTGCTCGTCCAACACGTCCCCCAATCCTCTTCCACTCGCGCCCGTCCGAACCACGCGTTCATAATTCGCAAAGCCGGTGTTTTGGGGTGCCGACTCGGGTCGAAGTCCGTAGGTCGGGTCGTAGTTCTCGATCGACTCGGGCACCGAATCGAGCACGTCCAAGATCGACGTTGACGAAGGGGCGAACGAACTCGATCTGGCATGGGCTTTCGGCCTGCTCCTCGACGTACCCGCCGTTCGATCGCGCTTGCCTTCGAAACCTCTACTCGTCTCCGAATGCGTCTCTCTCCCTCCGAGCGTCGTAAAAGTCGTCGCGCCTCCGTCCGAACGATACTCTACGCTCTCGGCCTTATCGACGTCCAAATTCAAATCACCCAACCTCGTCGTCAGCGCCCTGGTCCTCATCTTCTCCCCCGTACCGACCGTCGTTCGAGTCTGGATCGTAGCTTCCTTGCTGAACCCATTCGACATTCCCCTCCTCTTGGATCCAGGGATCGCCGCTCCCCGCTCAGCAGTTTTAACCTCTCCGGACAACCACTTTTGCGATAACCTATGAATCACGCTCGGTAAATCCGAACGAAACGCTTCTCTAAGTTGCGCCTCGATCTCACGTTGGATGTAACCGGCGACGGAATCGACGCCGTCGAAGGAGGAAGAAACGTTGACCGCTTCGAGGGGGTCGTTCTTGAAGACGAGGGTGATGCCTTTTTGTCTCGAGACGACGAGGACGACGATCGCTCGGAGGGAGAGGTTCGAGAGGCGCAAGGTCATCGGAACGACGAGCGGAGCGGCGGCGAAGAGGATGCGAGGGGTGCCGAGGATGTCGAGCGCGGGACGGGGGACGTTGAGTGGGTTCGCCTTTTGTCGACCGGAGGAGTGTGCGAGAATTAGTCAAAAAGTTATTTTTCTGGGTTTACTTTGCCTTTTGTTCTGCGCTCCAAAACTGACCTGGACCTTGGTTTGCAAGACGATGTACGCATCGCCGGAGTAACTCAAACGAAAGATGCCTCTGAAACGATCGGTCGAGAGGTCCCCAATCTCCAGAATCTCCAGTTCGGGGGGCTGTATGAAAAAGTTGCGTAAAGCGTTTTGGTCAGATACAGCTTCGTGATGAACCCCCGAGTTGCGTCTATAAGGCGTACGAGGGTGCCCATGTTCAATTCCTTGACCTCGATCCTATCGGCGATGATCGGCGGGGTTTCGCCCTTGTTCAGTGCCTGTGAGAGATCGATCGGTCACCCGGACCGCGATGATGAGAGAGAGAGAAGGTGAGTAACGAACGCATCACATCACGATCACCCACTCGGCTCACACACCTGAGCTAGGATCTCTTTGGCGGATTCGTAAAACTCGGGACTGAATTCGGGCCATTCGAAATTGAAGGACATGGTACCAATCCGACGGGTGAGACAGCCCGCCGAAGGGTGCACGAGGCAAAGTAGTACTTTGAAGGGGAGTCGTAGATGCTTCGTAAGCGTTCGTGTGACACGCTCACTCGCTCGTCTGCGATCGACCAGCCGAGATGACGGTCCGAACGCGTACGGGTGACGATCCTCGAGTGGGCAGGGCACTACACGAGACAAAGCTCGATAAAGCACGCCGTCGTCGTTGTCGCCCTCGTCGCGGTGATGGTCGTGCAAGGCGCAGAGAGCGCAAGTGATCAGTATCGGTATCGCCAGAAGCTTGAGAGTGAGGCGCCTGTCTTTGAGCGAGGACTTGCGAGAGCGAGATGACGAGGGCGTTCGGCAACTTAGGTCCGAAAGTTCGGTGATCGACGACGGGATTCGCACGCCAAATCTCCGGGGGCGTGAATTTCGTCCTAAAAAAGAAGAAGATTTCCACCTATCACTTCCGTTGCGGCTGCTCGAACGAGCGACTCCGTATGCAGAGCGCTCGACTCGTCGAAACGAGAGAGCACTCGGTTCAATCGACGAAAAGTTCGGGTGACTGGATAGTACTGACACTAAAAGGGTGCCCAAAAAAGACTGTCTTCGTCATCGCTCAACCCCCCAAAAATAAATCATAGCCCTTCAATTTCAGGTCCCCCACGAACGCATCTACACTCTCAACTCGAACGCCCGCCGATCGCTCCCCCCTCCCTCGCTCGGAATCTACGAATCTACCAAAGCAACGAGCTCATCCCTGCGCGCATCCTCGAGTAATCCAACAAACCCTCGACCCGTCCGACAGCGGCGAGCGCGAAATCCTTATCCCACAAATACTTTTGCGCGACCCTCTGGATCTCGCGCACGTCGACGCGCTCGATCGCGGCCTCGATCTCCTGCGGCGTCAACCTCTTGCCGCCGGTGACGAGCTGACGACCAATGTCCTCCGCGACGGCGGTCGTGCCGTCGAGACCCAACAAGAGCGAAGCCTTGAGCTGCGACTTGGCGCGCTCGACCTCCCCTTCGGCCGGCGAGGTCGACATGCGTTGCCATTCCTTGAAGGTAAAGTGCGTCAGGTCGTCGAGGTTCATCAGGTTCTCGGAGACGAAGTAGATCCCCCAGAGACCGGTGTCCGAGTAGGAGGTCGAGAACGACATGAACGAGTTGGCGAGGTTGTTCTCGGCGATGATGTGCGACAGCTTGGACGAGAGCAACGACGCCGAGCCGAGCGAGCGGTCCCAGTTGCCAAAGATGGACTGCATCACCAGCATCGGGTAATAGTCGGGCGAGTTCCAGCCGACGCCCTCGACGGCGATCGCAAAGTTCGCGGTCGCCATCGTGTCGTCGCGCACTCGCACTTCGGAGCCGATGAACTGCGACGGAGCCTTGCCGGCGTGGGTCTGCGTCGACGGGTTGGCGCCGCCGAGCTGCAACGGGTTCGCCGAGACGGGCAGCGAGCCAAAGTGCTGCTGGGCGAGGTCGACGAGCGCCGAGTGCTCGACGCCGCCGGTGCCGACGAGGACCATGCGGTCGGCGGTGTAGTTGGTCTTGATGTAGGACGCGAGGTCGTCGCGTTGGATCGAGAGGATGTTTTCCTTGGGGCCGAGGATCGTTCGGCCGAGCGGTTGGCCTGCCCCAGACCGGCACGAATCACACCGAATCGACGCATCAGCACGCGCACTAGCGCAGGTATTCTCTGCTCTGCCCTACAACACCCTACACGCACCCTGGAAAGCGACGGCGTGCAAATGGTCAAAGACGACCTCCTCCAACTGCTTGTCGACCTCCTCTTGCTCGCGGACGATGACGTCGCGCTCGCGCTCGATCGCACTGGACTCGAGCTTGGACGCCTGCAGGATGTCGGAGATGATCTCGACGGACTTGGCGACGTCGTGTCGGAACGACTTGGCGTAGTAGACGGTCTGTTCGCGGGAGGTGTAGGCGTTGAGGTGGGCGCCCAAGTTCTCGACCTCGAGCTCGAGTTGGCGCTGGGAGCGCTTGGCGGTGCCCTTGAAGGCCATGTGTTCGAGAAAGTGCGCCGTGCCGGAGGTCTGGTCCGTCTCGGCGCGGGATCCGGCGTCGATCCAGACGCCTACGGTGGCGGTCGCGGCGTGGGGGTGAGCCTCGGTCGCGACGGTGAGGCCGTTGGGCAGGGTCGAGATCTGCGTCAGCGGCGGCGACACGGCCGTCGCCAACGAGCGTGCACCGAGGACCTGCGCGAGTCAAAAGGTGGAGAGCGGGTGGGTGTCAGTGCAGGGACGCAGGGACGGGTGAGGGTGTGGGTGGGTGGGTGTGGGCGTGTGTGGGCGTGTGTGCTGAGCCGGGGCTTCGTCGGCGGGGGCTTCGTCGGCGGGGGCTTCGTCGTCGCTCCGATTGGCTCCGCGCGCTGTCAACAGGCGCAGGCGCACACACGGGCTTAGGCTCAGGCTTGGAGAAGAAGGTGACTCACATTGCGTGATCGCAACAAGGTGCGCGCAGCTGTTCGGGCCAACATGGTGGGTCGCTTTTGGGGGAGGGAGAGAGGGGAGAGGTGTTGTGGGTGTGCGTGGATCGGTGGATGCGTGGAGTGGATCGACGAAGCAGCAGCAGCAGGCAGCAGCAGCGAGCGGCAAGCGGCAAGCGGGCGGGCGGCCACCCCCGTCTTCGCGCCTCTAATAGGGTCTCGTTATGGCACATTTTAATTCGCGACTAGTCACAATTCTAATGGCTCGCTCAAAGTAATAAAATGGCTCTAGTACGAGATTGAAAGAGTTTAACCAAAGTCTGGTTTCATCCAAAATATTCTGCAAGTGCAAGTAGGGCTCCAGCTACCTTTGCCACCCGAATAAAATTATGATCGTGTACGAGGTGGCCGTGCCGTGTGAGCCGCGGGCAGTCTAAGCGGGTCTAAGCGGGTCTACGCGGGTCTACGCCAGTCTACGCCTCTATATAGATCTGCTGAGCTGTGCCGGTCGTTCACGTGGCTTTCCCCGTTTCGCGCAGGTGGCTCACTTTTGCTTCCTCTCTTTCCACCCCACTCCCCTCCCCTCCAACTCTCCTTACCCCCCCCCCCCCCAAAAAAATGTAAGTTGCCTCTCTCTTTTTCCCCCTACTCTCCCCTCCACCCTAATCCCCCCCCCCCCCCCCTGCTCTCTCCCTCTCTCTCCAGGGTCGTCGGCGCGGCAGAGACGAAACCGACCAAGAAAGCGCTCGCCGCTCAAAAGCGGCTCGCCTCCCAACCGGCCCTCTCCGCCGTACCCAAAGGCCAAGATCCGACCGTGACGACGGTGGACAAGCCTGCGAATGACAAGGTACGTTCATGCGCGCGCGACTCCCACAAAGATAGATCGGTCGGAACCGAACCGGGAATCGAGGCTCGACGTGCCCGTGCCCGTGCCCGTGCCCGTGCCCGTGCTGGTGCCCTTTGCTCGTGCTAAGCCCGTTGCCCCGATTCCTTCCTCCTGATCGTTAATCTTAACCCCGCGTGACTGACTCGTCTCTACCTCTCACAGACGGAACACCATTCCGGTCGACCGGACAAGAGCGCCTACGACAAGGAACAAGAAGCGCTCAGGGCCCAGATCGAAGCGCTCCAACTCAAGTCCGTGCGTAGTAAACCCTCGTTCCTCCTTTCTACTACCCAACCCAACGCGTGCAAAAAAACCAAAACCAAAAAAAAAAAACTGAACTGACCGTTCCGTATCCTCCGACCGCTGCCCAGACGGACGTGCGGAATCGGATCGCGGCCACGTCGGGTAAAGGACCGCACCAAGATCGAAAAGTCGCGCTCCGTGCCCAACTCGATAGCCTGCGCGCCGAATCGCAAAAACTCAAGGGTGGACGCGGCAAGACGTTCGAGCAACTGAAGGCGATGCAGGATGGCCTTTCCAACAAGGTGCGTCCATGTCGAGGAGCGGCGGGGCGGGGTAAACGGCCTGTCGTCGTTGCCGGCGCGGGGGGTGGGGTTCTCACCTTTTTGACCTTTTCGTTTTGTCCATCGCAGATCAAGGAGTTGCAAGCCGCCAAATCCAAGGCACCTTTCAAGTCCGTCACCGACGTCGATGCCCAAATCAAGTGAGCTCTCTATCCTTTCTTGCCCTCTATTCTTTCCGCGGCTCTGACCCGCTCTGCCTCCCCTCTTGCAGATCTCTCGAACGCCAAGTCGAATCCGGAACGATGAAACTCGTCGACGAGAAAAAGGCGCTTCAAGAGATTTCGAATTTGAGAAAAGCGCGCAAGAACGTCGAATCGTTCTCTGCGCAACAAGCCGCTATCGATGAGGAGAGGAAGAAGATTGATGAAATTCGCGCGACGATGGACTCGCCCGAGAACAAGGCCAATCAGGACAAACTCAACGAGGTCCGCGCCGAGTTGGATGAGATCAACAAGCAGCACGATGAAGTGTCCAAAGGTCGGGACGCCTTGTTCGAGGAACGGAATGCGATTTCGAAGCAATTGGACGAGGTCTATGGTAAGAAGAAGGCCTCGGCGTTCGCTTACAAGGAGGCCAACGACAAGTACTGTGAGTCCGACACCGCGCTCGGCATCTTCACCTGTTCTAACCCCTGCCTGGTGCCAATCGTTCCAAGACCAAAAAATGCACGACGACCGCCAAAAACGCCAAGAACGTTTCCAAGCCGAGCGCAAAGCGAACGAAGACGCCAAACGCAACGAGATCAACCTTCGCCTGCTCGAAGAAGCGCAAGCCCCGGCCTTTGAACGCGAGATCGAGGATTGTCGTAACCTCATCGACTCGTTCAACAAACGGATCGGGAACGTCTCTTCGAATTGTACTTTGGCTACCTCGACGCCTTTGTACGAGCGTTCGGCGATCGCCGGCGTCAAGGCTTTGGAATTGAGGAAGGTCGAGGAGGGTCCTCCCGCGGGTGCGGTCGCGTTGAAGAAGAAGAGTGATCAAGAGGAAGAGTCGTGGGGTGGTTTCGGAGGTAAATCGAAGAAGAAGGGAGGCAACAACCTCAAAAAATCAGCTGCGACGAACGGCGCCGCGACCGAAGAGGACATCCCCTCCTCCTCCTCCTCGTCTTCGTCACAAGCCCTCAACCTCCCCTTCGGTACCCTCTCAGCTTTATTGACCCTCGGTATTCCAGCCCCTCTGACCCTCTCTGACGTACCATCGACGATCGAAGCCTTGGAAACGAAGAAAAAGTACCTCGTTGACAACCAAGAGCGCGTGACGAAAGAACGCGTCGCCGCGGTAGAGAAGAAGATCAAAGCCGCCGAGGCCAAGTCTTCCTCCAACGGTGCCGCAACAGAAGAGAAGAAGAACGATACCGAGCAGTCGACCGAGTCGTCGGAGAAGGTTGCGGATGCGGTCGAGGAGGCGTAGGATCGGAAGGGGAGAAGTTATGACTTCTAGGCTAGGTCTATCGTTTTTTTTTACGCCACTTTTTTTTTTCTTGCTCGTAGCGACCGTCGGGTGCGGTCTCGGATCGTGACTGCAATGACAAGATGAAGCAAGGAGGAACAAGACCAAATTGCCCACCAACTCTGTAGAATAGTCGCCACCAACTCCCTAAACTACGTCGAGCTAGCGCTTCACAGACCAGACCAGCTGGGTTAAAGATGCATATCATTCACAGTCACACAGTAACAGCACAGACCCAACAAAATCACCCATTCAGCCTTCAGCCCTTGACGTCCAACGTATCCTCATCTTCAAACTCGTCAATATCCGCGACCGTCTGTTCCAAATCCAACTTTTCCCCATCCCATTGGAGCGACATCCTCGCGATCCTTTTAGCATCTACGATCCCTGCCTTCTTGCAATACCACGCCAACACTTTGCGTAGTGGAAAGGTCGGTTTGACGGCGAAACCGAAGGAGGATTTGGGGCCTCCTCGAACGGTGAGACGGATGAGCTGATCCTGATCGGGCGAATCGGGTTCTCGAGCTCCCGTTGTCGACGAACGAAGTTCCGGGAGAGGTGAAGATCGCATGTCCACTTGGCCGTTGCTCCTCACGAGTTCGACCTCATCCTGGTCATCTCCCTCGCTCAGCAGCATCTGTTCCCCACCTAGCCTCGCTGCACCATCCTCCGTGGCCTTCTCTCGCTCCGCTTCGAGCCCGACCCTCCTCTTCCTCAACTCCTCCACTTCCTCCCACAGCTCGACCCGATAAGCCCGCAGCTCATTCTCCTCCCCTCCACCACACATCTTCAAGCTCCTCGGCGTCCCGAACCTATAAACGCGCCTGCCTCGAAACGTCAAGACCAAATCGTCGTCCCGAAGCCCGTACCTGCTCGAAAGAGTCTTGAAGACCTCGCCGAACTGCGCGTTCGAACCGAGCTTCATCGACCAAGGTTCGGTCCAGCGCGTCGCGCTCGCCGAAGCGGTGAGGTCCACTTGGAGCGCGAACCGAATCAGCAGCACGATCATTTCCGAAGGCGCGACGACGTCAACTTCATGTGCGCTGCTCCCAATGGCGCCCGTGGGATCCTGCGTCGGGGCACGGAGGGAGTGCTTTGACCGTAGCTCGTGCATCTCGGGAGGTAGGTCGGCATCGGTGGAGTCGACGGACGAGTGGCGTGAGCGCTCGTCGTCTTTTGAAGGGGACGAATTGAAAGCGAGCGACGCGCCGAGTTCGCCACTATGCCCAGAGAGAATGAGCTTCGTCAGCGAGAGCCCAGCTAATACCGTACCAATTTCCGAGCACTCACTGAGCCGCACGCAGAATCTGCTGCAGTACCTCACTCGACACCTCCTCCGGCGGCGTCAAGCTACGACTTTGACTCCTGCTCCTACCCGTACTCGAGCTGTACCCACTCCTCCCCTCCTTCTTGTTCCTCTTTCTCGCTCCCACATCGTCCGCTTCTTCGTCCCTCGCGATGAAGAAACCCTCACTGCTACTGTCCCTCTGCTCAGCCCTTGCCTTGCCTTTCCATTTCCCCTTCGCCTCGGCCGGCGGCGGTACGGTCGAGACCGAGCGATCTCGCTTTTTGTTGCCGTGCACTTTCCCCGGTGAAGACTGCCTAGCCCAGGAAGGCAAGTTGATTTTGCGATTGCCAAATTCGAGGGCGGGGTCTCCGGGATCCTCGATGACTTCAATGTCTGAAGAAGAGGACGACGACGACGAGTCGGAAGGTAGAGGAGGTGGGGTCGAGGCGGGTCGAGGGGAGAGGTCTTTCTCGGCCGGTGATTTACCTCAACCACACACCAAGATTCTTTTGTCAGACGATCTGCACCTGTAGCACATGAAACACTCGGGGATCTACTCACTCGTCAAAGGCCCAGCGTTCGCATTCGCCGCCTCGGGATCCAAACTAGCCGAGTGGTGGAGCGTCCCCCCACCCGGTCTCCTCATAGGTGCTCTCCTGCCCTTGCCCCCCGCCGCAGCCGAATTAGGTGGAGCCCTCGAAGCGATAGGTGCGGGTCTCCTCCTCATGAAGAAATCGTCGACCTCGTCTGAATCCGAGTCGTGGTGGTGGTGCGAGGGGTGCGAGGGGTGCGAGAGAGGTTGTGGGGGAGGAGGACGAGCTCGTGCGCTGGACTTGGGCTGGGGTGCAGCCGCATCTGGGAGATCCGGTTGCGAGGACGACGTCGCGGGTAGTATGATGACTTCTGTTGGTTCGATGAGGGATGGTGGTGAGGATCGTGCAACGGGTTGTTTGGGCTGTGGTGCGACGTCGACGGGAACACGGACAGGGAGAGGAGGAGGCGACGACGGTGAAGGGTCGAGCATCGGCGCGAGTACGACCTCGGGAGTAGGTGGAGGTACCTCGACGATGGGGTTGATGAGGTCGGGTAGCTCGACGGCTTGTTGGGCGACGGTCGAAGCGGACTTGACCGTGGCCAGCGAGTCGTGCCCGTCAACGTCGTCAACGTCGTCAACGTCGGCGCGTTCCATCGACTGCTCCCGAGGTGGGACAACGACCTTCCTCGGTCTCCCCCTCTTGGCCTTGGTCGTGCCAGCCGTCGCAGTCGCAGTCGCAGCCGCAGCCGCAGTAAGCGCCCTCCTGGTGGTGGTGCTGGCCTGCACGAGCTCGTCGTCGCGTCGAGTCGGCTTGCGTATACGTCGACCTCGTCCCGTCGGTTCGCCAGCACTCGTGCCCGTAGAGTCGACATCGACAACCTCGCAGGTCGAAGAGGAGGAGGTCGAAGTGCGCCGCGCCATGTGGAAGTGCAAAGTTGTTTTAAGCGTGCAGTGCAGTGCAGTGGTCGACCGAGAGACGGAGAGACGTCAACCCCCGCCCGAACACAGTCGCGCGCCGCCTATTTGGAGGGAGCTATTTGGTCGCGTCGCACAAGCTCGCACAGGGGCAGCAGAACCCACAGGCCTCCTCCCGAGCCGACTCGGAGCCGATCGGATAGTTTGCAACTTGGCACGAGCGTGGAATCGATCGACGGGCCCTGATCTGCAGGTACATTTGCACTGCGGGGATCTTCAACATCCAGTCGTACCACTTTTTCTACAGGGGGAGAGGGGGGACTTGGAGTCATCACCTCAATTGGTTGCAAGTTGTACAAAGAAGGATCCCCTTGATCCGTGCCCTTTAGCAATTTCGAGAGATCAATTTCGGCAAAGCGCTCGGTCGGCAGAGAATATCCTCCAGGATGCCGAGCGTGAAAAAGCGACACACGCTGCAAATCTATAAATTCCAAGGATTAAAGAGATGCAAGAACAAGCCTGCCCGACTCCGTTGATCACCTTACGAATATCGCGCAACTTGCTCGCAAACGAGCACCCCTCCTTCGAAAAAGATCAACCCCCGCAATCACTATGGAGTTCGTCGCTCGCTCTTTCATTCGTTCGACAGCGGCGAGCGGTCTGGATGCTTCTTGCCGTGGTCCACCCAGAGCCGCTATCGCTCAGAGTCTCAGAGTCGGTGTGCTTTTGGCATCCAAGGCTTACGGACGTCAAGCTCTGTGATTTAATTCTTCGAGGCTTCTCGATTTTCGGGATGTCGGCGCGAGGTCAGTTTTCGGGAGCCGGATTCAACAAGTCGAGGAAACACTTTGGATTCTGGGGGGCGGCATCGATCGGTGGAAGTCACGACCTCGACGAAAAGCAGTGATCCCTCACGTCATCCCACCTTTTACGTTGGCAAGCGCTCGTTCATCTCGGTGGTGAGTGTACCATCTGCGTACAGAGCGAGTGGGTCGGACGTGATGGACGTTGATGTAGTTAGCAAGAGTGCGGGGGTGAGACGGTCACGTGGTCAGTTTTACGGAGCCAGATTCAAGCAGTCCAGGAAACACTTTGGATTCCGGGGGGCGGCATCGGTGGAAGTCAGGCGCGCGCACGCGCTTATGGCCCGCTTGCGGCCCGCTTATTAGGCAATGAAGTTGGCGAAGTTGGCAGAGGCGTGGGGGAAGTTGGCATTGGCCCACGGGAAGTTAGCAGAAGTCACGTGTCGCCCGCGGCGCGACAATCGCATCGAGCTCTTTCTCAGCCCCCTACCTGTCCTGATCTATGCCCAACGTCCGCACTTCTTCGGCCTTCGAGCCAACACAACGTATTTTGCCACGTCACCGCAAGACTCGCTCTCAATTGTTGATCCCATCCGATGCCGTTCAGCCAAGCCGATCGAAATGATTTGTCGCGAACGGCACGCATGGGCGAGAGACTGAACTAGCACATCTTACACTTTAGGTCGACGAAGACACGGAGTCGGGCTGCTATTCAATGCTCATCTACCTACATGAGCCATCGATCGAGCAAGACCGCCATCAATCTAGCATCACGAGCGCACCGACGTCAGGCTCCCGAGGTCCGCCGTCCACCGCCTTCCATCGCCGTCAACCGCCTACAACGCTCCAAAGCATTCTTGAAGACGGTCAGACCGATGAAATAGCAAGTAGCGAAACCTGGAATACAGGCTGAGCGATGCGTTCAGATAAGGCAAGTTCAGGAGTCGCCGATAAGGATCATGTCGGAGCCAACTTTAAACTTTGGTCGACCACGATCATTGAGCTGCACAACGAGTGCAGGTCAATGGTAATAGCTCGATTACTAAGGATCGCCTCTGTGGTCTCCGTTGCTATGCTGACATCAATCGTCACAACATCTGCCATGAAATAGGGCCGTTCGAGAAAAGGGACCGTGAGTCGTCGCCCGTCGCCCGACCGTTAGCGCGTTTGCCGTGCCGCTCCATCTCGTGTACTGAAATCGGCGTTTCTTTGTTCCCCGTTCCCAGAGGAGTGACCAGAAAGAAATATATTCATGTTCCGGTACCCAGCCCGACTCGTTCAACGCATCTATCGGTCACTTCGAGCTACCCTTCGCTTCGACTATAGTTCTACCGAGCCCACCTGGTCCGTATGGTCGAAGATCCCAATGGACGCCGTCTTTCAAGTAAGCAGAGCAACCAACAAAGTCGATTCTTATCAAGAAGTACCGAACACACGTTACAAGCATCAAACGGCAAGAGTGGCAGGTCTTGTGCTCCCTCGGCGATTGAGGACGAGATGTGCTTTGGAACTGCGGCGGGACGAAATCGTGACCGATGCGACCACTAAGATCGGAACACAAGGAGGACGCAGATTGGCTCCAGGACCTGCCATCCAGCGTGACTTGACTTCACGCTACCAACGACCTTTGTATCGAAGCTCGCAAGAAGAAGGATGGGCATGAGTTCATGCTCGGCGGACCATATGACAACATCTTATGACCTCGGCTTGATCAGTATCGGCATCGGTATCGATCGGCATCCTTCCCTGCACTTCTTCCATGGGCATCCTCGGTATCTTGATATTTCATCGATCTTCAACTTACGACTTATTCCACCATTCAGGAGGTGCTCTGACGGATACGAGCGCAACACAACGGTCCTCAAGAAGGGTGGCTCGAGACTCGTTGGCAGCTCCGATTGGCCTCGCCGAATCCGCGATCTCAGTTGACCGGTCGGTCCCTGACTCTAGCCATTGGAACTCCAAACACGGTGAGATGTTCACACCGTTTCTGTGGAAGGCAGTTCTGGTAAAGCAAAGGATAGTTCTCGTAATCCACGCGTTCAAAGCCTGCTTTTTTCATTGCTCTTTACACTGCTGTCCGAGCCTTGAAAAGGCTTTGAAGTGAGGCGGCTGCGAACTGGACTGTAAGCGTGTTTCTCAAGCTTAGGCATACCATCTTTACGTGTACCTGGTGTTGGTGTAAAGATACCAAATTTGGGCAAGTTATGCTACAAGAGAGTACTATGACCATGTACATCATGTGTTCGTCTTTCCTTCTTCCCTTATCTTTTCCTTATTTCCTTCGTTTTTCTTTCTCTTTTCTTCTCTTTTTTCCTTCCTTTCCTTCTTTTTTTTTTTTTTTTTTTTTCTTTTTCCGCTTCGCCGGCAACTCCCTGGACGTGGTGGCGGCCCAGTTTTACGGAGCCGGGTTGAAGTTGAAGAAACAATTCGGTGCACCGCGTTCTTCTACGAATCCCGGCTCCAGTCCAGGCTGATCATTTTCTTGCCAATTTTCGCTTCTCGAGGTCGCCTGTTTCCCCCGAAAACGTTTTCGACTTTTTGAAGCGGTGCCGAAGACGTTACAAGAGGAACCCTAGTAGTACTACTAACGGCGTTACGGCGCTCGCACATATTCAGCTCCGTGGCCCTCGCACACACTGCAGCTCGGCTCGTTTCTTCACATAAATACTTTAAATAGCTCAACCACCTCCATACCTCCTCCTGCTTGACCTCCCTCCGTTCAATCTCGGTAGCACTGCCTCGTCTCTGCCACCCGGCGCAAGCTCGGCATGAATTCGCCCTGCCACGGCCGGCCCGATTCGGAACCGCCGCCGCGCCTCGGTCGCTTCGGTTCCGCGGAGGCCGAAGCCAGTCGCTGTGCCTCATTCTTCCTAGCTTACGCCCATCACCCTCGTCGCACTCCGGATCACAGCCATGGCCAGTCAGCAATACTGTGAGTCATCCTACGTCGGCTCTAGTCCCAGGACGATGTGGTCTCTCCTCCCTTGATGTTGCTCGATGACGATCGCGCGGTCGGTCGATGAAGGAGAAGGAATGCCAAGCCGAACCCAAGCTCAATCTGAATCGTTCAACGCCATCGCGCGACGAGCACGAGAGAAAAACGAGTGGCCAGGACGGCGAGTGCGCTCGTGTTTGGTACACAGCGTGACGGGCGTCCAGATCCGCCGAGGAGTGAACGATGGGGAATCGGAAAATAGGCCATACACGTTGCACTATTGAGCTGACTTGATCGCGCACTCCGAAACCCCACACGCCACCACCATACGCGCTTCACCTCGCCACGCCACAAACTGACCCGCGCATGCACGCCATACCGTAATCAATCACTCGTCAAATATCCTACTTCCTCCTGCGTAGACGGCTCCAACCAACCGCAACATCCCCCCAACGCGTACGGCGGCGGCGGCGGCGGCGGGATGATGTCCGACAAAGGCCAGCAGCAATACTACCCGCCTCAAAACGAGTACCAGCAACACCACCATCAACAACAGCAGCAGGGTTACCATCCTCCCCAACAACCGCAACAGGGGTACTATCCGCCACAGGGCCAGCAGCAGCAGCAGCAGTATGGATCGGGGCCGGGGATGCCTTGTACGTCATACGAGTGGCAATCGTAATATTTCGTAGAGGGGTGGTAGCTGATCGTCGGCCTTGTATCGATCACACAGACGGCCAGCCGCAACCGCAGATGGTATACGTGCAACAGCCGCAACAGAACAGTGGTGGAGGAGGATGTTGTGCCGCACTGTGAGCGCTTTATGAAAACGGCGATTTTCTCGATCCGGCTTCCACGAACCTGACCCCGAACCTTTCCTTGCCATAGCCTGGGAGCGATGGCATGTTGCTGCTGCCTCGAAGTGTGCTGCTAAAAGCATCGCATCTCAACTCATGAACTTTCTCCTGCCCTCCCGCTGGAAAACACACTCACTCACACATACACGGGTCATCTTACTCTTTTCGTATTTGTATCGGCTCCGGCCTCGCGCTCGTGGTATGTCGTAATTCAACCCGAGGACTTTCTCCGTTCGTGTCCCCGAACTCTCCTCGGGACAGTTGGCTTCTTCATGCACCGGAGGATATGATCTCGATCTCTGAACAGGAACTGTCGTAAAGTAGCCGAGCGACGTCGAGTGCGAGAAACTTCTCGCCAAATTCCCATGTTGAAAGGAAGTGCCCAAAAAAAAAGGAACTAAGCCGACGACTTGAATCGATTCATATATACCTATAAGAATACCTATAAGACACAAGAAAAAAAAGTATACACAGAAGAAGAAAGAACCGGCTTGATCACCACAAACTGGCAAACCCCCACACTATCGCCTTTTTTGCATCCAAGAAAACCCTTCCCGATCAACAACTTCTCTCTAAGCTCTCTTCCTCAACTCCTCAATCTCATCCTCACTCAATCCATCCAACCTCTTGAGCAAATACTCGACCTCGACATCCTTCGTCAACGGGATCACGAAATCCCTATAGAGCCTGACCACATCCTGCACGTCGACCTTGGTCATTGCGGGGATGGGTTCTCCATCCGGTCCGAGTTCGGCGCCGTACCAGGCCGCTTTCTTCTCTAGACGCTTGAGTAGAGCGGCTTCGACGGCCGGTTTGGTGATGAGTCTTTCGAGTTCGACGGGGCTGGGGTTGAGGATATGAGGGATGAAGGCCGAAGGCGCCTCGAGGAACTTGGATTCCGAGACGAGCATACCTAAAAAAAATCCCATCGCAGAGCAGTCGTAAAAAGTTCATCGGTGCTCGTACCTAGGCGTGATTTCCTCCCAATGAGGAAATAAAAGAACGTACCGCAATGAACCCTCTTGCTTATAGCTTGCAAGCACTCGACGTCCCTCGTTCCGGCCGAGCCATAATTCCCATCATCGTTCTGCTTTCCCAGACTCTGCGTCACGCGCTTCGTCACGACGGGGACGACTTTCTCGACGTAGAACTTGAGGATGCGCGAATTGGCGTTGTAGATGCTTTTGGAGTAGAGGAGGGGTGGGTAGTCGAGAGGAGGGAGAATGGGGGAGGGGAGGAGTTCGCGAGGGGTGAAGGGGTATTCCTCCGGGCTAAGGGCCATAAATGAGGTGGGATCAGCGATGAGGTCGAGACAGACGGCATCCTCGCCGCTCGAGGCTTACCTATCATAGCGTCGAACCTTGGCTGCGTGATCGACGTATTGCGACAGTGGACCGTACGAGCAGGAACAAACGTCGGGACGGGTGTAACAAGAGAGCGGAAATGAGATCGACGTGTCCCCCCAGCTCTCCCTGCGCGCGAACCCCGTTACGTACCATGACTCGACTCGGTCTCCTTGAAGAACCACATCAGCCAACTGCCCTCGAAGCCATTGTCCTGCTTGAGCACATCCGCGAAGCCGGTGGGGTCGTACATGCGCGGGTTGTAAGCGAACTGTGCACGCTCGATCAAGACTGGGAGGAGGGCTAGTCGTGATTAGGAATGACGTGTCGGATTTACGGGGTGGGCGCGGTCAGCGTGCTTACGAAAGATGATGGTATCCTCCAAGCGATTCAACGTCTTGCGAATCTGTAGAACCGGACCCGAGCGCCGAACGCCGAACGCCGAACGAAAGCTCCGTGTTAGCTCCGTTGCTCGGCCTCTACTTCAAGCTCGCCCCTGATCGATCCAGTTCGGGAAGGTCCCGCTCGCTCGATTCGCAAACACTCCAGCACCCACACGGCCCCCGCAGCCGACGACGTACGTTATCAAGATTGAGCGGGTTCGTCTCGGGGTCGGACGCGTTGCCCGTCATGAAACTGATTGAATGCATGGCCAACGAGCGCAACGACGAGCGGAGCAGGATGGGTGAGTCAACCCGTGGGGCGGGGGGAAGGGAGGAGCGGAGTCGAAGGGGTGGGTGGATAGCAAGTATGTACACCGCATCAGTTCGGTGTGTCGACTAGCACAAGGTGGGCAGCACACAACGAATAGGAGTGTGAACTCACTTCATGATTTCCGAAGAGCGTCTCAAGGCAGTGCGATGACGGAAGAATATACACGAGACGCGGGTGAGAGACAAGAGCCACGAGCGGCGCGGCGCAACCTGGCGCAACGTCAACGGAAACAAGCGTCGGAGGCAGTATTAGCGTAGTAAACCGCCGGCAAGGCCCGTACGGTACAGCGCGCACGTGCACATACCAATTCCCCGACGCGCCGTTTCGGAAAACTCCGCACGCTGGCGCCTACATAGCTCGCCGAGGTGCGATGTGCTCACCGAGACTCACAACCGGTCTCGCGCGGGTTCCAACTGCACTCTCACCGGTACCGGTGAACCCGGCCAAGTTCAGAACCGGTGTGATGACGCCGATGCGCTGATCCCCGACGGATCCGAGTTGTCTCTGAGGTTCGGGTCGAAAAACTTGTAGTTTCGACAACGATGAGAAGGCGTCGGAGTCAGCGGTCCGGCGTTGGAACAACCACACGATTGATTGGCAAACCCAGTGCCAGTTGATCATGAGCTTGCAGCTGGAATATGGAAGCGAAAGCCTCCAGGCTAGCACTACAGTCAGACCTGAGAAAATTTATATCGCCCAATCTTATACCTGTCAAAATTTATGGACTTTTCAATCTCCCGACTTTTTTGGCTGACAGAACCTGTCCAATCTTATACCTTATAATTTATGGGTTTACAGGTCAAATTATAAGATAAGAGAGAGCCGGAAATGAGCGATTGATCAGGAATTGGCCTCTCCTTCGGCGTTCTTGTTGACGAGCCGCCTGCTGGAAGAGTCCGAAATGCCCCGAAACAGCCGAGAAGCGAGCACAGGAGAGCAAAGGCGGCGGTTGACAATTTTACGAACAAGTACGACCCAAGTGACACCTTCAACATGGACGAAACCGGTCTCTTCTACGCTATGCGTCCGTCTACGGGCCTTGCTCGGAACGGTCGAAATGGTGTCAAGATGAATAAGACTCGCATCATTGCGAGACATGAGGCGTGGAACGACATCCGCCCCGAGACGATTGCCAACTGCTGGCGCCACGCTCAAATCTTGTCTGATCGCAAGAACAAAGGATCGACCGACCATACACCTCTTCCCAACGGTCGCGGGCCTCTCAATGGCGATCGCGGCATCATCAACGCGATGAACGCTCTGAAGACGGCGAACGATAAGCTGGTCGAAAAGGGCATAGTTACGAGCAACGAGAAGATGAGTATCCACTTTCTCGTCGATGTGGAGGAGGAGAACCTTGCTGGTGGGGCGGAAATGACCGATCAGGAGATTGTGGACCTGGTCATTGCCGAAGAGTTGAAAGAGAATTGCGAGGGAGAAGGAGGAGAGGAGGAAGGGGAGATAGAGCTCCGACCGGCGGAGCGAACGACGCTGCAGGAGGCAATCTCAGCGCTTGATGTTTTCCTTAGGTTTGCTATGAATGGATACTCAGGTCCAACGTATTTGATTTCTTTTGAGGACGAGGCTAGAAGGATTCGCAGGACTCTTGTTGCCGAGCAGGATGCTGCGAGGATTCAGACGACAATGACTTCGTATTTCCAGCGTCAGTAGGTCAAGATATTGTTTCTTGGAGCGTTCAAAACTTGTAAGGTGTCATCATGCCTCAGTAGAGGCCGTACATTGGCTGCAATTCAGTAATTCGGGCCTTCTGAATTTCCTCCCCCTCAAAAGTCAATGCATCGACTCAAACGATGCACGAAAATTCTTGATTTGATGTAGGAAGCTCAAAAACGGAGTTTCAGGTCATAATGTAGTGATCTGAAGCCGCACTCTCCAAGCTTATACCTGTCTTAATTTATGGGAAAATCCGTCCACCGAAAATATAAATCTCCTCAGGTCTGACTGTATGTGGCTCCAACAATTCGCACCCCCTCGTTTACGTGAGCCCACGAGGTTCGAGGTTCGAGGTTCGAGCTTTGCGCGCCTCCTATTATTGTGTCACATGTGTAAGGTATGCGCCTCTGATGTGCATAAACTACAATCTGTCGCCGTGACCGCTAGGCTAAAAGCAAGTCGTAACTAGAACTCGACAGTTCTAGCTACTCAGAGGCTACTTATGGGGCTGTTCTGTAAGGCATCCCCTTACAACATGCCAGGCGCTCGTCTTTTTGCGAGGGGACCGTGCTTGGATTAAGCCTCTGAGCAATTCACCTATGGATCCAATGAGTTAACGTTACGAGCTCGGGGCTTCTCCCTCATCATGTAGCTTATATGTAATCCGTTCTGGGCCGCGAACGCCACACCAGTCCGCATCGTTCTGTCGTCGCGCCTGAAGACTCTGATCCTGTTGGACCTCTACCGTGCAATGCGCAAGCTCGATCGCATACTCGAATCGCGACGCTGACTTCGAGCGGCCACCCGAGCCGAGAGCCAGATTCTCGGTCACGAAGCGGACAAGGAGTTGTTACTCGAGCACTTAGACTGGGCCGGCCAAGTTACCGTCTCCTTTTTGATCGGCGGGGGCTGCAGTTAGTACATTGCAGCAAGTCATACGCACATGCAGGTTCGAATTCTGCTCTCTTTCGTGTGGTATTGCATTCTAGTCGTTTTGGCCCTTTATTTCTGCTGCGTGTCTGACAAGTAAAAATGATCGGCTCGCGACCGAACTCGATCGAGTCACGCACCCCGAGCCAGCCCGAGCGACTCCCCGAGCCGCGATCAGCGAGCGTTGCCGCCCCCGTTCTCGCTCCCGACCGATGGTCAGTCGCCAGCTCGCCAGCTCGACAGCTCGTCTTTGGCACGTGCCCACATCATGTCGTCTCCCCCACCCGCCCAGAACGAAGGCGTGTCGATTTCGATCTGCGCCCGTGATCCCACACGCACGTTGGATGATGTGCCCAAGACCATTCCGCTGTCGTCGAACCGGCAGTTGCGCAAGTCGATCGGTCTCCAACCCGGCGACGATGACGCCACGAACCGCGTCGCAGGCAGCGTACCCTTGACCCTGCCCGCTATCTTGCGGCATAGCAAAACCAAGGTCAATTCGGGGACGACGAGGAGTGAAGAGAAACCACCGAGGGCGAGTACATCGAGTGGCAAGAGAACTGAAGAGATCAGTGGCAAGCGACGCAGGAGACGCTTTGAGAATGGTCCGTACGAGTTTGATCGTACTGTGAGTCCATAGCACAGATGCTTCGTTGTCCTGACCGTCGTCTACCACAACGCTACAGCCCAACTGGCGGGGAACCCCCACATCACGCGGCCCTCGCGCATCGATCTCTTTCCGGGTCCCGTCCCACCGGCCTCGACAACGTTCGTCCCGCCGCCCAAGAGCTTTTCTCGATCCGTCTACGTCCCCCGGTCCACCGCAGTCGACGGACCGTTACCGCAAGACCCTTCCTCGACGACTCTTGGCGCCTTTTCCCTGTCGCTTAGGGGTCTCCGACGAGAAATCCGAGCCATGTCGGGCCGTCGACCGAACTCGTCGCTACAAGGCATCAACCGCACCGAGGAGCTCGTCAACACGATCGAATCGCAACTTCACGATTGGTTGTCCATGTCGACCGCTCGGACCCCGGCTGGATACTACCACGTTTCACCAACCTCGGTCGACATGTCATCACGGCTCGTCGGGGGGCGAGTGATTGATGCGACACCCGTCGAGGACTGGTCGCCTCCCAGCACCGCCATCGGTGCTAGGGACGACGACCTTCTTTCAGACCTACCAACCTCTTCGTCTCGTCGTACTGGTTCCAAGACCATTCCGGAACCACCAGCGTCGATCACCGAGACTCTTCGTTCGCCTTCGCAGCTCGTCTGGTCGTTGCCCTCTCCCCACGCACGGTACCTCCTCCACGCCGTCGCTCGCTATTACCGCCTCCACTCGTTTTCCCGCGCCATCTCACCCCTCGACCCTCATGTGCGAGTGACGCATGTCCTGCGCACGACCATGCTTCGACCCACCGTGGGAGGCTTTGATTTCGAGACCCCACCCGCGACGGATCTGTCCGAATTTTCAGCGACCTCGGCCTCTGAAGAATCCGACGCCACGTCTTCCGTTCACGGTGATGATGAAGCGGACACGGGTTCGGAATACGAGTACGCGGGCGACGAGACATTCGAGACGATCCGACCCCAGGTCTGGACCGCGGGGTCGAGCTCAGAGCATGAAGAGGCTTTCGTCACCGATGACGAAGCGTCGACGACCGATGATGGCGGTTTGACCGAATCGGAATCCATCTCTTCGAGTATCGCCGATCTGGCCATGGCCGACTCTGTCCTTGTTCGCCCCACCGTCTTGCCTTATCGTTCCTCGCCACTGAACGGCGCGGGGCGGCCATCGTTTAGCGATGCCCGTCCTTCCCGCTCCGCACAACGAGCGCGTACGCATAACTTGTCAGACTCGAGTCCATCTCACAGCCCCGATCGTCAGGCCCGACCGATCGTAGGCCCTGTCGCGACGTTCGGTGCCGCCCGTGCGGGGGATTGGGCTTTACCCACCAGGTCTTTTGTCGATTTCTTATACGCTTAAAGAGCCAGATTGCCCTAATACATGTACAAAGGCTGCGTTGTGATGATCACAACATATTGGCAATACAGAGATCACTTTACATCCATAGAGCCTCATGGTCTTGTCCCTCGACCCCGACCTCTTCCCCTGCCTCTGCCTCGTGCGGAACCCTTCGTCGAAGCGGTCGGCGCTACAAAGCCGAATCCTCCACTCTCCGCGTTGGGTCCTCTAGGGTGTCGCACGACCCCAACAAGAGTCTGGTTCCCGGGTAGAGTCTCCTTCCCTCCGTTCGTCCGCCTCGGAGAAGCCTCCCTAGACCCAGCGACCGAAGTCGAATTCGACGATGATGTGGTTACCCCACCGACCAAACCTTTCCTCGCGTGAGCTCTGAAAACGGAATCCGGAACGAGGGAAAGACTTCCCAAAGCGTTTCCAAGTTGATTCGGCGTTATATCTAGGGATTCCGAGTCGGGTATCGAAGAACGATTACTCGAGTTTGTCGTCGAAGAAGGAAATGATTCGACTTGGTCTTGCTCACCGCCGAACAATTTCCTCCTCGCTTGTTCGTACTCGAATTCCCTCTGCTTCAAAGTCTTGACCTGTGACGCCGCACCTTCCCCGTTCCCAACTGCACCTGCCTCCCCTTTACGCTGGACCCCATTCGTGGTCGGTCTTTTGAGGATCATCATCTTGGGCGGTGGGGGACCAAACACCGCTTGAGTGGGGGGAAGACGGGAGGACGAAGCGTGGCATGTGGAGTGGGTGGCTTGAGAAGAGAGAAGGGTGTACTGTTGTTGAGGAGGGGCGTTCCTATAACCCACCATGGTTGTGAAAGAAGGATGGGTCAGTTGCTCGAGATGGGATGAAAAAGGAAGCGTAGAGACATGAAGGATGACCTACCAGAGCGCTACGTTATCCATCCCTGTCCCGGCTTCGGCAGTCGAACTATCCTCGTCCGAATAGCCCTGTAGACGGTCCTCGTGCAATAGCAAGATCAGTAACCCCTTTCGACCGGCCGTGTGGGGTCAAGTCAACGACGGAAACTGAGTTGGACTGACCGTCTCCCAATCCTCGATCTGATCCCTCCTATTCGACACTGAAGATGCCAATGCCGACTCGATCAAGTGATCAGGAAGCGGCATGTTGACTGGGCACCTTGCCTATGACCGCGTCCGACGAAGATTGGTCGTGCCACGTAGGGAGGGGACGGAAGACGACGACGAGAAACGAGCGCGTTGAAGGATGAAGGCGCGCGCGATGACGAATTTCCCATTTCGATCCACAGATCTTGTCGGGTGAAATCAGTGGACGAAGAATATCAATGGAAGCACCATTACAGCAAATGATAGAAAACTCCGATCCCAGATATCCAAAGCTACACGAAAAAAAAATAATCAATTCTCGCCGAAAAAAAAAAAAAACCCCAATCGCACGCCGCTTCACACTTCCGGCGCCTCAAAGAACCCGACCACGACCTTCCCAATGATCTGACAAGCCTTCTCCATCTCTTGCTTTGAAGCGGAAGAGAACGCCAAGCGGAAATAGCCATCCCCCGATCGATCCTGCATGAGCTTGATCCCTTGTCCCAACAGATCTGTTACCATTCGTTCCTGGTCTTCTCCCCGACCCGAAGAGGCGGATACGGGATCGGTGCTTTGGGATAGAGGTTGGCCGAACAGATCGGTGTCGAACATGGTGCCGGGGGCGACGAGGACGTTGTTCTCGGCTAGTTGTTCCCAGAGGTTGAAGATGAGCGAGGAGGTCGATTGGGACGGGTGCAGCGGGTGGTTCGAAAGGTGAATGCGTAACCAGACTGGTAGCACCCAGAAGTTTGATTCAGCCTTTATCCCCAAGTCGGTAACCTAAGATATTTTCGCAGCTCACCAAACATTCCACCCTGAGGAGCCACGAACGACAAGATCGTCGACTCGTCCGAACCTCGACGAAGAACCTTCTCATCGTCACTCGAAGCGACGAACCCCTTTTCGCCCCTTTGGTGCTTCACGACCCAGTGGAACTGATCGCTGCGGCCCGTTACCGATCGGGTGTCCAACGAGGCGTGGCCCTGGACAAGCAAAGAGTCGACGAGGGTGTCGCGTCGGATGCGGTACTGCGCCTTTAAGCCTACGTAGTTACGCAAGAAGGGGAAAGCGTCAACAGCGACCATTCCGGACACTACTATGACGCGCACCCATCACTCACCCTTGAGCCACCTCAAGAATCCCTTCATCCCCCACTCCTCGACCAACAACTTGGTAATCAAAGCCTGCGAAAACCCGCTCGCCGCTTGCGAGGAACTCTCATTCGCCCTCTGCATACGTTCCATCAACACGGGGTGACCTGTCGTCCAACCCATCCTCGCTCCGGGGCAGATCGTCTTGGAGAACGTGTCGATGCGAATGACGCGCCCTTGGTAGTCGTACCTCAAGAACGAAGGGACGAGCGATTGGAGGAATTCCTCGTCCGTCTCGGTCGAAGACTTGGAGGCCTTCCTGCCGCGCAGGTGGACGGGTTCGTATTCGCCGGCTTGGAGGAAATAGTAAGGGTCGTCCTCGACGATGATGACGTCGTACTTGACGCAAATGTCGTAGATCTGTTGCTTGCGTGCGGCCGTCATCGTCGCGCCCGTGGGGTTCTGGCACACGGGAACGGTGTACAGCACACGAGGGCTATGGAGGGAGGTAAGTGAACGGAGTCCATACGGGGACTCGGCTTGTGCCAGTTTCGGTCGACTCACCGACGCATGCCGCCGCGAGCAAAGACGTCCCAATTTTCGAGCAGGTCCTGCAGCCCTTCGGGGGTGAAGCCGCCTCCATCCATGGGCAAAGGGATGGGTCGGAATCCACTCGGCCAAGCCGTCGACAGCGCACTCGGGTAAGTGTTTTGCTCGCACAAGAAGCCATCGCCACGTTCCAAGAGGGTCGTACAGAGCTTGCTCCACGCGTCCGTCGAGCCGGCGTTGACCAAGGTCTCGTAGTTGGCGTAGCCGGGTCGGAAGACGAGCTCGGTGAAATCCTTGATGAACTTGGCCAACGAGGGGAGGCCGACGGCGGTACCGTACTGCAACGCCGACGAAAGTTGAATCTGGTCCGGCGTAGCGTTGGGAATGTACTTGGGGATCGTGATCGTCGTCGTCGTCGGTTTGAAGAAGGACCATAGCCACGAGGACAGGGTCGCGTCGGTCGTCTTGTACGAGTTGGGCACGAGCGCGTGGGCCGAGATCGAGTCAAAGGGGAAGTAGTCCGGTGAGGGCAATCCTCCGGCGAGCATAAGCATGCCAGGTCTATTGAGTCAGGTGCTCCAGGTTAGTTGGATACTTCATTCACGGTCATGTGCTGCCGGGAGCCAGGGGTCGTCACGGGCACGCGAGCACGCGGTCGCCGAAGGCCTCCGATAAGATTCCGACGGTCTGGTGGCCGATGTGACGTAGTGGCGGATCGAACCCGGAGCGTGCGTTCGTTCGCAGGGGATGGAATACAGAGGGATCAACACGAACCTTCCAAAGTACTTGTACATTCCCTGTGTGTCGTAGAGAGGCACTTGGGTCAGCAGTTGTGTCCCATGCCTGGGCCATACTACTTGAAGGCTGCCCTCGCTTAAGCCATCAATCACCGATCGACGATGGCCGAGACGATGAACGTACCTTGAGCGGCGAGCTCGTCCTCGACCTCGCGAGCAACGACAGGTGGTGCGACAGGTCGATCGCATCGGGGCGATGGCGCATGATCTCGTGTTCCATGATGCCAGGGATTGCTGTCTATGGCGAATACGGAGACGGTAGTGACCAATCTACTATGAAGCCAAGCGCGCGGGCCGGGGTCGGCAGCGGCGGCTGCTAATCAGTGCTAATCGCGCCGACGACCTCGTGCCTCGGCTTGCCTCGGGAGTCGGCACCTCAGGCGTACCCAAGCGCCTCGGGTCTCGCTTCATTATGCACCCGGACGCTCGGACCCCTGCCTGCGCCCGAGTGAAGGACGATAATGAAACCCCATGGCATGAGTTCGGGGGAACGAACACGAGAGAGAGAGAGAGAGGGTAGAGGAATGAAGGGTAAGAGGAAGAAAGTGGTGCTGCACTTTCCCATTCTTTGCGCTGCAGTCCTGAAACTCGTGAAAAGAAGTCCACGACTCGCAATTCGCCGTCCGACCCGAGGCCCAATCGGGACAGGATTCTCAATGGTGAAAAGAAGCGGGAGGTCGCTGGGATCATCGCTGTTGCGCACTCGATTTGGTGGAGCACCACTTTTTGAATGAACTCCCTATCTTTGTATCGTCAGGCGCATCACCTGGTAGTAATTCTGACCCATCATACAGAAGTCACCGCACCTGAAGATCTTCGGGACTGGGTCGGGAGGACCGCCGCCGCCGCTTGCGCGACAATTTGCAGAGATACTGGAAGTGCCACTGCTACTCCTAAAGCAAAGAGATCTTGATTGAGCCGGTGCTATTGAATTGACTCCTGGCTCTGACTGGCAGACCTGGTGTCCCGTACTCTGGGCGGTCGACACGACACTGATTATATCCCGGGTATTCCCCCCACCCAGCGCAAGCCAGCGCAGTGCAGTCTCAGCTGCTGCAGTGCGCGCCAGTCCGCAGCGCGCCCCCCACCCTCTCACCCGATCGCATTCGCATTCGCGTCCACGCACCTCGGCGGCTGTCTAGTCTCACGCTCCCCTCCAGCGGCGGACAGAGGAGGTGTCTGTTAGTGGTCGTCGCTTCAGAACTCGTCTGGACTAGCTGCTGCTCGTGTCGTCGTCGTCCAGCCCGCGCCCGTGCTGTGGGAAGCCAAGCCGGCGCGAACGACGATGAATGGCCCCGACGATGCCCAAGCCAACATTGAACGCTCGGCAAGGGACCTCATTCGAGGTTACCCTTTGGCAGCCGGTCTGACCTCGGTCGCGGATGGTGAGTCATCTTCCTGGCCCGTACGTCATCCGTCGCGCGTCGCACCCGGCTGTCGTCGCGGCGGAAGGCCAATGTCAAAAAAAAACGGCAAAGGATGTCACGAACGATCGGCCAACCTCGAGCTGACCCACTTTACGCACCGTCGTCTATTCCCTCAACCTCGACCACCGCTCTCACAGTCATCAACCACCTGCCCCCACCCCGGCCGTGCACGCCGACGCTGTTCGCGCACCCATCCTCGCTCTCCCTCCACGCCGGCCCCCACGAGCCCCTGTTTGAGCAATTCGCGCAAGAGATTGGGACCCTACTCGACCCGACACCGAGCAGCGACCCGTACATCGAGCAATGGCGCCAGATGGAGATGGGTCGAGCCGCTGAGGCGTTGCAGCAACCGGTACAAGCGTTCGCGCATCAGGGCTATCCTCAAGGGTCAGTCCCACAGCAAGCGCACACGCCGACGAAAGACTATGCGAAGCTGCAATGCTAACCCTACTGCCCACTACCACAGAACCACCTCCAGCCCGCCCTACTCTGTCCACCCCTCCCCGACGGGGATCGTCGCACCGCCGGCGAAGACTCTGACCTGGCAACTGCTCGACACGATCGGCTTCCCTTACCCACCTTTACCTTCCATGCCCAGGGTTGCACAGAGTCCGAACGCGGACCGTACCTCGACGACGGACCTCGATCACTCGCAAAGTGCGACCTTTTTCGAACAGTACCTCACCGCAGAGGCGCAAGGCCGCCTCGCGCGCGCCCCACCCCCACCTTCGCTGCTGTCGTCCCCGTCAAAGTCGTCGACGAGCTCGCTGATGATGGCGCAAACCCCACCCCGAGCGGGACCGGTCAACACCGTCTTTTCGCGCGAAAACTCCGGGTGCAAGCCGCCGCGAATGCTGCCACCGACGAGCTCGCCTGACCCGCTGCTCATGTCCGGTGGCCCGTCGAATTCCTTCAACGGCCACCGCTACGCCCGTCCGCCTCAGTCGAGCAGCCCCACTGCTTCGCCCTCGCGACACCCTTCGTTCACGCTCGAGATCGAAGTCGACGCTTCTCACAGCCCCAAACGACCCCTCGCGGCCTACGGTACGACCGAGTCGCAGCGCGCGCACATGCTCGTCGACGAGGATCACGAGGTCCAGACCCCTCACGCCGCCGCGGGGATGGAGAGCGCCGTCAAGCGCTTCAAGCTGGGCACGAGTAGCGACGCCGACGGGGGCGATTCATCTTCGGCCTCGACGTCGCGCGCACTCCAGTCGGGCAAAGGCACGATCAAAGCCAACGCTGCGCAAGGCGTCGTCGATCGTCTTTCGGATCTGCTCGCCGATCTGTTTTCGAGCGACGACTCGTACATCAACGACACGTCCTCGTCGCACGTCCACGCCGCCGCATCCACCGCTCCGAACCTCGCCAGCGAAAACAAGCTGTTTTTCAACGAATCGGCGACGACGATCGACGGGTTGCCGCTACTCGACGGCGCCGCGCTGCGCACCTTCATCCAGCAGCTGTCGAACGTGCACGCCAAGCGCGCCGGCGAAGACTTGCTCGAGGACGTCGAAGAAGGCGGTGTTGCACGTTTGCTCAAGATTGTCGAACGCAGCTGGAGGGGGGTCGAAGAGCTCAGGGTGTGGCCCCACGTCGTCGCGAACAAGGAAACGAGTGGTGGAGGCGGTGGCGGGCTGCGTTCTGCGTCCAACGGCAAGCGGGCCAAGTTTGCGCGACGCGGCTCGTCCGAGTCACCGCAGAAAGGGCGCGGGTCGAGGGGCAGTTCACGCGCCGTCGAGAGCGAAGAAGAGCTCGAGTACGATCTCGACGAAGACGCGACGACGATGACGACCAGGCCACGCTCCCCCAAGTCTCGTTCCCGCACCCCAAGCGCCGCCAACGCCCTGATGGACGTTGATGGAGTCGAAGCCGCCGACGTCGAACCCACAGCCGCGACAGGGGACGAGCGCGTGTGGACCGACGACACGCTCGACGACTTTGACCGCCCCGCTCGCCACATCGCCGACGCCGTGCTCGCGATCCGCGTCGCCCTGCTCGTGCTGACGATGACCTCGCTCCCTAAATCGCTCTACTCGGTCGACTACCTCCTCTCGATCCTCGCGAGTCTGCGCTACGCTTTCGATGCGCTCATCTTCCCCCTCGTCGAAGCCCAGACGGATTCGCACCTCACCGATCTGCTCGCCATGCGACGCACCGAGATCCAAGCACTGTGCGAATCACTCGCCGCGACGACTCCGCTCGTCACCCGTCTCGTGCAGCAGCAAGAGTTGTCGGAGGAGATCGTCATCTCGAGCGTCTACTTTGCCCTGGGCCCCTTTTTCCACGAGGCAGCTCCTGCTCCGACAGGGAAGGGGAAAAAAGTCGACACCAACGTCGCTGCGCTCGCGATGAAGGGTTTGCGCATGGCCTCGCTCGGGTTGACCCGGGCCCTTTACGGAAGGTACGCCGACCAACGAGCGTGGATCATGGAAGAGGTGCTCGGTAACTTGACCAAGCTCGACGTCGCGAAGAAGGGTCGCGGTGCCATCCGGTGAGTATTTTCACCCCTCTTGGCTCGTCGGCCAAACTGATTCTGATTCTCACCGAATCCCGGGATAGGCTTCGCAATGGTTCGTCGATCCACACGCTCTCGGCATTGATCCTCAACCTCGTGCAGACATGCGAGACCGGTCTGTGTGCTCAGGTCGCGTCTCGCATCGCCGGAGATGACCAGAGTGGACTCGGTCTCTCCTTCTCGCCCGCTTTCTCGCCCACCATCGACGAGGACAACGACGAACTCTCCTGGGATCCTGCCCCGCACCAAAACGATGCTGCAGCCAATGGAAGTGTCGTCGATGCACTCGACGTCGCCTACCGCGACCTCGTCAAGCCGGCACTCGATGCGGCGACCAAGAGCGCCTACACCGTCGTCTCGTACCTCTTGACCAAGTCGTCCAAGGCCGGCAAAGCGTCGAGCGGCTCGATCGAGACCGAGTACCGCGCCGTCTTTGACAACCTCATCGCCGACCTGCTCGTCACCCTCCACCTGCCCGAATGGCCCGCGGCCGAGGTCGTGCTCCACGTGTGCTGCAAGTCCATGCTCAACAGCCTCGCCGACACCAAGAGCACGCACGAAGGGAACGCGCTCAAGAACATTGCGCTCGATCACCTTTGCTCGATCGGAGCAAGGCTGCGCCAGGACGCTGCGAGCGAACCCCCCTCCTCGACGCCATCGACCGCGTCGATTGTGCTGGGGAACCTCGGCGATATCGTCAGCAAAGAGGACGTCGCCGCGTTGGACACGTACGTCAAGGCGCAACGCGCCGTTGTGCGCCACCTCGTGCGTCGCGACCAACACGACGGCGTCGCCGACTTTGCAGCCGCGACTCTCGGAGCCGATCTCGTCGTAGCGCTGCACAAGTCGACGTCGTTGCTCGCGCACTACACGGCCGAGGAACTCGAACACACCGAGGCCGGTCGGCTCGCGCAGTCGTTCCACGCACGACTGCGCCACCACGCCACGACGGCCTGGATCCTTCCGAGCGACGACGACGTCTTTGGCCCCTCCCCCGAAGCCGAGCAGCCCGTCGTCGACGATCTCGCCGTCCAGCTTGCGCGGGGCCGACCCCTTGCCGGCCTGTACGACTCGATCCTCGCGCTCGTCGTCGAGAGCTCCGAGTCGACGGCCGTCGCGCTGCGCACCAAGGCCCTGCGCGGCATCGGCGTGCTCGTCGCGCAGGACCCGGAGCTCTTCCACCGCTCCGAGGTCCGTGCCGGCATCGAACATCGCATGCACGACGGCTCGCCCGCCGTGCGCGACGCCGCGATCGAGCTCGTCGGCAAGTACGTCGTCAACCGCCCCGCCCTCGCGACGCGCTACCTCCCGCAGATCGCCGAACGCATCACCGACACCGGCCTCGGCGTGCGCAAGCGCGTCGTGCGGCTCCTCAAGACGCTCTACGGCGTCGTCGCCACCGAGGAGCAACGCATCGACATTTGTCGCAAGCTCGTCTGGCGCACGCTCGACGAGGACGACGGCGTCAAGGAGCTCGCGGTCGACGCCATCGAGGAGCTCTGGTTCACACGCTGGGGTCGTCACGGTGATGGCGGTGGTATCACTGGCCATTCGGGTTCCGCAACTCCTGTCGGCGGCGGCGGCCAGGTCGAGACCTTGGGTGCGACCGTCGGCGCTACGGACGAACGCCACGAAGTCGGGACACACGAGCCGCGCATCGACCAGCTGGCTCAACTCGTCATGGCCATCACCGGCGGCGAGAATCGCGACCGGGCCCCTCCCGTCGACGAGGTGTTGCGCATAGTCCTCGCCCGCCACCGGGACAAGACCTCGACGACGACCACGGCGGCGGCGGCGACAGCGACCTCGACAGCGACGAGCACGAGCACGACGACGCCCCTCGAACGACTGCGCGACATCACCGAGTCACTCATCGACGGCCTGCTCGAGGACGAAGAAGGCTCGCGCAACATCGTCGCGTGCGTCAAGACCGTCCACGTCCTCGTCTCGGTCGACGCGTCGTTGCTGTCGACGTCCAAGGCGACGATCTTGCTGCCGTTCCTCAAGAGCGCGACGTCGCCGCAGGAGCAGATCGTCAGCGACTACCTCCTCAAGATCTTCCGCTCGGCCGTGACGACGATGCCCAAGACGTCGACCAAGTTCGCCAAGGACCTGCAGAGCGCGTTGATGCCGATGCTGAACAAACCCTCGTCGAGCGCCACGACGCTGCAGGAGGTCGTTGCGTGCTACTGTGCCGTCGTGCGCGGGCAAACCCACGATTTCGGCGCCATGATCAACGTCTTTCGCGTCAGCGTCGAGCGGCTGCTTGCGACCGTCAAGATACTCATGGCGATGGCCGCCGGGGGAGCAGCAGCCGCGGTTGTCGGACCGACCAAGGGGGACCCGACCAAGGCGCTGCCGATCTTGTGCTTTTTGTCGTCGCTGTTTTGCGAGCACGCCAACCTTGACCAGCTGCGCACCCAGTACCCTCGCAAGTCTGGTCTTCCGCGTCCCCCCCCTCTGCCCTTTTTCTCCTGCTGATGGCTCTTTGTGTTTGTTTGACCCCGTTGATTGCCCGCAGAAACCAAAGCGCAAATCAACCAGATCACGCCCAAGTCCATCTCGGAGCACGTCTACGGCATCCTCGTCAAGCTGCACCAGCTCCAGATCAGCCCCGTCGTCTCGGCGGCGGCATTGTCGAGTCTCGGTTTCCTCTTTCGCGCGTACCCGACTCTGATGCTGCTGCCGCCGTCGACGTCGATCATGGACGCCATCTTCGCCTCGCCCGCGCAGCAGACGCAGCTGCAGCTACTCAAGATCATGCAGGACTTTTTGGGCAGTCAAGCGCGCGCCGGTGGTCCGACGACGGCCCCGGCGTCGCTCGTCGTCGGCGCCTCGAAAAGGGCCGCCGCCGCCGCCAAAGCCCACGGTGCCGTCAAGATCGAGGAGCTCGTCGGCAACGTCGACGGATTCGCCGACTCGGGCGTCGCGAGCGCCATCAGTCAGCGCTACATCGACCAAATCCTCGCCTCGACGCTGTCGACGAACGGTGCGATCCAGCGCGTCGGCGTCGACCTCTTGACGGCGGTCGCGCGCTCCGGCTTCAGCCACCCGCTCACGATCGCGCCCTACCTCGTCGCCCTGACGACGAGCCCCGACGCGCAGACTTCGAGCCAGGCGCACGCGACGCTCTCGCTACTGTACCAGAAACACGCGTCGCTGCTGAGCACGCGCTTCCTCGAGCCTGCCAAGGTCGCTTTCACGTTCTCGCGCTCGAACGCGCGTGGCGCGAACCAATCGCAGCGCATCACCGGGTACCGCGGCGACCCACCGGTCTCGCATTTCGGTCCTTGGTACGGTCTCCTGCAGAAGGAGAAGCGCGTCGTACAGCTCGATTTCCTCAAAACACTAACGCGTGCGCTCGAGGTCGAACCGGGAGCGAGCTGTTCCGACGACGACGTTGCGTTCGTGCGCTACGTCGCCGAGGCGCTCTCGACATTGGACTACAAGCGCTACGAGGAACCCCTGTCGGTCATCGCGCACCTCAACTCTGCACTCGCCGTCTCGGGTCTCCAGGTCCTCCACTTGCTCGAAGCGGATCTGGACGAGGGGGCCGGGTGGCTCGGCGACGAGGCACCCTCTTCAGTGCCGGAGGCCGGGGGCGACGGGGAGCAGTTGCCCGCGACCTCGAAAGGAGGTTCGTCCTGGATGGTCATGTTTCGCTTAACGCGCCCTCCTTGGCTGACCGCTGCATACCCTCGCACCAGATCGAACCTCACCGGCCCCGAGTCCGGATCTTGCTCGCCAATCCGTCAGGTGTGGCATCGCCTTGCTGCTGCGCGATCACCTCAAGACGCTGTACTCTATCACGTGAGTTTTCTGTGCCGGCTTGGTATATTGGGTCAAGCGTATCCCCTGAACTTTGCCCTCGACCCTTGCACCCCAACTAGGGACGCCAAGCTGTCCAAGTATGCGCCCGGCAAAAAGTCCGCACTGGGAGATCGGGTAAGGGACTCGATATTTTATATGAGGTCGGAAAGTGTGCTCATGTTTTTCGCTTTTCGCGCAGGCCGTCAATCGTCGCGCGGAGGCGCCGCTCGCGCTCGGGTCGGACGATTATGCTCGTATGCCCTTTGCGCTCGCACCAATGTCGACGCCGGCCGAGCTGATTCAGCAACGACACGAGGTGAGCCTCTCTGTTGGCGAGTTCACATATCAGTAAGATGAAACCGATCATGATTTCCTTGTTCCGTGCTATCTGTGCAGTACATCCGCATGATCCAAGAGGACGGGACGATCAACGCGCTTGACGAGTCCGAGATGGAAGGGGAAGATATGAATCCTTAGCTGTAGGAGGTCTTTAAGATAGCTGTAGGAGACCTTTAAGATAATACCCTCCCGTGTGTTGTTATATAAATCATAGCCCTGTTTTTAACCCACACTCTAGCGGCGTCTGTGACCGATGCAGAATCCTCCACACTTTCCATCCTCGTCCCGTGCTCCTGTATCCTCCAAATCCCACTGCTGATCATTGCCAAGACCCTATCCGTAAATATCCTGATTTGTCCCGCCCGGCCCCCCCTTTTTTTTGTCGTGGAGACTGTTCATCATATTGCCCCTCATTCCTTATCCCCCTGATTGGCCCATGGAAAAACTAGACGGGAGTCGACGATAATAACACAATCGACCCGCCGCGAGATGCGAGAAATGGGCCGATGACAACGAATCCGATACAAGTTAAGTTGGGATTCAAGTGCGCCAGCGAAGCGATCGTTCCCCCCAGCCGACGAATGAGAGAGACAGAAAGAGCAAGAATCCAAAAGGAAAAGAAGAGTAACTGTTGTACTAACGACAGGAGGCCCACTCCGCACCCACTGCCCAACTCTCGCACGCGATCGACGACTGCACGCCACCACACCACTGACCCGCGAAGCCCCCCCCCCCCCTTTTTTTTTTTTTTTTTTTTTTTTTTTTTTTTTCGTTTCGGGAACGAGGATACTGTCGAGAGTACGATGCTGCTTCATCCCACTTAGGCTCCCGAGTTCCCAGTATGACCTAGTTACGAGTTGTAGATATTGACTCTTCTTTCTCTTCAACAGTATCATATCTATCATCTTCGGCACTCATCTGGGCCTCAGGGTTCTAATAGATACGCGATAACCAGGGAGCACTTGGAGAGAAAAGGGACATATACAAAAGTCTCGACCAGAAACACGGAGAAACAGAAATACTACGACAAAGGGGAGGGGGAGGGGGAGAACACACCCGAGGGGCCAAGGGAGGGTTCGAAGCGAGCGATAGAGGTGCCCCCCCAGGGACGAAGAGGACGCAGCCAAGCGCCAGCTAGTCGTCACCCCGACAGCGCCAGAAGGCCTCCGTTGGCTGAGTCTCGAGCGTTGGCTATTGATCCGTCGAGCCGAGCGAACGATCCAAAAAAAAAACCCCGAACGAGCCTCGCCATGTCGCTCGAATCTTGAACCAAGCTAGCGATCCTTCTTGCTGATCCAACGCAACCAGCTCGGGTCCAAAAGCAGGCAAAGGAGAAAGGGGTAGGGGCCAAGTTATTGTCAATATCTGAGCTGCCAGAGAGAAAGAGAGAGAGAGAAAGAGAGAGAGGACACGAGAAAAAGGGAGACTTTTCAGGGCATACAAACATTCTTGACCGTCCACCCTGCTTGCCGTTCCATACACACAGGTAAACCCGCCCTCAGGCAAAGGGGACGGTCGGGAGGGGGGAGACGCGCAGCCTTCCACTGCGCAAGCTCGCTCAGGGATAAAAAAAGAGGGTGCGTAGCGCAGTTCGCTTTTGTTGTACATTAAAGTTTCAGGACACATGTCCGAGTGGTCTAAGGAGCCAGCACTCCTGCCTTTGGGTCAAAGTTATCGGTTGGTTGTGATGCTTGTTTTTTTGACACAAACCGCTGTCACGAATGAGGATTCCGCAACTCTCAACTCCGTTCACGGATTTGGTCGGCATGACGCGCGTCGTCGAGATTGCTTCGGGCATTGAAAGATGAGTTCGACGATCAAGCCGGAGCCTGGGCCCACCGAGCTTGGTGCAAGGACCAAAGTTACCTTGCACCTTAAATGGCTCCTTTCTGATTTCAATTTGCAAGGATTGAGATCGTTAGCCTTTTTGTCGTCCAGTCGTGAAGGGGCTGGTTTTGGACTTGGTTTGGACTTGGTTCGATACCCTCTAGACATTCGGCGTTCAGAACAAAGACGTCTCTAGGCTGTAATTCTTCTGTTCGCAAATTCTTCGTCGGCATGGTCGATACGTCAGAACCCTTTGTTGCGACCGTTCGACCGAGTCGAAGTCGAAAGGACGCTCGAATCCATCGAGATCGCCGGGACGGGCGCAGAAGCAACTTCAAGTATCGAGTGCAGTGGGCAGCCGGGCGGTAAGCGACAAGGTCCAGCGGCGATGCGGAAGCTTGCGGGGAAGATGCTCGACAGACTGCCCCGCGACAACATGTCCAACCTGTCCCATCGCTAGGCTCACCCTGTTCGCGAGTGAAGAGATGAGGGTCGAGCAGGTGCGAGCGTTCATGGCCACGCACACTGTTGAGTCGCTTCATGAGCTCTGCGGCAAATTCAGCGGGTACGCTGACGCAACAGGGGAGGCACGGGACGGACCTGGTGTAGCGCCCAGAGGCCGGGTGGGCAATCTCCACAGTGAACTCCCCCGCTGCCATTCATAGTCGCAGAGCAGGTGAAGGTTCCACTCACGCTTTATACTGTCGTGGACTTTTGCGGTAGGGGAGCCGAGTCCGGCCTGGCGTCTCGCCCGACGTCGGCCAGGTCGTGGCTGGGCGCAGAGGTCCAAGCACTACTGTCTCCTGAGCGCCTGAGCGGCGGTGGGCACTCGCAGGCACTCGCTCGCGCCGGCTCGTGGACATCTCGAGCGCGCGGGTCGCACCACCTCTCCCCCTCTCTCTCTCTTTTGCGCTGGCCCCACATATATACCACCCGCCAACCTCTCTCTCTGGATAATCTGTGTGACTCGCTATCGACCACGTCGTTTGACCGCTTTCCGTCGTTCCTTCGCGCCGCGCTGGTGAGTCACTGTGCGACCCCCCACAGCCGAGTCCCCGCCACGTCACCCGCGCCACGTCACCCACGCTACGTCACCCGCCACCCTGACAAGCTCGGCACTGACGTCACCTTTTGAATCAGTCCAACCACAGCTCCTGCGGATAAAAGGACTTAAACAATGGCGTTTTGGTGCACCAGAGGCTCTAGTGCTTCCGTCAGTCTTCCGGATCATTATCCTGGTGAGCACCGTCGCCTCGCCGCCGGAGAAGGATCGAAGCTGGTCGGTGTAGCACGTATACCCTGATTCCACGTACATTGGCCGCACCGTCACATAGGCGGCTACCGCTCCGAGCGCACAGCTTAGCATCAGTCGCTGTCCTTTCATGCGGTCGGATGCAGACATTTTTGGCAAGCGTACGTCAGGTCGTTCGCAAAAAGTGAGCTGACGACCTGCTCGGTCCGTTTCGTATTTTCTAGCGACGTGTTTTCCAGCGACGATTGCGATCTTCCATCGTAGGACTCATGATCTTCTAGAGAAGTGAACCGGGGCCCCACACTCGGCAGGCCGTTGGCGACATTTGACCAAACTCGAGGCGAGCCGAGGGACTTATGGGGTCCGAGCGTGCGCGCCGGCAGCTCGGAGCTCGTGTGCACCGACGCCCGCTCGTGCGGCTTGTGCGGCTCTCGCGCTCCCCCCCACCTTCGAGCGCCCCGACCCCCACCGGCCCCCCAGGCCGAGCGATGGGCGCTGACAGTCATGATCGATCGGCGGCTCATTGTAGACGACCCCCGCCGTGCACCCTCCTCTTCGTCGTCACTCCCACCACCACGTCGAATTGCTTCATCTCGAAGCAGGTCAGTCACTCCGAGCTGCAAATTCCCCGTCCTCTCGGGCGTGCGAGCGGACGAGTGGCATGGTCCATCACCGTGCCGCATTTGGGCGAGCACGGCCCCGGCACGCTCGAATGGCAGAGGCGGTTCCTCGCGAGCACCGAGGGCGTGACGATCCTGCGCTCATCAAGCGGGATCAGGGGTGCGCACACCTTCCACAAGCGTCGAGAGGAGGACCTCGAGTTTGCGGCGGCGGACTCGGCGAAGAAGAGAGCTGCGGGGAAGGTCGGCATGGCGAAGAGGAAGGCCGACACGAGTCGGTACGACCCCGTCGCTCGGCCAAAAGGGACCAAAAGGACGCCGGGTTTGAAGAGGAACAGGAAGAAGGGGCACTACCCAAAGCAGGTTGAAGCGACGCATAGAAGAGCCGAAGGGGGGTATGCCAAGATCCTGAAGAAGGTGTGTGAGGGCACAACGAAGGTGAGTTTCCCCGGTGACTCGGAGCGAAGGCGAGGTCGAGTTCGGACGCTCAATTCATGCTCTATGTCACTCTTCCTAGCTCAAAGTACACATCGCACGTTCCCGACAAACTGAAAGGCACGAGAACGCTCTCGAGCCTCACTGATTCCGAGTCCAAACAGAAAGGATCAAACGGTGTAATTCGCAGGCGAAGAAAGACTACTAAAAGGACTAAGGTCAAGAGACGCGGCGGCGCCGCGCGCGAGGGCAAGCGTGAGGCCGCAGAGGTTGGCTCGAGGTCGTCGTGAGGCGTAAGCGGAGCGGCGCCTTACACAAACCTTTTTCGTTGGCCATTTGGCGTCGGGAAAAATCGCTTTCCCAGTCTCGGCCGCCTTTGTCGACCTCCAAAAGAAGCCCGACGTCTGCGCAACGATGGACTTTGAGTCGAGTCGGCACGATCGCGACCCCTGGAAGGTCAGCTTTCAGGTGTTCGAGTCCGACGACGCTCGGAATGCCGGTCATCCGATCTTGCACACTCTGAAGTGTGAGCAGAGTGCGCCCGCTATCTTCGTCCCGAAGCGTTGCAGTTGGAAACCTGGTCAGGGTTGGAACGGATTCACCATCGCCGCTCTCAAGGCCGGTAATCTGTTGAATGGGGAACTGCACGCCGTGTACGGTTACCGCCAGGAATCGCCCTCAGAGGGCGACCAGGACGATGACGATAGCGATGACAACAATGAAGACAAGAATCCCAAGATTTCCGTTGGCGGAAGCGGCAGGGGCGAGAAGGTCAACGACGGGTGCGACGACGCCGCGGACCTCGACCGCACTGTCTTCGATGCCGAAGGGGCAGACCAGCTCGCCGACGACGAGGGATCGATCGAGTACGAGGAGAACGAGGTCTACGAGAACGGATTACTTTACGAGATGCCGGACGAAGAGGAACTGGACGAGTGGTCGCGTCAACGTGTCGGAGACAACGAGCTATTCGACGGGCTCGCGCGACTCCGTGCCGAGGCCGTTGTCCTCGCGCCCGCGGCCCAAGCGTCGACTTCGACCCCTCACGTCCCTGCCCGCGCCGCTCCCTCTCCTCGGCCCCCAATTTCGTGCGGGACCTCGTCACCTTTGTCTTGTGTCAAACCCGCATCCAATTTGGACGAAGAAGACTCGACCGAGCACCTTCGTCCTCGCGATCCCTCGATCCGCCAGGGGAAACGCAAGGCACGGGTACCGACCCTCGACGACCGCTCCCGCCCTTTCCGCTGGAGCCCACCACCTCGCGTCAAGCCAGCCTCGCCCTCCTCACCTCGTCGCCACTCGCGCCACGTGCGTTTCGCCTCGCAGCTCGAGATCTCTCACCCTGGCTCTAGCCCTCTTCAAGGGGTCTCCGTCGCGTCGACCTCGGCCTCGAGCCTGCAGCGCGTTGCCCAGGGACTGAAAGGAGTCGACGACGACGAACTTGACCGCGACGCGCTCGACTGTGACGACTTTGACGGCGACGTATTCAAGGCGTCCTGGAGCAGCGATTACGTCGCCGACCAGGATCTCCCCGCTGTTCTAGCCCGCCTGCAACGCGAGCCGAGTCTCATAGACTACGTTCCCGACCACGGCCTTCCGGCGGTCCTCGCTTGGATCCACTGAGCAGACCCCTCACCGACGGTGCAGTCCCGTGTCGATGCGTCGACGTCGAACCTGCACGCGGTCTCACCCGTAGCGTCGACCTCGGCTGTCGTTATGCCACCTCATATCGTGCAAGGAGCCTTTCCACGGTCGGCACCAGACGGTGAGGTCGTCGACGACGATCAAGTCGAGGCTTGGTGGCAGGACCCCGTCGCCGCCCCCAAGTTGTCCAGCGTCCTCAACGGAGCAGCAGGCCCCGCGGATGCACCTCCTGCACCGCCGTCGTCGTCGTCCTCGTCATGGCCGTCGTCGCAGAGGAGGCCGGCCCAACTGTCGTCGTCCGAGGCCTCGTCGTCGACGTCGTCCCGTCCACTCTCTCCCTCGTTTCCCTCGCCCACGCCCCCGCCCGAACCTCGGCTCCACCCTCCCTCGCGCGCCGCCCACGGTGCTTGCGCTGCGCCGCGACGCTCTGTCGCCGCAATGCCGCTCCCCAAGGCGTCCTGCGAGGTCATCGTGCTCGACTCTGACTTTTCGGAGGATGACGAGTTCGAGATCGTCGTCGTCGGACCGACCTTGGCACGACCCATTGGCTCCTTAGCCACGGTCGGTGCGGCTCGCCCCGCGGCCTCGACTGCGCGTGCGTCGACGGGTCCGCTCACTCGCCAACCACCTCCTCGCCCGCCCCTAACTGGTCCTCGATTCGGACGGTGAAGAAATGGAGGAAGAGATACACACTTGTAGTGACATGGAGAAACGGGGTGGGCTCGAGGAAAAGGACGAGTGGAAGGGCTTTTGGACGAGTCGTCCGGGGTGCGGCGTAGGGCCCCCAAGCGGCCGCGCACGAGGCGATGAAGGGTGCTGGGCCGGGCAAGGAGGGGTAGTGCCACTTCAGGGGTTGTTTTGATTGGTAGGTTCATTCGGCTCCCTCTTCCGTGCCTTGTCGTGCCTGCCGTCGGCAAGGGTGAAATTCGTGTCTCCTCTCGCTCTTTCTTTGATCCTTCGGCTCGGGTGCGCTGAGAATGCTGGGACGAACGGAGAGGGAAAAGGTGTCGCCTCTCTGTCAGCTTGCTGTATCATAAACCAAACCTATCTACCTGTGATCTCTCAACGTTGCGGAATTCGTGATGAATCGAGATCGGCGAGCGTTTTGCTTGGGTGCCTTGGGGGCATGGCAGAGTGCAACTGCACGTAGAGCCCACAGACAGAGAGAGGGGGGGGGGCTGTGAAAGGTTCTGGGCCAGTTTTGTAGTAGTGAGCGCTCCTACTGATGATACAACTTTAGAGACATGTTCATGATTCCCTTCAACTCAACAATTTTAGTTAGCAAAGTCCCTATACAACATGATTTTAACAGTGTAGTAAGTATGTCTCATGTCTGCAACTGCTCGAGATTCTCAGGCGGACTCGGAGTGAGGCCGGATGGGTCCGCACTTTGCTGGGCCCCAGACGTCAGACCGCGGTGTGCGGACATGCAGTGTGTCGGTCATATGTCCGCACATGAGGCGGCGCGCACATGAGAATTTCGTTTCATCATAAGTCTTGCAGCACATATGGTATCGTGTTCTTCTTGCAGGTTCAACCTAGAAATACTTATAATTTGTCCTACGAAATCGAAATGATACGATTTTGTCATGTATTGACCTATAATCAAGTGTCCGCACAGGTGCGGATACTATTTGTGCAGTTTTCGTATGCGCTGACTGCCTTTGGCGCCAAGTTGTATGTGCTGGTGCACATGGCGATGATCGCGTTTTTCCACGCTTGAACTGGAATTTCGGCAAGAGGGTACGGCAGGGCGGAGGCAGCGACCGTTGGTGAAAATTCGCGCCAAAGTCCCGGGTCCGAGGATAGATAGGACAAGAGACTCACGTCGTGCATCAAGAGCAGCAAGACTTCCCATACCCTGCTCATTGCCCTCACCCTCGCTTGCTTCACGCCCACTAGGCTCGGCATGCACGCCGTCGTCCTCTCGACGTTCGAATTCGTCGCGGCGATCGGCGTTCGGATCGGTGACAGACAGGGACTGAGTGCGGGGTGTATAAGGAACTTAATGACGTTGAGGAAATTGACTCCCTGATCAGCGTAAGCACATTGAGAAGCGGATGGGGAGAAACTAAGCCGCTTCTGCGCGCGGAGTCTAAAAACGTCTAAGCAATACCCAATCGGACACCTTCTAATGAATACTGAGTCCAAGAATCCCTTCAATCGCGATCACCGCCTCAACCCAGTTGGCTCCCACTGTGCCCCAGACGAGATCGTCTTCTGTTGCATGTAAGGTTCGGCAGCCACTCGGTAGGTCCAAGCTCAAACCTCGGACCGACGGACCGACTTGCCTGACCTCCCTTTCATTTTCCCTGCCTTTGACTGACAACCATCGTGCATCCCTTTGTCATCCTTTCCTATTTTTATCTCATCTGTCTCTATTGTCCTAGTTTATCACAAAGAACCTCATTGTCTACAAGTCTCCCTTTATCAGCTCCAGATCCCCTTTAATAGCGATCCGTAGCTCTCTTCTCTCTTTTCCTCTTTTCTCATCCTTCACTGGACCCCCACTCTTGACTCACACTTGACAATCGACTGGTTTTGGTACTGTCTGTTCGTCAAGCAACATCGAGAGTATTACCGAGGAACCCGCCTTTACTTACGCCGCCGCTGAGTTATGTGGGCTCCTTACATTGCACCAACCCAGTCCAACAGGGTGCTAGCTGAGCAATGAATGAGGGAGGAATTGGGAGCCCTTCCTTTCGTCGCGTGGTCTGAAAACGCTGCGAGTCGAGCCGACTCGAGCACGACTTTGGTGGCGTCGGTGCTGAGATCGGTCGAAACGAGAGCCCGTCGGTCGAACCGAGTGCTTGGAATGACGGTCACGTGAGGAAGCTCCACTGCAGCACGGGACTCGGAGATCGCACAACGGTCGTGCGACTCCGAGTCGACAGCAATCAGATAGGCAGTCGAAGTAAGCCGAGGGAGACGTGGCGCACTTTTCGTTCAGTCGAATACGATACCTGCGCAGGAGTGCAGTGGAGATGCGAAACGCAGTGAAGTTAGTCATCGTTCGCGACCTCATCACGGACAGACGCGTGCACGGTGCCGGCCTAACTCGACATTCCGCTCACTAGCAAGGTACTGTTGCGACGGATACACGACTCAAGCAGTTCGGGCTGCATGCGAAGGAGGGTGCAATATCGCCACAAAGACAAAGGAGTCTGCCACCGCCAACCCAGCCAACGACTAGGGTGTAACACTGAGTGAACTGTGGCCAAAACATTTGAGTAAGGGGCCCGGCCACGCGCGCCGACGCACACCGCCCGCATCACTCCCGCATCCGCCTCAGACACGCCTCAAACAAGGCGGCGCGAGCTCAATTTTGGTTTCGGGCAGGCCTGCCCAGCGCCTTTCCTGACGTGTGGGCAATATATACTGTCCTCTAGACCTTACTTCCCCGGGGCTGACACCACGATTCGCTACCCCCTCACGTTGCAGCTTCTCCTCGCCCCTCGCCCCTCAACTCAATTCTTTCTCATCTCGAGCAAGTCCGAGACCGGTACGTCGTGGTTCTCTGGCATTCACCGCCGCCGGTCGCTCGGGTCTTGACCCGGATCGGCTGCGCTCGCCGCTTGTCGCTCGGCGTCACCTCTTCGCCCAGTCCGGATCTCGCTGTGTTGCCCCGACTGACCATGCGGTGCCTTGGACCTCTGTGGGTATTCTGATGCACAGAGCTCTACCTCGAATCAGCCGCTGGTCCACAATCCGGTCAGTCGTGATTCGCATACCCATCCCCACAGCGGAGGTCGAGTGCCTCGCGGCGTTACCTGCTGGGGACCCCTAAGGAAAGGCGGTAGGCTGACTCGAGCCTTGCTCCGCCACCCTTTTCCCACCTGTGCAGACGACCGCTATACCAACGCCCTCCATATCAAGAATCACGATGACGAACGTCAAAGCTACCCCCAAGCTCTATCTTTACGAGCTTTACGGTGTCAAGGGCACGCCCGCCGAGCGCCTCAAGTCGTTCTTCCGCCGACTCGCCAGCATCGAGGAGCGCCGACGAGAGCGCGTCTCGGCTCTCACGGAGACCCACAACGATCAACAACGTCTTCTCGCCCTCGTCGACATTGTCAACGTGCGTTGCGATTAGCGCTCGGAACGTCGCTTCGAGGTGCGGGACGAGCTCGCAGAATACCTGGCGAGTGACCCAGCCCTTGTCCGCTGCCTGGCGGATTTGACCCGCCAGGGCCCTCGCTTCAACCCGAGGGAAGCCGGTGATCGACTCGAACTGGTGGACGCCGAGGACACCGGAGGAGGGCTCGCCCAAGCGTACCTCCGCGTTCTACCCTGCACGCGCGAGCAAGCGTTGGCGTGGTCCTCGGACTTTGAGCGGGACTCGCCCGTGTCGGGGGTGCTGGAGCCGCTGTTCCGCGCGGAAGTGGAGCACCTCCCCACCGGTGAGGGGCTCGTGCGGGTGTATGTCGGGTACACGACCCGCTCTCCCACGAAGCGGGCTGTGGAGGACGCCCGCACGATTGAGCGGGGCCGGCCCCAAACGAAGTTTCAACACTTCATGGAATTGAGCGGCACCGAGCTCGACAGCGACATCGCCGTTTATCGGATCAAGCTGTCCGGCCCCCTGTCCGAGGCTCGTCGTCGTCGCCTCGCGAGCTCACTCGAAGCGTTCATCATCTCGCTGCTCGGGCCCGTTTGCCTCAATTCGGCCTCGGGTGGATTCAAGACGAGTCGATGGGGGCCGAATCCGTCCAACACGGATTTGTTCGACATTCGCCGAGCCGTCGAGACGCTTCTCGGCCCCTCCCTTCGCTCGAACCGACCCGTGTCCGAGCCCTCTGTCGCCGCGTTTTGGTCGGCGATCCGCGCCCACTTTGAGGATGAGCGAGCGGACTTTGGACGTGGACTGGTCCCGGACAGCAGAGGTACCATCCCCGGCGACTACGTCGCCGAGCAGACCGTGCTCGCGGCTTCGTTCGGTCGCGACGGGTTCGACCGCCCGACCGTCGTTCGGGTGCTCGAGGCCCCCCCCGAAGAAGAGTTCTTGGGCAGAGCCCACTTTTTCGGCACGGACGCGGGCGTAACGGCACAGTTCCTCCGAACCTCGCTCGCGTTCGCCTTCGATGTCGACGAAGCTTCCTTGGAGGCCACCCCCCTGACGCCCTTCGACCGTCAGCGTGGCGCCGCCGACGCGCAGCGCTTCTCGTTGGCACGCATCGGCCTCGTCGACATCCTCGCGCTGCCCAACCCGAATCGCCTCGCCGAGTCGCTTGCCTTCCTTCGGCGAATCCTCGTCAACGTCGTCCCCTGCCCGGTACTCGTCGTCACCGGCGCCAAGGCGTACGAGCTCGTCACTCGGTTCCTCTACCGCGTGAAAATTGCCTCGTCCGTCGCCCGCGACGCCTTTGCAGGGTTGGATTCGAGCAAGCTTCAGCCGGACATGGTCGAGGTGCCGCAACTGCGCCCCTGGGCATCGCTCGGCCCCGAGCTGTTCACGGAATTGGTCGGGACGACACGCGTCGTCGAGATTGCTCCAAGCATCTGGCGTCTCGTCGTTGTGCAAATACACCCCGGTGCCTTTGCGTACGAGCCCAACATCGCGCCGCCTCGCCAACACCTCGCTAAAAAGGTAGCTCGGCCGGGGCAACTCTCGCCGCTGAGCGGCAAAAAGTTTGGTGAACGGAGTGGGACTCGAACCCACGCCTCTTGCGAGACCAGATATTTCATCGCAATGCAATGCAGGAACCGGGATTTGGCTTTCCTTGAGACTGGCTCCTTGACCACTCGGACATCCGTCCGGAATAATTTGATGCACAGCGAAGCCAAACTGTGCTATCCAGCCTCGTTTTTTTTGCCTGAGCGTTTCTACACACACACACACACACACACACACACACACACACACACACACACACACACACACACACACACACACACACACAAGTGAGTTTCTGTGGTGTAGAGTGAGTAGTTGACCTCCAAGCCCGTTAAGCTTTACAGGTCAACACAAACACGCGATGCCGGATCCGCCCGGCGCCGATGGGCCCCCGCCCGAGGACCTATTGGGTGGTAATGGCGCGAGTGATTCATCACTCAACACGCAAACGCGTGAAGCGGTCACTGGAGGAACCGCGAATCCTCCAGCTTGGTCGCCCAAGGCAACTCAGGTCCGGTTGGACCATGAGAAGCTGATGAAGAAGACCTTCCAAGTGCTCGGGATTGTTCCCTCCAGCAAGTCGACCCGCCGACTGATGGTCCTGATGCACGACGCCTCGACCCCGCCTTCGCAGGCGCCAGCGCTCGCACGAGCCGCCCAAAGAGCGGTGCGAAACGACGCAGCCCCGGCCTCCAATGTGATTCGAGTCATTATGGATGGTCCTGGATCACCCAGAGGTCCTGTACAGACCGCGCTGCGCAAGCACTTTGGATTGGCCGAGACGCCGTTCATGTTCGCGCGGCCCGAGGGCGTCGTGCTTGACCCCGAGGTCGAGAAGCTTTTCTCGAAATGCGTGAAGCTGAACCCGATTGTGACGAAAGCCACGAAGAGGTTCCCGATCGCTCGTCACATGTACGAGCTTGTATTCGAATCCGAGCAAGCTTGTCTTGAAGCCGCTTCAGCGGGCCCATTCCCCTACCACGGCAAGGAGATGGTTACCGAGCTCCCCAGCGCCTCTCCCCTTAACCACGTCGTGCAGGTGCGATTCACCTTGCCCTCCTCCTCCAGCGCGATCCCCGCTTCCGTGCTCCGAAAATCTCTCGATGATGCTATCACCCTTTCGTTCGGCCGCGCAGGTCGCACGCAAGGTTATACCCTGATGCAATTACAGCGGGGCCTCGCGGTCGATCCGAATGGCGATCCGATGGCCATGACCGAAGACGGGTTCCACTGCGCGTACCTTCGCTTACATGCTGATCTTTTCCAAGGCTCCATCGAGACGCAGAAGGCCGCGCTCAACGCCGCTTTGCCACAAGAGATCGAGATCCTGGGCGCCAAGTACGGCTTGCGACACGAATTCGAGACGCACTACTGCGCGGTGTGCGATCGCGCCGGACACCAGTGGGGCGCTTGCAGGAAGCCGGTTTCGACTCCGGCCACCGCCGCCCCTGTTCCGGGGGCCTCGACCTCGACTTCGACTTCGACCACCGGCTTCCGAGTTGCTGGAAAGAATGGGAAGCACGGTGGGCCTGCCGCATTGAACTCTCGTGTCTCTGGCGCGAACATGATCCAGCTGGGACCTCGTGCTAACCCCGCAGGTGCAGTAACCGCCAACAAGGACGACGCGAACGACGGCGACGACGAGCCGGTCGTTTCGACCGAACCGGAGGGCGGCGACACTGGGGAAGAGACGTCGACGCGTGCGACCCTGGGCTCAACAAAGGAGACGCAGACGACGACGGCGGCGCCCGTTTCGACCCCGACCTCTCCTTCGCCTTTGTCCGGTGGCACGTCGGGATCATCGGCAACCTCGACAACCTCGATAGCCTCGACGAGTCCTCGACGCCTTCGTTCGAGCTCGGCACCCGGCAACCGACGTGTCACCCGGGCGGGATCCGCCATGATCCTCGGTGCATCAGGGGGTGATGGCTCAGGGGGCAACAGTTCAGGGGGTCACAGGTCCGAGGTGACCGAATTCGAGGGGGGCGGCGCTGAACTGATTTAATCATGATTGAGTCACTCACCGTGTTGACGTTCAACGTCCGATCGATGAAGAACGCAGTCAACCAAGTCAAAATTATCCGTTATCTCAAAACCCTTCGGCCGGCCCCTGCGGCCATCCTCCTGCAAGAGCACCACCTCAGCTACAACGCGTCGCGCGAAGGCTTCGAGAGTGCTTGGCCGGGGGCTTGTATTCGTTTCACTCCTCATGTCCTTACCCTCATACCCGATGGCTCACCTTTGGCGGGCCATCTCCTTTCCTCTACCCCGGTCGTCTTTGCAGGAGCTCCTCGTTTCGACGGTCGGATTCTGCGCTCGGTGTTTCGTCTTGAGGAGCTCGATGTCGAGATCATCAACATGTACGCGCCGGTGCAGGAGGACGATCGTCGCGACTTTTTCGGGCTTCTGCACTTCAACGCCCCGAGACCCAAGATTCTTCGGATCTTGGCCGGCGATCTCAACGATTGTCCGGATGTATCGGTCGACCGAGTGTCCATCACCGATCGCGCTTGGACTCCTGTATCGCACTGGCAGACCTTGCTGTCAAAGATCGCGTTCAAGGCACTCGACACGGTCCGACATGTCCATCCTTGCACCCCTGCATTCACTCGTCCTCACTACCGTGGTAGAGGGGAAGAGCGAAAGATTTGCTCGTGGTCGCGGATCGACTATATTCTTGTCCAATGCAGTTGGGCGAACCGGTTGTTGAGCGCTTCTACGCTCTTCGATGCGCCCTGTTCGGACCACAGACCTGTAGTTGCGACTTTCGCTTTGCCTACATCGAACGCTGATGCCGAACCCCCCCTTTCTCTTCCCTCCACGAGCGATTTCATTTCGAGGCTCAACCCAATGGTCTTTGACGATCAAGACTTTGTCGCATCGATTCCCGGGGTCGTCGACGAGGTCTATCGAAGGCTCGAGGGGACCGCTCCGCTCGGCGACGTCTATGACGCCGCTCTGCGGGCGGTTGCAGTCGCTGGCCATGCACGATACCGCTCGACTCGTGCCGACATGCGCCGACTGCGGGCCGAGAGCCAATCCGTCATGGAGGCTTTGGAGGCACGCGGTGAGCACATGAATGAGGCCGAGCGCGATGCGTATGCTCTTGCCAAGTCGCGGTTGGACCAGTTGGCGGTAAAGGAGGCTCAGTGGCTGCGCATTCGTGCGCATGTGCCGTCAGTCGACTCGAGGGAAGGTCAATCGGCAAGCATTCGCACGCGCCTCAACCGCCGGAGTCGCCAGACGAGCATCGTCTCGCTGGAGGATGTGGATGGCACCGAGACCGTTGACATGCAGGAGGCGCTGGGTATTGCTTCACGGCACGCGCAGTCGCTCTTCACGCCGGACCCAGCTCGTGGCGACCCGACGAACGCACGCCGGTCCCTGCTCGACCCTATTCGCGCAGCGAAATGCTACGATGACGACCGCTCGGACCCTACGTTCGGTCGTCGGCTGCCTCGTCAAGCGAGAGTGGCGCTTGACGAGCCCTTCACCCTCCTCGAGGTTGAAGCGGCGTTGAAGAAGACGGATTCGGGGCGATCACCGGGGCCCTCGGGCATTCCGTACGAGCTCTTCAAGGCGCTGCCAACCTACTTTGCTCCCAAGCTGTTGGACTTGTTCAACTCGATTTGGGAGGGCGGCAAAATGACGGCGTCCTTGGCAGAGGGGCTGGTGCGGCTCTTGCCCAAGAATAAACCGGGGGCCAATCTGAAATCACTGGGGGCATACCGACCGATCACATTGCGCGAGACGACCTACAAGGTCCTCAGCAAGGTCTTGGTGGCGCGACTCAATGGGGTGCTCGGCGAGCTTTTGCCGCCGGCGCAACACGGTTTCATGCCATCAAGACGTTCAGCGGACGCGGGAAGTCATCTCACTCTCCTTCTCGAAAAACTCAAGTCGCTAGGCACTGATGTTTTCCCCGAGGGCGCCCTCTTGTCTTTGGATCAGCAGAGCGCGTACGATCGGGTCGATCACGCCTGGATCTTCGAGGTCTTTGAGGCCTTTGGGTTCGGTGAGCGTTTCATCTCGCTGCTGCGCGCTCTCTACGATCCCAAGACTCTGGGGGTGCGCTACCTTGTCAATGGGTTCCCCACGGACTTGGTGCGGTTGCTGTGTGGTCTCGGTCAGGGGGATCCCCTCTCGTGCCCGGTTTGGAACATCACGTTCCAGCCCTTCCTCGACGCCCTCGTTCGGCGCGGGATCGCGCTCGACCTGCAGAAGGTGTGGCCAGGGGGGCCGCGTGCGCAGCTTACGCATCTGGCGTTTGCCGACGATGCTGTGGTGGTGGTGGAGTCACCGGCGGCATTGTCGAAGCTGCAAACGCTGTCGCAGACGTGGTACGAGGCTACCAACGGGAAGACCAACACGGACAAGACGCTGGTGCTACCACTCGGACCGAACTGGCTTCGGGACGAGACTGCGCAGGCGCTGCCAACGGTGCAGGAGGGGGAGAGCTTCAAGTGGTGCGGCTATGCCTTCTTTCGCCACGGTGACTCGAAACTGTTTTGGACCCATGTTCTTGACAGGATCAAGGCCAAGACCCGCGCCGCTCGAGACCGGACACTTTCGCCGAGTGGGAAGGTTTTCTATGCCAACGCTCACATCATCTCGACGGTCCTCCACGTGCTGTCCTTCGACATACCGCCTCAATGGTTCATTAAGGCGGCGGAGACGGCACTTACGGACTTTGTCTGGGGAGGAGCAGGGCGAAATACCGTCGCTCGCGATTTCGTGTTCCAGGCTCGGGAGGACGGTGGCTTGGGTTTGATTTCGATTGGCGACATCGTTCATTCGGTGGCGCTTCGATTTTGGGATGCTGTGGCGGGCTCGGACGAGGCGATCTGGGCGCCCCTAGCTCGCGAGAGCTGGAGGTCCCTCGTCGCTGCGACCCGCGATTTCAGTCCGTGGGGGTTCTTCAGCAGCACGGCTCGGGTCGAGAAGCTGTATCGCGACTCGACGCGCTGGGGGGCAGTCGTTGCAGCGGCCAGGGTCACAGTTCCAACCATCAAGTCCGAACTCCTTACGCTTCCCGAATTGCTCTCGCTTCCGCCTCGCCTCCCTTCACTCTATGCTGAAGGTGCCCAGCACGCATATGACGATGCGGACGCGGTGGCGAAGTTTGCGCAGATCGCGGACCTGTACTGGAGGGACGAAGGGAAGGGATGGGCTCTGGTTGGTCATCGACGCGGGTTCTGGCAGCACTCTAAGGAACCCGCCCTACAGCACGAGCACGTGTGGTCGCGCGTGGGTCAGTTGCTCAAGGCGAAAGCGTTGCTGCCCAAGACCGCGTTGCGACCTGCTCGGATACCTCTCAAGGAGGCTCCCCGTCCTCGGTGCTTCAACTTCTTTGGGCTCTCCCGACCTTTTACGATTCGCAAGCTTCGTCGGCTTGTGAACAAGGTGCGGTTCCCAGGGAGGGAGGACCGTGTCAAGCGTCTCCCTGATGGGACTTCTCAGAGCGATAGGAAGCGCTTCTGGAGATGGCTTCATGACCGGTTCGCGTCTGCTGTCGAGCAGGACACCCACTGGCGGCTCATGTACGACGTGACGCCGACGCGCAAGAGGCAGCATACTCAGGGTCATGCCTCTTCGCCGACGTGTCTGTTCTGTGGCAACGATGCAGCGGTCATCGAGACGGTGTCCCACTACTTTTTCGAGTGCGCGTACTCGACCAGCTTCTGGGGTGGGGTGCTACGCATTCTGCTTGACAAGCTCGGCATCGAGGATACCGACGTCGATCCGTCGACGTTCACTCCGGAGCAGCTGACTATGGGGCTCCCCCTTTTGCGGGGTCGTGGGAGAACGACCTCGAAATGGATGTGGGTTCGGCTGGCCTGCGCGATCGGCTTCCAGCGGCTGCACCTGCTCCGCTGGCGCGTTCATCAGCGGTTCGAGCTGGACAACGTCGTGGCCCCTCCCTCGCTTCCCAGTGCGCTCAGAGCGTTCGAGCGAGATTTTCTCTCTCGAGCGGGTTTTGTGCCTGGGGTTCGAGATTGGGAGGTGTGATGACCGCGTTAAGTCCTTCCTTCCCATTTTCCTCCCCTCCTTTCCTCCCTTCCTTTTCGGTCAGAAGCTGACTGTCTTGAAACTTGTTGCGCAGTGGAAGGCTGCGCACCTCTCCCTCTCTCTACTTTGCGCAGTAGCGATTTTCGTTCTTGGATGGATCGGCAAGCCGGGTCGATCGTCGTTGCGTTGGAGGCTTTGTGAAGTTCTCCCCCCTCTTTCCCCCCCTTTTTTTTCCCTTCCCTTCCTCTTCTCTTTCCTGTTGCTCGGTTGTTGACTACGCTTCAGCCACTTCTCCTTTTATTCCTAAGCCGTGTGTTGGATTCCGTCGAATAGATCGTTCGTTCGCGTTGGTCAAGATCTACGGCATGGATCGGGAAGAAAGGTCGCTCGTTTTTTTGGTCAATATCCTCGCGTCAAGGCGAGGCTCGTTTCGTTGTATTGGATCGTTTTCGCTCGGCCCCGACGGCTCAACAGCCAGCACTCGAGACTCAGCCAAGGGAGGACATCAGGCGCTGTCGGGGTGACGAGTAGCTGGGGCTTGGCTGCGGCCTGTCAGTCCCTGGGGACCTCTAGCTCTGGCTTCGACCCCCTCCCTTGGCCCCTCGGGTGTGTTCCCCTCCTCCTCCCCTCCTCTCTGTCTTAGTATTCCTGGTTCTCCGTGTTTCCAGTCGTGAATGTTTGTATATTCTCCCCTTTTCTTTCTCTAGGCGCTCTTGCCTGGTTTTCGAGTATCTTCGCTCCCGCTCTTGGGACGTGAAGCGGCAGCAGTACTCACCGCCCGTTGGAGTCCGCGTTAGGTGCTCGGCGGGTTTTGATCTGCGCAGCGCTCTTTGCGCGCAGGGGTTTGACTTTCACCCAATTGCTTGCCGTCGTTGCTTTATAACCTCTTTTAGCTCTTTTTCTAGCGGTCCCAGCCAACCCGAAGGATTGCAATTTATGAGCCCCAGTAAAAAAAATAAAAAATCGAAGAAGACGCAAGTCACGGGCCCCGCCACCGCCGCACCCAACTATGCTGCCGCTGCGAGTCAGATGGCGGCTCAAACACCTGAACAACAGCAACAACAACAACAGCGTTCCAAGGCTCTGGGCAGCCTCCTACAAGCCATGGGTGCTGTACCCGGAAACCGCATGGATCGCTGGGTCCAGGCCATCTACTTCGCCGAACTCTACCCCGTCGCCACCGCCACATCGCTGAAATTTTCGGCCTTGAACGCGAACCGGTCCGTCGAGAACATCTTCGATTACGCCCTTGAAGTGACTCTGTCTCACCAGAGCGCCTCGCGAGCGACTCATGCCGACAAGATCGATCTCGTGGCCTGCGTCACGAGGCTGCTATCGCCCATCTCTCCTATCTGCTTTGAGCCTGGAGTTCCTCTGCCGGACCATCTTGCGGCTTATCAACCACAGATCTTAGGCGTACAACATTCATCAATCCTGCGTAATGGGGCGGCTCACCATCGCGTTACGGTTGGGTTCGTCACCGGCGAGGCACGTGACGCGGCGCTCACGACGCCCCCCGCTCTCACTTGGCGATCGGCGAAGGCCCGCTTCGCGAAGTCTCACAGGTTCCACCATAACATGGTCGAGCTTCGAATCAACGTCGGTGTTCAAGGAGTGCCCTCCATGGATGCCATCATCAAATCGTTCCAATCACTTGTGCAAGACCTGTCAGGCAAGGGACATTCATGCCAACTTGTGCAGGTTCTGCGCGTTATCAGCGTGGACAACGCCTCGGCCTTCGCCCACGTTGCCGGAGACTACTCGGCTTTCCTACACTTCGATGACGACTCCCTATTCCAACGCCCCAACACGACCTTGAAGGAGATTCTACCTTCGAGGATCGACCTTCCCACTCGAGGCATCCCGGTTACCGCCCTTCGCCATGACTATGAGAAGGAGGCGGCTTGCGGTAGGTGCCACTTTGTGGGTCACGTGGGAACCTGCGGACTGGATCAGGAGAGGAAGCGGAAGGAGGCTCACAACGGCATCATCAACAGCAACAAAAACACCATCACCCACAACACCAACATCGCGGAGGCCGAGGCCCCCATTCCTGTGCTGGTTGTTAACAGGATCGCATCACAGAATCACTTCGCCGGGCTCGAGGTCGAGGAGGGACAGGAGGAAGAGGTAACTGGCCAGGGCGAACAGGGACCGGAGGAATCGGGGGAGGAAGACGCTGGTGATAAGGCGGATGACGAGGACTCGGAGGACTCGGAGATGGAATCGGAGGCGGCCGCGAAAACGGAGGTCATCAAAATTGAAAGCGAGGACGAGTCGGTCTTGGAGGACTGCAGCGGATCCGATGGAGAGGTGATTGATGAGAATGAGGTGATGGCGGATGAAAGAGGTGAAACGGAAGGAGAGGTGGCTACGGAGATGGAGGAAGAGGAGGTGGCGACGGAGGTGGGCGATGTGGACGAAGCGAGGGGATCGACGAAAGCGGAGAATGCGGAAGCGACGGACTTAGGGGAAACGAACAGGCTGGACAATGACGACGACAGCGACGCCACAGCAACCGCCGCCACCGCTTCCCGCGAATCGACGCCGCATGAACCAACCCCACCTCTGTCACCCGAAACTCTCGCCAAGTCGCTACGCGAGGGGGAGGAGTGGGACAGGATCAGAGCTAACTGGGTTGAGCAGGCACGACTTGAGCGGGACCAAAGCATCGAGAGGAGGCTCAACGCTGAAACCCCTTTGGTGCGTCACAACTTTGCCACGTGGGACGAGGACGGTGAGATACGCTCCATCAACATCAGGGGGACCGCTGCGAAGTTCAAGAAGCAGGTGATGAAGAGGTCGCAGACTGCGGCGGACCTCAGTGACCCAAGTGACGAACCGACCGACGCCAAGCGAGTCATCATCAAAGGGAAGAGCCGCGTCGTGGTGAAGGATGGAATAGAGGGGCGGAGGGTGACGAGGTCGATGTCGGCGGCAGCGGCGATGCAGGTCGAGGTGACGAAGGTGGACAGAGGGAAAGGAAGAGGGGTAGCTGAGGAAAAACGATGGTCCGACCACGAGCCCGAGGACGATGTCCTGCCCGCCCTTCCCCTCTTTGAGGACGTCACCACCGCCAAGAGCGCCTCGACCTCGACTACCCATTAATGATCAAGCACACCATCATCACCTGGAACGTAAGAAGGGGCATGGGGGTCCCGGAAAAACGACGTAATATCTACACCTACCTTTCCACATTCAAAGCTTCCGCGATTCTCTTACAAGAGCATTTCATCAGACCACAATTCTGGCAGCTCATCAAGGACGAGTACGAGGGCAAGCTCTTCATCAACCAGCACTGCCTGACCCTGATCCCGGCCGACTCGCCCCTGATCGACGCCGAGCTCTTGCGCACCCACTCGGCACTCGACGGCCGGCTCCTCGTCACCTCCTTTCGTCTGCGGGGCGACATCAAAATTCTAGAAATCAATAACCTCTACGCGCCCGTTGACCCAAAACAACGAGCAAAATTCTTCGACAAACTGATCCTCCACAAAACACAGAAATCCCACCTCCGACTCCTTGGCGGCGATCTCAACGACTGCCCGCGCCCAGAAGTCGATCGGCGGAACCAAAGTCGGCGCGGCCACCACTGGCCGATTCTGATGGGCAAGCTCGACTCGGCCTACACGGACTGCATCCGCTACAAGTACCCCATCACCCCATCTTTCACTCGACCTAATCCCAATCGCAAGCGACCCAACTCCTTCTCCCGGCTTGACTACTTTCTCCTACAAAGAGCTCACCAAAAAAGGCTCGACCAGGCCTCGACGATCTACGACTATCCCAAGGATCTTTCCGATCACCGACCGGTCTTGATCGTACTAGCTCTCTCAGACGATCTTGATGCGGCTCTCCCACAGCTCAGCCTACCTACCACATCTGACCAACTACATCGAATCAATACCACAACCTTCAAGACGGTGGAATTTCAGCGGATGATGGAAGGATGGTTGGAAGGGGCAAGCGGGGAGGATCCGGTGCGAGAGCTTGAGGAGGTTCTGGAGGCGTGCAGGGACAGGGGTGGGGAGATGGCGAGGAGGCTGCATCGGGAGCGGACGGAACGGATGGAGTATTTGGTGGGGAGGGTGCAGGATCTGGAGGCGTTACCGGTATGGGGGGAGGCGGAAACGGCAGAATGGACAAGGACGTCCGAGGAACTCAAGCGGGCGGTCGAGGAGCGCGCGCGCCTACTCCGGATCCGAGCCCACGTCCCCGAGATCGCTTCCGAGGAACGACTGTCGCGGCCGGTCCACGCCAAGCTCGCGGCGCGGAACTCGGACTCCAAGATCACAGCACTGCGCTTGGGCAACGGAGAGCTAACGCATGACATTGATGTCGCTCTTGACCACACGCAGGCGCATTTCCAGCGCCTCTACCACATCGAGCCTCGTGATCCGGAACGCGTCGACCGACTTCGGGACGAACTCCTCGTGCCGATCAGGGCGGCACGGACTTGCGACGACCCGCGCTCAGATCCGCTCTTTCTGCGCCGACTCTCGGAAGCGCAGATTGATCTCCTCCAGCAACCCATCACCGAGGACGAGGTCGTGGCCGCGATCGGGACGACGCACCCGGGGCGATCGCCGGGCCCGTCGGGCGTGCCTTACGAACTCTATCAGACCGCACCGGAGGCGTGGTCCAAGGTGCTGACCAAGGCCTACAACGCGATGATCGAGCGCGGTTCACTCTCTCCCAAGCAGGGCCAGGGACTCGTGCGCCTCATCTTCAAGCGCCACAAGAAGAATGCCGATCGCGCCGAACTCTCGTCGTATCGCCCCATCACCCTGCGCGAGTGCGATTACAAGATTTTTACCAAGGTCTACGTCGCCCGATTGAACCAAATTCTGCCCGATCTCCTCCCGCCGCAGCAGCACGGCTTCGTCAAGGACCGCCGATCGGCCGACGCTGCACTACACCTTCGTCTCCTGATCGAGGAACTTGGCGCGCGCAGGACCGAGTTCCCCGCGGCCGCGCTCTTGTCTCTTGACCAATCATCCGCCTACGACCTCGTCGAGCATGACTGGATCTTTGCCATCTTCGACGCTCTGGGCGCTCCTACCACCTTTCTTCGCGTGCTGAGGATGCTCTACTCGGGTGACTCGACCTCGGCGCGCTACATCATCAATGGGTTCCTGACGGCGCCGGTGCGACTGACGTGTGGGCTCGGCCAAGGGGACCCGGCGTCATCGTCGGTCTGGGACATCGTGTTTCAGCCGTTCCTGGATGCTCTACACCGTCGAAACATCGCGCTGAATCTCTCCATACCTGCACTTCATCCGTACCCACAGAGCCGCGCCATTACATCACTTGCATTTGCCGATGACGTTGTCGTCGCCGTCGCGGGCTTGGAGTCACTCAACTTGCTCGATGACCTGGCGCTCGACTGGAGGCATGCAACGAATGGCCGGCTCAACACGGACAAGACGGTCGTCCTACCGATTGGACGTCGCTGGGACCCTGGGGAACGGCCAATCGTCGTCAAGGCCGCAGGCGAGTCGCTCGAGTGGATCGGCCTCCCCTTCGACCCCAGCGGCGACACCGAACTCGCCTACGCGAATCTCATCGAACGGCTCGAGGCGACGCTGGAAGCGGTTCAGCATCGCTGGCTCACGCACCACACCCGTGCCTTTTACGTCAATCGGTACGCCATTCCCAAGATCCTGCATTTCCTTGCAGCCGACATCCCGCCGCCCGAAGTCGTCAAGAAGCTCGATGACATGCTCGTCGATTTCGTCCGTGGGGGCAAGGGCAGGACCAGCTACGGCAGAGACATTGTGTTCACCGCCAAGAACAAGGGGGGACTCGGGGTGATAAGGATGCGGGACGTTGTGGACGCGGTTGCGGCACGGCTCTGGGACGTTCTTCTCGGCGGTTCCGGCGCGATTTGGCAAGGACTTGCGCGCGCATCACTCCAGCGAGCTCAGCCCGACCTCGACCTGGCCACCGATCTCTGGCCACATCCATCCACTCCCATCCCCAACGACCTTCATCCCCGATGGCACGCCGCACTGGGCGTTCCGAAACTTCACGACGCGCAGGTCAACCCGAGGGCCTTGACCACCGCGAACCTGCTCGCGCTGCCCACCCTGCTCGGCAGCCTCCACACCCCCATCAGAGGGAGACAGACCATCGACGCGGTTCATGTACCTGACTACCTTCGTCTCCAGGGCTACCCGAAGGTGGCGGATCTCTATCGACGCGAGTTGTATGCGGGTGGGGGGTTTCACCTCTGGACGCCGCCCGCGGATGTGCTCGGCGACAACAGCGAGTACGATCGACGCGGGCTCCCGCAGCGACTGGCAATCGCAGCCTGGTACCGATTCACTGTAGATCGACACAAGAACACACCCTTGGCGGCGGCGGTGGCGGCGGGACGACTCAACGTGCCTCCCCGGATCGGCACCAGCGCACCGCTCGAGGCGATCATCCCCAAGCCCGTGGCCCGCTTCGCAATGGAGCAGCGCCTTCCGGACCCGGTGCTTCCACAACAGGCGAGCCAGTATACGCTGCTGAACATGGCTCGACCCTACACAATCCGTCGCATCCGCCGGGTCCTGAACGCGAAGGCTTTCACCAACACGCTCGGGCTCAAGGGACCACCGCAGCCAGACGATCTCAGGAGCTTCTGGAAGGCGGTCAACTCGAAGGCACTGACAGCGAGGGAGAGGGAAGTTTGGTTCAAGCTGATTCTCCGCTTCACCCCGACGCGCAAGCTCCAGCACGAGCAAAAGCATGACACTTCTCCCGCGTGCCTCGTGTGCGAAGCGCCGGTGGACAACACCGATCACTACTTCTTCGGCTGCGTCGACTCGCGGAACGTCTGGACCGCGGCAAGGGGCGTGCTCTGCGACGCGCTCGGATGCGACACGATCGAGGACGCCGAGTACACGACGCTTCAACGACTCTTTGGCCTCCCCAAGCTCAAGGCCAAGCTCAGCGAACAGGAAGGCGCGGGCAGGACGATCGAGATCTTCACGGGGATGGTTTTGGAGATGATCAGCAGTGGAGATGGAGGATGCAGAAGCACGGGACGAGGATGGAAAGCGTGGAGAGGAGGAGGGTGGTACTGGAGGAGAGGATGAAGTTGAGGGCGGGAGGAGCAAGAGGCAGGCGAGGGCAGTAGAGGCTGGGTTCGATTTCCCCCCACCCCACCCCACACACACACACCATCACACTTCATCTTCAACGAAACACTGTATACTAAATATCTTGCCTTCATTTTTCTCTATTACAGGTCTGCTTCTGTTGCTCATGGACCGGCTCGCGATTTGGGATCGACTCGACGGTGGCTCGCGCTCTTTGGCTTCGGGGTTCTGAGTCAAGGGAGGGATCAGCAGACACAGGCAGAAAGTCGGCTTTAAGGGGCCTCCACCGCGTCTTGTTGTAACCGAGCATAGACTTGGGACTTTGCGGGTCAGGGTAGCTGCGCAGTCGCTCTCCTGTCTTTGTCTCGACCGAGTTGGGAAGTGGCGGCAGGGTGGGCCTCTTGTTGTTAGTACGCTAGTTGTTTTCCTTTCTCTCTCTCTCTCTCCTTCTCTCTCTCATTCGTCTCCTGGGGGGGAGCAACCGCTTGGCTGGGGCACTTGAATCCGAAGTATCGGATTGGTGGACTTGGCCCGTTTCTCCTTGCGGGCGGTTTGTGTTATCATCGTCGACTTCCATCTAGTTTTTCCGTAGGCCAATCAGGGGGAACAGGAATTGGGGGCAATATGATGAACATTTTCTACACACACAAAAAAAGGTATGCCTAGGCTTGAGAAACACGCTTACAGACCCGCTCGCAGCCGCCTCACTGAAAGGCACGAGATCGCTCTCGAGCCTCACTGCTTCCGAGTCCAAACAGAAAGGATCAAACGGTGTATTTGCAGGCGAAGAAAGACTACTAAAAGGACTAAGGTCAAGAGACGCGGCGGCGCCGCGCGCGAGGGCAAGCGTGACGCCGCTGAGGTTGGCTCGAGCTGCCTCGAGGTCGTCGTGAGGCGTAGGCGGAGCGACGCCTTACACTCACTTCAAAGCCTTTTCAAGGCTCGGACAGCAGTGTAAAGAGCACGGAAAAAAAACGGCTTTGAACACGTGAAACACAAGAAATATCCTGTGCTTTACCAGAAACGCCTTCCACAGAAACTGTGCGAACATCTCACCGTGTTTGGAGTTCCATTGGCTGTAGAGTAAGGCACCGGTCAAATGAGATTGCGGGTTCGGCGCGGCCAATCCGAGCTACCAACGAGTCTCGAGTCACCCTTCTTGAGGACCGTTGTGTTGCGCTCGTATCCGTCAGAGCACATCCTGAATGGTGGAATAAGTCGTAAATTGAAGATCGATGAAACATCAAGACACCGAGGATGCCCAGGTAAGAAATGCCGGGAAGGATGCCGATTAATACCGATGTCGATAATGATCAAGCCGAGGTCATAAGATCTTCTCATATGGTCCGCCGAGCATGAACCCATGCCAGTCCTTCTTCTTGCGAACTTCGATGCAGAGCTTGTTGGTAGCGTGAAGTTAAGGCACGTTGGATGGCAGGTCCTGGAGCTAAACTGCATCCTCCTTGCAGTGTGTTCCGATCGTAGTGGTCGCATCGGTCACGATCTTGTCCCCCGCCGCAGTGCCTGCAGTGGAGGTGCCCGTAACGTGTGCGGAATGCTGTTTTCCATTCGTCTGCTTTGGCGGTGCGGATGAGATTGTAGGCACCACGAAGATCGATTTTCGAAAAAATTTGGGCACCGGAGAGTCGATCGAGTGATTCCCCGATCAGGGGCAAGAGATATTGGTTCTTGATTGTGGCGCTGTTTAGTAGGGCACGGTAGTCGACGCACAGGCGCATCGTGCCGTCCTTCTTTTTGATGAATAAAATAGGTGCTCCAATAGGTGTCGTTTGTATATGGTCATATGGGTTGTCCCGTCCTTCATCTGATTATTGTTCCTATTAAGGTACTTGGGATTAAGCCTAGCGGCGTGTCATTCTCTCCTTAGTCACTCAATCTCCCTACTTTACTAGTCTCTAATCTCTCTCCTTATTAGCTTTAGCTTTACGCTTCACTTTCTAGCCTTCCGCGAGTCTGTCCCTTAGTCTCTGGCCACTCTGTTCTCGTCCCTGTTCATTGGACTGAGTCGTGGTCATCATCAGTTACCACTCGAGAACATTTCTGCGATAATAGGTGACTGTGATGGCTCAATAGGGCTTTTCCTGAGATGATCGTCAATGTAATCGGACAAGGTTCTTAATTCTGACTGGTTCAAGGGATAGAGGCGTCCGTCCGGGACTGTGATCGAGGGGTCCAATGAAATGGTGTGGTCGTACGGAGGAGGAAGCTTATCCGCTTCTCCTTCATCAAAGACGTCAAGATATGAGTGATAGATCGGCGGGACCCAAACTTCGGAATCTTTTGTCTTTGGAGTCGATTCATCAGAGTCGGTCGCAGGCTGCACGTTGGGTGAACTGGTCATGTAGCAAGCAGTCCGAGTATTACCGTCGTTGAGAGCGATGGTGCCCATCGAGACGATACCCGTGGATGAATTGAGGAGAGTCCGGAACTCTGCAGCAGCGACTATAGTCACTGCCGGGTGATCCAACGCTGCAGATGGTTTCACATCTAAAAAATCGAGTATCTTGGTCTCAATGGCTAGCGCGAGGTGTGGTGCCTGGATCCGGCCTCTGACTGATGAATGGCTTGCAAGCGGATACTGTCTAAGGCTTTGGTCTGATGATTTCTACGCCTTCTTTAATAATACACACTCGATGTCTATCTCGCTCATTCGCCCTGCTACCAGTCGATTGCCCTGGTGATACTCTATCTCACAAGGGCTCATATATCAACGACACGTGGTGCGTGCAAACCTTCATTCGTTTGGTACACCAACCCCAAAATTACACCAACCCCAAAATTACAAGAACCCAAGTCGCCTGGCCAGATCTGCCTGCGAACCTCATTTTCACCCTTGCAGAAGGCAGACACGAAAAGGCATTACCGAGAGAACCGAATGACCCTACAGCAATCAAAATAGCCCCTACAGTAGCACGGCCCCTCCTTGCCCACACCAACACCCTTCATCGCCGCGTGCGGGGCCGTTTGGGGACCCTGGACCCTGGACCCCGTCCCCCCCGACTCGTCCGAGAACCCTTCAATCTCGTCTTCTTCCTCGGACCCACCCCGTTTGTCCACGTCACTATAATTTCGGATCGATTCGTCCGTTTCTCCACCGTCCGAATCGGGAACGAGCACGCGCGGGCGAGGGGGTGGTCGGCGAGGAACGCCGCGAGTGAGCGGACTGGTCGACGCACGCGCAGTCGAGGCCGCGGGGCGAGCCGCACCAACCGCGACCGAGGTGCAAGCGGGTCCTGCCAGGGTGGGCCCGACGACGAATATCTCGAGGTCTTCGTCCGAATCGGGAACAAGCACGCGCGGGCGAGGAGGTGGTCGGCGCGGAGCGCCGCGAGTGAGCGGACTGGTCAACGCACGCGCAGTCGAGGCCGCGGGGCGAGCCGCACCGACCGCGACCGAGGTGCCAGCGGGTCTTGCTAGGGTCGGTCCGACGACGAAGATCTCGCGGTCGTCGTCCTCCGACTCTTCGGAGGATTCGAGCACGATGACCTCGCAGGTCGGCCCGCGAAGAGGGGTCAAAGCGGCAGAACGTCGAGGCGCTGCGCGAGCACCGGTGCCGTGGGCGGCGCGCGAGCGTGGGTTGGGACGAGGCCTGGCATTGTGCTTCGGCGAGGGCACCGACAACGGGGAGCGTGGAGGGGACGCCGTCAACGACGAAGCCTCGGACGACGACAGTCGGGCCGGTCTCTTCTGCGACGAGGGCGACGGTGTAGGAGGTGGAAGCGGCGTTGCATCGGCCGAGCCTATGGCTTTGTCGAGGATGCCGAACAACTCGGCGGCGGCGACAGGGTCCTGCCACCAAGCCTCGACTCGATCGTCGTCCTCGTCGTCGACGACCTCGTCGTCGACGACCTCGCCGGCTGGCACCGATCGTGGAGTGGCTCCTCGCTCGATATGAGGTGGCGCAACGAGAGCCGAGGTTGACGCCACAGGCGAGACCGCGTGCAGGTTCGACGTCGACGCATCGGCACGGAACAGCAGCGTACGTGGGGTATGATCGGCTCCACGGATCCACGCGAGGACCGCCGGAAGATCTTCGTCGGAGACGTAGTCCATGAAGCTCGGCTCATGTTGCAGGCGGGCCAGCACAGCGGGGAGATTTTCGTCGGCCACGTAATCGTCGCTCCAGGACGCCTCGAACTCGTCGCCGTCCGGGGTCGGGGCGTCTGCCTTGCGCTTCCCTTCGCGGATCGACGGGTCGCGATTACGCAAGGCGGCGGCCCAATCCTCGTCCGAACTGGGTGCAGGGCCGACGCGAGGTGGTGGGACCGGACCGAACTCGGGGCCCAAAGTCGATGTCACGACGGCTCCCGCGACAGGAAAATTCTCGACAGAGTCAAGCTCAGCATCATCCGACGCTTCGATGGCTCCTACGTCGGGTCGAGACGAGGGCGGCGACACCCCGGTTGCGGAGAAGGGGAGATTGGAAACGGGGTGGGGGGGAGGTGAAGGCGAGAGCGAGAACGCGTCTGCTACCGGGGCTTCGGGAGCAGCTTCGGAGCAGGTCAATCGAGCGAAAAAATTGTCGAAGTCCTCTTCGACGATGTCGTAGGATTCCCCGTCGTCGACGACATCCTCTTCCACGTCGCCTGCGGGGTCCGCGAGCTCGCCACGGACGCCGTCGTCGTCTTCGTCTTCGTCTCCCTCTTCGGACACGACGATGATGACGTCGTCGTTATCTACGTCGTCTTCGTCTTCATCGTCGGTTTCACCCCCTCTGTCCGAAACCCAACCGTCATCTTCATCGCCGAACGCCTCGTGCAGGACCTCCCATAAAAAGTCCCCGCTATTGCGGGCAGCTGACGTGAACTGGTACTGCCGGCGCGGGCGGCCGCGTTGGGGGACAAAATCCCTACGCGTGTCGGGGCCTGCGCACCTCTCGCACAGGAGCTCCTGGGTGATGGGGTAGCCCTGGCTGCGGTCGGCGGCGTTCGCGAAGAGTCGAAAACGGGCGGTCCACGCCTTGTTGTTCACGGTGCCACGTCGACGAAAGTCGAAACTCGCGCAGGCGGGCTTGGGGGGGAACCGGTCCTTGTCGAGCAGGACGGAAACGGGGAATCTGAGGGGGACACCCTTGTGCATCCCTATGCTCAGAAAATTCTTGCGGTGGGCTGTAATGATCTCGGTCTAGTGTTGGAGTGCCGGGAGGAAGAACCCAGAGTGAGCCGCCCGTGTGGACACCCGAATTGGCAGGGAGCGCCACTCACATCTTTGTCGCCCGCGTGGACCTGGTCGAGGAACGTCGAAAACTTCTTCTGCCGCGATGCGTGCGACGCTTTCTTTTGCATCGCCCTGGAATTGGCCCGTCGGGAATGCGCCGCCGGCCTTGTGCTCTTGGGGTAGATGAAGCCGTCCGTTAGGGGGGCCGTCGCCCTTCTCTTCCGAATCGCCTCGCTCTTCTTTGCCGACTGCCGAGCCGCTTCGTCGGGATCATTTTGGCGACGAACGACGCCGGCCTGAGCTCCGTGAGCCCCATAGGCCGGACGCACGATCATCTTGCCTCGTTCCCTGGTCAGGAACCACCTCTTCCACCTCGTCGAGCCCGGAGCCGAGTCCCCCACCGTCGGCAGAATCGGGTGCCCCCCCGAGGTCCTCCCCCCTGTCCTTGGCGCGTTCGTACATCCTGATCAGGAAGTCCATTTGTTGTTGGCGCGCCCTGGACTTGGGGCGGCGAAAACATCTCTAGCTTCTGGTTCTGCCTGAACGTCCCGATCGAGCGGCAGAAAACGTTCCGAGGTCAGCTGCGAGCGCCGAACTGGGCGTCGAAGGAGCGGATGGACCTCACCGATCGATCGCCTCCTTGAACGTGCGGGATACGCGCTCACGTTGTTCTGCGGTCGTAGGGGCACGAACACCGGCAAAACTCTTGTTGGTGAGCATCGCGTCGGCCACGAGAGCCCGCTGTCGCCGCAACCGGTCGGCGAGACCCGATGCGACGGAACGTCGCTCGCACTCCATGCGTAGCCGCACCGCCGAAGCCTCATCCAGCATCCCAAAGTCCCCCTCGGCCACGGCTTGGTCGACGATACGGACAAGAAGTTCGGTCAAGACCGCGAGGTGTTGGCGAAGCGGCGCGAGGTGTTGGGCATCGGGGTGTATTTGCACAACGACGAGACGCCAGATGCTTGGAGCAATCTCGACGACGCGTGTCGTCCCGACCAATTCCGTGAACAGCTCGGGGCCGAGCGATGCCCAGGGGCGCAGTTGCGGCACCTCGACCATGTCCGGCTGAAGCTTGCTCGAATCCAACCCTGCAAAGGCGTCGCGGGCGACGGACGAGGCAATTTTCACGCGGTAGAGGAACTGAGTGACGAGCTCGTACGCCTTGGCGCCGGTGACGACGAGTACCGGGCAGGGGACGACGTTGACGAGGATTCGCCGAAGGAAGGCCAGCGACTCGGCGAGGCGATTCGAGTTGGGCAGCGCGAGGATGTCGCTGCGGAGATGGATGTGGGAATCTCGACTGACCGGACTGCGGACGAGCGAATCGCTCTAGGCAGAGATCACTCTGTGCTTGAAAATATGCCCACACAGTTCCAAGGTACCGCATGGTCAGTCGGCCCAGCACAGCGAGATCCGGACCGGGCAAAGGGGTGATCCGGCCGTGACCCGAGCGACCGGCGGCGGAGAAGGTCAGAGAACCACGATGTACCGGTGTCAAACTTGCTCGAGATGAGAAGGAATGGAGTCGAGGGCGAGGGGGCAGGGGCGAGGAGCGAAGAGAAGCTGCAAGGTGAGGGGGTAGCGAATCATAGTGTCAGCCCGGGGGAGGTGAGGTCAGCGACGAGCGGAGGGGCCCGAGCGGTCGTCCGTCGAGCGCGCGCGGGACGAGCTGCATGTGGGGGTTGCAACTTGCACCACCACCACCCAGGTGGGGGACGAGGGAAGCGCAACTCACTCTACGCGAGAACGAGAGCGGGAAGGGGTGTTGGTGCACGTCGCTCGTGGAAAGGGCGACGCAACGTGGAAGAGCAAATGGGGCAAGGGCGGGTCCGCGGCGCGAGCGACTGCAGGGAAGGCGGGAAGGTTGAAAAAGTCAGCTCCCGTCGCCGGCACCTAGCGCGTACCACCACGGTGATGGACCATGCCACTCGTCCGCTCGCACGCCCGAGAGGACGGGGAATTTGCAGCTCGGAGTGACTGACCTGCTTCGAGATGAAGCAATTCGACGTGGTGGTGGGAGTGACGACGAAGAGGAGGGTGCACGGCGGGGGTCGTCTACAATGAGCCGCCGATCGATCATGACTGTCAGCGCCCATCGCTCGGCCTGGGGGGCCGGTGGGGGTCGGGGCGCTCGAAGGTGGGGGGGAGCGCGAGAGCCGCACAAGCCGCACGAGCGGGCGTCGGTGCACACGAGCTCCGAGCTGCCGGCGCGCACGCTCGGACCCCATAAGTCCCTCGGCTCGCCTCGAGTTTGGTCAAATGTCGCCAACGGCCTGCCGAGTGTGGGGCCCCGGTTCACTTCTCTAGAAGATCATGAGTCCTACGATGGAAGATCGCAATCGTCGCTGGAAAACACGTCGCTAGAAAATACGAAACGGACCGAGCAGGTCGTCAGCTCACTTTTTGCGAACGACCTGACGTACGCTTGCCAAAAATGTCTGCATCCGACCGCATGAAAGGACAGCGACTGATGCTAAGCTGTGCGCTCGGAGCGGTAGCCGCCTATGTGACGGTGCGGCCAATGTACGTGGAATCAGGGTATACGTGCTACACCGACCAGCTTCGATCCTTCTCCGGCGGCGAGGCGACGGTGCTCACCAGGATAATGATCCGGAAGACTGACGGAAGCACTAGAGCCTCTGGTGCACCAAAACGCCATTGTTTAAGTCCTTTTATCCGCAGGAGCTGTGGTTGGACTGATTCAAAAGGTGACGTCAGTGCCGAGCTTGTCAGGGTGGCGGGTGACGTAGCGTGGGTGACGTGGCGCGGGTGACGTGGCGGGGACTCGGCTGTGGGGGGTCGCACAGTGACTCACCAGCGCGGCGCGAAGGAACGACGGAAAGCGGTCAAACGACGTGGTCGATAGCGAGTCACACAGATTATCCAGAGAGAGAGGTTGGCGGGTGGTATATATGTGGGGCCAGCGCAAAAGAGAGAGAGAGGGGGAGAGGTGGTGCGACCCGCGCGCTCGAGATGTCCACGAGCCGGCGCGAGCGAGTGCCTGCGAGTGCCCACCGCCGCTCAGGCGCTCAGGAGACAGTAGTGCTTGGACCTCTGCGCCCAGCCACGACCTGGCCGACGTCGGGCGAGACGCCAGGCCGGACTCGGCTCCCCTACCGCAAAAGTCCACGACAGTATAAAGCGTGAGTGGAACCTTCACCTGCTCTGCGACTATGAATGGCAGCGGGGGAGTTCACTGTGGAGATTGCCCACCCGGCCTCTGGGCGCTACACCAGGTCCGTCCCGTGCCTCCCCTGTTGCGTCAGCGTACCCGCTGAATTTGCCGCAGAGCTCATGAAGCGACTCAACAGTGTGCGTGGCCATGAACGGTCGCACCTGCTCGCGCGTCCCGGCGATCTCGATGGATTCGAGCGTCCTTTCGAGTCTTCGACTCGGTCGAACGGTCGCAACAAAGGGTTCTGACGTATCGACCATGCCGACGAAGAATTTGCGAACAGAAGAATTACAGCCTAGAGACGTCTTTGTTCTGAACGCCGAATGTCTAGAGGGTATCGAACCAAGTCCAAACCAAGTCCAAAACCAGCCCCTTCACGACTGGACGACAAAAAGGCTAACGATCTCAATCCTTGCAAATTGAAATCAGAAAGGAGCCATTTAAGGTGCAAGGTAACTTTGGTCCTTGCACCAAGCTCGGTGGGCCCAGGCTCCGGCTTGATCGTCGAACTCATCTTTCAATGCCCGAAGCAATCTCGACGACGCGCGTCATGCCGACCAAATCCGTGAACGGAGTTGAGAGTTGCGGAATCCTCATTCGTGACAGCGGTTTGTGTCAAAAAAACAAGCATCACAACCAACCGATAACTTTGACCCAAAGGCAGGAGTGCTGGCTCCTTAGACCACTCGGACATGTGTCCTGAAACTTTAATGTACAACAAAAGCGAACTGCGCTACGCACCCTCTTTTTTTATCCCTGAGCGAGCTTGCGCAGTGGAAGGCTGCGCGTCTCCCCCCTCCCGACCGTCCCCTTTGCCTGAGGGCGGGTTTACCTGTGTGTATGGAACGGCAAGCAGGGTGGACGGTCAAGAATGTTTGTATGCCCTGAAAAGTCTCCCTTTTTCTCGTGTCCTCTCTCTCTTTCTCTCTCTCTCTTTCTCTCTGGCAGCTCAGATATTGACAATAACTTGGCCCCTACCCCTTTCTCCTTTGCCTGCTTTTGGACCCGAGCTGGTTGCGTTGGATCAGCAAGAAGGATCGCTAGCTTGGTTCAAGATTCGAGCGACATGGCGAGGCTCGTTCGGGGTTTTTTTTTTGGATCGTTCGCTCGGCTCGACGGATCAATAGCCAACGCTCGAGACTCAGCCAACGGAGGCCTTCTGGCGCTGTCGGGGTGACGACTAGCTGGCGCTTGGCTGCGTCCTCTTCGTCCCTGGGGGGGCACCTCTATCGCTCGCTTCGAACCCTCCCTTGGCCCCTCGGGTGTGTTCTCCCCCTCCCCCTCCCCTTTGTCGTAGTATTTCTGTTTCTCCGTGTTTCTGGTCGAGACTTTTGTATATGTCCCTTTTCTCTCCAAGTGCTCCCTGGTTATCGCGTATCTATTAGAACCCTGAGGCCCAGATGAGTGCCGAAGATGATAGATATGATACTGTTGAAGAGAAAGAAGAGTCAATATCTACAACTCGTAACTAGGTCATACTGGGAACTCGGGAGTCTAAGCGGGATGAAGCAGCATCATACTCTCGACAGTATCCTCGTTCCCCCCCCCCCCCCCCCCCCCCCCCCCCCAAAAAAAAAAAAAAAAAAAAAAAAGGGGGGGGGGGGGGGGGGGGGTGGGGGTACACGGCCAGCCCTTTGGGATGGGGATTTCGCACGGATTCGCTCCTGGTTTCCGCAGGGTCTGACTCGCGCTAGCTTCGCGGTGCTGGATCATACGGATTCCACGGTGGACACGAGAAGAAGTTGAAATTGTCATTTTCTGAGCGCATGAAACTTATTGCAGACGGTTAAACACCTGTTTGGGGATGCTTAACATCTATTCCATTTAATTCCATTTATAGCAACCGCTAGTGAGCTGATGCTGTAATGTTTTTGCATTCCATATTGGATTCCAGAGTACCAAAATCTAAGTTTTGCAGAAGGGTTTCATAAGGAACGCATACTGGACACGGACTCATGTTATCCGTACGAGCGAGGGTCGCGCGTGTAGGGGCGGCTTCGTGGGTCAGTAGTGTGGAGGCGTGCAGTCGTCGATCGCGTGCGAGAATTGGGAAGTGGGTGCGGAGTGGGCCTCCTGTCCTTAGTACATCAATCAGTATTAATTTTCTTTTCGATTCTTCCTCTCCCTCTTTCTCTTTCTCCTTCGTCTCCTGGGGGGAGCAACCGCTTGGCTGGGCCACTTGAATCCCAACTATGGGAGTGGTGCACATGGGCAGCACTTGGCCCAGCAAACTGCGCGCCCATCCCGCCCCACTCCGACTCCGCCTGTGACTCGACCAGTTGCAGAGAGGAGACTTACTAACTACACCGTTGGAAGCATGTTGTATAGTGCATTATCAGCGGGACTCGGGACGCCCACCACTAAAAAATTGCCAGACGACTCGGAGCACAACGCTGCATGTTGAGCAGGTACTATCACCGCTAGTTCTCTTGAGCATCGCTAAATCAAAAGATCTCTTACCCACCGTGCATCTCGAACAGGTTGAAAGCGTTTTACATCTTCAAGACCCTTTCCCCTCATATAAAAGCCCCTTCCAGTGGCATTGTCGAGGCTTTGGAGGAAAGGTCGGTTAGAGCCTCGGAGTCGCAATATACGGGTAGTGGCAATGCGTCAAATTGTTCAGCAATCTAGGTCACTTCGCTAACATTCGTCGGTGCGGAAGAAAGGATGAAACCCCATTGCCAGTAGTGCCTCGGCTGGCAGCGTGTCGAGGTCGAGAGCGGAGCTGGTTGGCTCAAGAACTTACATTGGTCCGAAAAGTCGGCCCCTGCAGCGAACGATACGAGCCTGATGTGTCGTGAGGAAACGAAGAACGGGCTGGGACAGCAGGAGATTTTTGTCCGAGCGGCGATCGCCTAATCGAAGCAGGAGTCGTTAGAAAGAAGGGAGTGTCAGTGATTTGGAAATGACTCGCGCAGGCACAGTACTCTTGAATTATTTTGCGTACCTTGGGGGGGGGGGGGGCAATCGCGAGCTCTCCAGCAATCTCGTCAATGATATCTTGAAAGAACACGAAAGGATGCGCCATTGCGGTGACATTTATGGGGACCGAGGGCGTCGTCCGCACTGGCACGCTTGTCACTAATTGCGGGAAGATCCCGCTTTGACGGTCGAAAGTGTGCATGAGCGGAGGCCGCAACACGATATCTCTAAACATCTGAGCGAGCGCTTTCGATTGCCACAAAGAAGGCGATGTAGAGGTGATGGCATCGCTATTGCGACGGGAATGTGCGTCGCCGACGATCGCACTCGAACTGCAGTGGACATGCCGAGGCGGCGTCGTCGCGATTTTTGTGGCAATTTTCCTCGTTGACCACGCTCATCTCAACACCATGGCTTGATTTGGGATGAAGAGTAGTTGCTACTAAGTGGTGTTGTCCCGGCTTCAAGAATGTAGAGGTTGGAATTGGTGTCTGCCACACCGCGCGGGTCCACATAGCCGCGAGATGGTCGCCGCAAGTGTCGTCACGATCCGTGTTCGGGCCGACTCGGCAGCGTCAAGCTCGTTAGAAGGTTCTGAGAGGCTGATGCGCAAACCTTGGTTGCTTGCGTTTCGCCTTGGTGTACTGTGACCTCGGCGTCTTACGAGATTCCGAACCCGTCTGAGGTGCGCCGTCAAGAGCAGGCGGCTGTGGCCGAACCGCAACAGGGCGATTTCGCAATTCCGTCGACCTGGGACCTTGATCTGTCTAGGTGTTGGGCCGTGTTGAACCTTCCAAAAGTCTGACCCCTGACGTACAAAGTCGCGCTGCATATCTGGGCCCAGCCTTACTGTGTTACGCGTCGAATAGTAAGGGTCCGACCCGACCCGACCCGACTCGACGCTTTCGATTCATGTGGGGGCGCTCGGAGCTCCTCTGCGGCAAAGTTTGCGTTGATCGGGTACCGTTGGGTCGGACCAGTGCGACCGGCGAACCCTATTCGAAAAGACGTATGCCGAAAAACCCGGATGGGCGTACGCAGAGCACGTCAGCCTGATCACAGCCTTTGATACTGAATTTATGCCGGATCACGGAAATTAGGGGTCAAACGCCTCGATTCGCAACCATGTCCGTACCGCTGACCGCCGTATCCGCACACGCGACCGACACATGACCGGACATGGGGGCTGCGGTTACGGACATGAAAATTTCGCAACATCACAAGTCCTGCACTAGACATGTTTACATGTTCTCCGTGCACACAACAACCAAGCGTACTCGTATTCTTATTCGCCAGCATCAAGACCATCTGATATAGTCGTGTACTGACCTAAGAACAAGTGGACGGATACGTTCATACCAGTCGCGGACGCCCGAATGCTGAGCCCACCTCCGACTCGCTTCGACACGCCAGAACTCGAGGCATCAGCTCCATCAAGTGCGAGTTCTCTCAAAAGGTTGGGTTTTGGGGAAGCAAGTTGAGGCTTCGTTATTGCAAAGACGAAAAAAGAGAGAAGAAGGAAAGCGGGGACGGTCTAGTCCAAAGCGAAAAAAGAACGAGCCCGATTTCCTCTTTTGGGAAGGAGAGGGGGGTGGGGAATCATACGAGTTGGGGACAAGAGGTTGATGTTGACATCGAGGTCGAGCACTTCGAACCTCGTATATTGGGTTTTTTGGGGGAGGGGAAGAGAAAGCGGTATCAAGAAAGCAGAGGAGGGGAGTCCTCTAGTTTGGTCGACACGTTGAGCGAACGACGAATGCTGCTGTGTTGCGGTGTTGAAGATGCGAACAACAAGGGGAGAAAAGACGAGCCGAACGGAAACCACGGGAGAGCGAGACAGAGAGAGAGCACAGACCGAGCCTTTTCCTTAGGCCTTGTAGGTTTCGCGGGCCCAGCGGGCGGCCTCGACGAGGTTCTTCAACGACTCCTCCGTCTCCTTCCAGCCGCGGGTCTTGAGGCCGCAGTCGGGGTTGATGAAGAGGTCCTTGACCTGCGGGATCGCCTTGAGGAGGCCGGCGATCTTGTCCTGCAACTCCTGCACGCTGGGGACACGCGGCGAGTGGATGTCGTAGACACCGGGACCGATCGCGTTGGGGTACTTGTACGTCTTGAAGACCTCGAGCAACTTGAGATCGGACTTGCTGGCCTCGATCGAGATGACGTCGGCGTCGAGACGGATGATGTGATCAAAGATCGAGTTAAAGTCCGAGTAGCAGAAGTGGGAGTGGGTCTGCGTCGAGTCCTTGACGCCGGCAGTCGAAAGGCGGAACGAGTCGACGGCCCAGGTGAGGTACTCCTCCTGGTCGACTTGGCGCAGCGGCAAGCCTTCGCGGATGGCGGGTTCGTCGACCTGGATCGCAAAGATGCCGGCCTTCTCGAGGTCGACGACCTCGTCACGGAGCGCGAGCGCGAGTTGCTTGCACTGCACCTCCTTGGAGACGTCGGCACGCGGGAAGGACCAGTTGAGGATCGTGACGGGGCCCGTGAGCATGCCCTTGACGGGCTGCTTGGACAGCGACTGCGCGTACGACGACCAGCGCACGGTCATGGGCGCGGGGCGCGAGACGTCCGAGACGACGATGGGGGGGCGCACGTAGCGTGAGCCGTACGATTGGACCCACGCGTTCTCGGTGAACTCGAAACCGGCGAGGCGCTCGCCAAAGTACTGGACCATGTCGTTGCGCTCGGGCTCGCCGTGGACGAGGAGATCGAGGCCAACCTTTTCCTGGAACTCGACGACGGACTTGATCTCGTTCTCGATGAAGTTGTCGTACTCCTTCTCCGAAAGCTCGCCCTTGCCGAGCTTGGCGCGCGCGACGCGGATCTCCTTGGTCTGCGGGAACGAGCCGATCGTCGTCGTCGGGAACGTCGGGAGGGGGAAGACCTTGTTCTGCGCGGCGATGCGCTCGGGGAAGGGGGACTGGCGGTTGTACATCTCCTCGGTGACGGCGGCGACGCGCTCGCGGACGGCGGCGTCCGAGTTCTGCTCAAAGTCGCGGCGGGCCCGGATCGAGGTCGCGTTGGCCTCGAGCGCCTCCTTGACGGACTCGGGGGACTCGATGGCCTTGGCGATGGTCGCGACTTCGGCGGCCTTCTCGGTCGCGAACGAGAACCAGTCCTTGACCTCGGGCTTGAGCTTGGACTCGTTGGCCAGGGTGACGGGGGTGTGGAGGAGCGACGACGACGTCGCTACGACGACGCGGTCGGCCCCGAGCTCAGCGACGACCTTCTTGGCGGTCTCGACCGAGGCGGCGATGTCGTTCTTCCAGATGTTGCGGCCCGAGACGAGACCGAGCGAGAGCACGAGCTGGGTCGGCTTGACGGCGGCGACGACGGCGTCGAGCTGCGACGCGGCACGGTCGAGGTCGATGTGGACAGCGTGAACGGGCAACTTGGTGACGTACGCGATCGACTTCTTCTCGAGGCGGCCAAAGTAGGTCGCGACGGTGAGCTTGAGGCCGGGGGCGGCCTTGGCGAGGGCCTCGAAGGTCGAGGTGTACTCCTTCTCGAGGTCGTCTGTCGCGTCGAGCGCCAGAGCAGGCTCGTCGATCTGGACCTCGGTCGCGCCGGCGGCCTCGAGCTTCTTGAGGAGCTCGCCGTAGACGGGCACGAGCTTGTCGAGGACATCGAGGGTCTTGAACTCGGACGACGTCTCGTCGCGGCCGACCTTGCCGATCAACAAGTACGTGATGGGGCCGAGCAGGACGGGGCGCGTCGTGATGCCGGCGGCCTTGGCCTCCTCGAATTCGTCGACGGGCTTGGTGTCGTTGAGCTTGAACTCGGTCTTGGACGAGAGCTCACCCTTGAGGTCTGAACACAGGGCGAGTAGGGAGCACCGACGAGTAGATCAGAGACCGCGCTCATTCCGACACCGCAGAGTCAAAAAGAGAGGCCGTTACTCACAGTGGTAGTTCGAGTCGAACCACTTTTGCATCTCACCAGCGGGGACATCGACGCCGCCGACTTGGCGACCTCGACCCATGGCAAAGTAGCGGTCGAGGGCCGAGATGTCGGCCTCGGCGTACTTGGCGGGGATAACCTGTTTTGGGGGAGGATTCCATGCACTCGAGATCAGCCCACAAGCACAAGGTCCCAGGAATGGTCATCTCCGCCCCAAAAGTCCGGCTGCGTGGGCTGCTCACATTGAAGGTGGTGGAAAAGTCAAGGACGTGGTCGTAGAGGGTAAAGTCACCGCTGCGGACGACGGGACGTCGGGAAAGTAAAGGAAAGAAACGAAAGGGGTGTACAAAAAGGCGCCGGCACGGGCACGTGGGTGGGGTCAGCAAGCGAAGTCTTTCGCGGCGAAACGTGGCGCGCGACGGGTGCGCAAAGGGGGGAAAACCGGCGCTGCCAAGCCCACCGAGGACGCAGTGCGTGGATCGCGGAGGGACACACCACGCATGGACCGGCCGAACAGGGTGGGACGAACTCGGGAGAGGAACTCACGAAGGGATGATGTCGACGCCGGCATCCTTGATCGTCTGCCAGCGGGCGAGCCTCTGCTCCTTGGCCACTTTTTGGAGCTCGGCGGCATCGAGCTTGTTGGCCCAGTAGGCCTCGGTCGCCTTCTTGACCTCGCGCTTGGCACCGATACGGGGGAAACCGAGAACGGCAGAAGAAGCCATTTTGGCTATTGTATGACAGGGCGAGGTGAGAGGGGGGGAGAGCGGCGCGGACGGGAGAGGCAGGGAGGCGACGGCGAGCAGCGGGCAGGGGAGGACGTGGCAGCGGAGGGGTTGGGAAATGGTGCGAGCGCGAGCGCGACGTGAAAAAAGGCCCGACAAATTTCAAAGATGTACAACGTAAGGTGGTGATGATGGAACAAGTCAGGTCAGCAGTGGGCATGGAAAGGCTTGACAACGACAGAGATCGAGCACGTACAGAGTAGTGTTTTGAAGAAAGGAATGGAGGGAGGGATGCGGGGGGGAGGGTGCGGGAGGAAGCTGAGCGGCACGAGCTGCGGAGCGGCTGGAGCAGCGACTTGGGCCAGCTTGGGCCAGCTTGGGCCGATCGCGCCATATGCGCCTTGCTACTGCCATGCTCATCCCCGTGGATCGCCGAGGACCGAGCGCGGGCGCCGAAATCGACCGCGCGTGAGTCAACTTCTGCTACAAACTCCGCTGCATTAGAGGGTAAACACATGAATGTCTCTGCAAGGTCTTTGAGAAGATCAAATCTCACTGTGGGCTTTGGGCCTTAGTCCTCCGAACATTGCTGGCCTTCAATTCTTGAAGCCGACCCGATCGGCGGGGCTACCGGCGACCGGATTTAACCGAGTTTGCAGCTACGAAATCTATCGAATCGACCAGTCAAAGTCTGACGGTCAGGTCCCGCTATGTTCACCCATGAGAGTGGGCTCGCTTCAAGGAATTTGCCGAGAGTCGTAAAGGACGACCGGTAACAGTGACAGGGGCCGCCAATCTACCCGTGACGGGCTCTCATTACACCGAGGCAATTTCGACTGAAACTTCAAGCTAATCGGCGCTACAAGCTGACCGCCCACCAACCCAGGTTCATCCGGTCTGCCTTGGTTTCTTTCTGCTAGCGTTAACACCATCGTCTGTCGCTCCTTCTGGCGACAGCGGAGAACTTTTCAACTCTTGCACGTTCGCCCAATGCAGTCAAGCCCACCGCACGTGCGGCGGCCGCGCGCCTACGAAAAACTCCCCTGGGATTAGCGCCCCCGGGTAGACTATGTTCAAGAGCTATGTCGTCAAGGTCGCAGTGCACTAGTGATTGGAATGGGGCCCTGACCGAATTTCCTCCCCTTGAAGTGTCTTACGCGCGTGCGTCGCAAGTTATAGAGCCTCTGGGTCGCGCACGTGGGAATCGCGAGCCAGCAGCGGCCGGGGTCCGGCGGCGCGACGGCGCAAGCCCCTGTCGCCCAGAAAACCATTTAATCTCAGCGGGGTCCCGTGAGTAGAATACAAACCATGGTCACGACTGGCCTCACCGTCAGAGATCGGGCTGCCATTTGGGTATTCTTGGCAAAACCCACCCCTAACCATGGAATCGTTCCAGAACGGTTCCGGTATTTTGACATCGATTCAGTACGAGCATCGCAAATTGGAGTGGTTCGAGCTTGGTTCAAATTGGTTTCGGAATGTGACGCAGTCGATTCTGAATCGATTTCAAAGTACTGGAACCTGAAACGATTCGATTTGTCGGGGTACGTTCGGCTATGATGTCGTTTCGAGGTTGGACCGAACCGCCCACAGCAGATGCTGAATTCGAACAGTTGTAACCCAAACGCTCAGACAACAAGTAAGGCTGGCCATATTTTATGTCTACATTTTCTCGAGGCGGGACAGCTTGTAATTGGCCGAGCTTTGGTAGCGACACTCTGCCAGGAGCGGTCGATGATATGTGGCGCTTGCAAACGGTGGCGTTGGCTCTTGCAGCGGCCGAGTTCTGGCGAGCCGCCGGCGCTAGCGCTTTGACCGCCGTGACGCGCGCTCGCCTCGACTTTAGTTGCTTACCGATCTCCACCCCCGTCCCTTCCGACAGGATCAGCCCCGAACACGGGCCATTTGCTCTACCTCGGTTTTCCCGGTGCATCCCACCTCTCTACGCTTACCTACGCCGGTCTTTCTGACGCCTCCCTCGCCAGCGTCGCTCGCCCAGTCGCCGTCGCCGTCGCCGTTGCCGAACGAGCGCCACAACATCCCACAGTCTCGCGCATCGAGGCTCCTGTGATCTTTCACTGTGGACCACACTCGCAACAACTTGCTTAGCTCAATCAACTCTCTCATAATCAAGCAGGACCCGTGCATCTCTCCTGTTGCCGATATTGATCCTTGCCCCTGTCTCTCGAGCTATCGCGGTCGTCCCAGACGTCGACGTCGGTGCAGGCCTTCTGAAACATCGATCCAGAACTGCCAATCGAACACATTGCTACATACAGTGAGTAACACATCAATGCACTCGGAGCCCGCAGCATCCGGTTATCCTCGATCGCCTCCGCCCGACCTGCCGGGTCGGCGACAACTTCCAGCCCCCAGTCGCGACGACCGAAAGAACCCCTAAACACTTGCTTCAAGCAATGCCTCTTTCAGCCCTTGCTATGGTGGCGAGAGCCGTCCGAGCTGACAATCGACCACCCTGTGGAGTGGTCCCCCGAGTTGACCCAATTATGCAGGCGGCCGAGTAGCGGACGCTGACCAATTTTGGCTTGCTCTCCTCTCTGACGACAATCAACAGTTCCCCACCCACGGAGTAGGGAGATGGAGGAGCCAGTGAGCCCGAGCAAGCGGCGATCGTCGGGATCTCACTCGGTCGACACGACCTCGACCGCGCTCAGCAACGAACCATTACCGCTCAAGATGGGGCCCGGAGCCACTGCAACACTCGGGGAGACGACAACCAGTCCCCCGGATCCATCGTCGCTCAGTGATCCCATGTCGTCTCGATACACGCTGGCCTCGACGGCACCGTTGGACCCGACCTTGGCCGTCTCGCCCGGCTCGTTTCCCCTGGCGTCGCCGCCGTCGTCGGTCGCCTCCTCCTCACCCGTGGCCCTCACGTCGGCTGCCGTCGCCTACCACGACTCGTTTTCTTCTCCGCCTTCCTCCTCCTCTCGCGTAGTCCGTACGAATGCGCACACCACGGCCGCGGGGGGAGGAGGGCGCAAGGCGAGCGTGAGCCTAAACCTGTTCAAGGAGACGACGTCGATCCCCGACAAGGAGCTCGAGGCGCTGCGGCGGCCGTCAAAGTCGCGTCTACCTTCTAGCACACGGTCGGAGACGAGTTCCATCATGGTTCTGAACGCCAAGAGCCCCTCGCTGTCGATCAAGGGCAAGGAGCGAGCGACCGCGATTAAGCAGACGAATGCGACGCCGTCGACCCACACATCACCTGAACCGAACCACTTCTTTGCTCCCGGTTCCCCCTTTTCTTCGCAACGCGCCTCCATCTCTCGCTCCGTCTCGGCCTCGCAGGCCCAGGGTCGCTCGTCGCAAAGCCGTCGCTCGTCGCCGAACATCCTCCCTTCTCCGAGCAAGGGCGATCGATCGGGTCACCCGTCGCCTGCGCTGTACATTGGGCCGAGTGGATTGACGACGAGTCGACCCGCGAGTCCACGGCTGACAAGCCCGTGGATAACCGTAGGGACGACCGGTGGTGGTGGAGTGTTGGGTTCCCCCGTGCCCGAATTCTCCTTACCGAATGCAGCGATGCCACCCCATTCGGTCCACGACATTCTCGGCCCCCCTGTAGTGCCCATTCCTTCGAGAGGTTCTTCGACCACCTCGGAACCTGCACCTTCTCATGCAGGATCCTCCCCCTCCGTCTTGAACGAGCCACCACCACCACCACCTTCGATTCCGAGTTCGACGTCGAGTTCGGTCTTCAAACTCATCTACTCGCCCAAGCCGTTGGGGCACGAGTCTTCCGCAAACGGGACCTCGACGGCGACGCAGAGCCTAGTCGAGGGTGTACGACGGCTCGTGCTAGACCAAGGGGCGACGAGTCCGACGCGCGCAGTGCCGACTGGGCCGCCGGAGAAGGCCGTGGCCTCGACTTTAGCCCCGCCCTCGACGTCGGCTTCGACTTCGGCTCCGGTCAATATCGCGCCTTCGATAGCCTCGAGTGAGAGTGTCAGTACGTACGATGACGCGACGACGACCGAGGACGAAGACGAATGGAGCGACGACGAGGACGAAGATGACGAAGATGACGACGACGAGGACGAAGATGATCGAGATGACATCGACGACGGAGCTCAGGACGGGGACGAAGAGGACGGCAATCTCGAAGAAGAAGGAGCGCCCCTTACCCGCGGCGAAACGCTCGAATCGCGGGACGAAGAGTTCGAGCTCGACGTCGGTCCGCTCAAGGACAAGATCGCGCAGAACGGCGGTGGGACGGTCGAGATGCGCTGTGCTGCCGACGGCGACGAGTGGGGGTCGAGGCTGCTGGGCAGGGACGGCACGATCGCGGCGACGGTTCCGCTCGAACCTTACAATCACCAGGTCGGAGGCCACAACCACATCTTCCGCTTTTCCAAAAAGGCGATCTGCAAGGTACGGTCGCGGACATCTGATAGCGTTACGCATTTGGCCATAAGCTAACCGGGATTTATGCCTCTTTCCCTTTGCAGCCGCTGGCGTCGCGAGAGAACGAGTTTTACGAAGCCGTCGAGCGCTCCTGCCCCAAGCTGCTCGCTTTCGTCCCGCAATATCTCGGAGTCCTAAACGTCACGTATCGGAGACCGGCACTAAGCTCGCGCGAGTCGTCGCGGGCCCGAACCTCGACACCGCAACTGCCCGAACGACGCATATTTCGGGAAAAGAGCGCGGCGACGGTGCGCAGCGTTGAGGAAGGAGGAGGCGGAGGTGGACTCGGTGCGGATGAGGCGGCGATGGAAGAGGTGCCCGAAGTCGTCCTTGATCGCAACCGCCACATCATACCCGATACGCTCGTCTGGGACGTCACCAAAGGCCTGCGCCGGAGTGGCCGCATGCACCGCAACGCGCGACGCAAGTCCGGCAACAACACCGACCCCGAGCTCCTGGGCGGGGACGCGAGCACGGGCACGACGACAACCACCGGCGGCGGTGGGGGTGGGTCGAACCTGCTCTCTAGCCCTGATATCGCACCTTCGTCCTTTTCCATCAGCGGCAGCGTTGGCGAAGACACGCCGCTCTCGTCGTTGTCCGCGGTTCCGTCGTTCCCCCTATTGAGTGCGACGCCACCGACGCCGCATTCGACGCCCGTCGACGCCAACTATGTCGAGTCGGCGCTCGTGCGACGGCAGCACCAGCGCCTCGGGCAATCGCCCGTCGCCGACGATACGGCGCTGCGGAGATCGTTCGCTCGGCGCCTCTCCCCGAGTCGATCATTGTCGTCGGGTGCCGTCTTGGGCTCGGCCTCGCCGGCCGTCTCCCGCGTCGGGCGCCACACGACAGGCACGGGCTCAACGACGGTCAACACACGCTTATGCGAACAGGTCCTGCGCGAGGTCTTTAGCTCGCCCAAGCTGCGCGAAGGGCGTCGCGGGTGGAAGGAAGGCAAGCGGCACGGCCTGTCGGGGACCAACAGCGCGTCGAACCTCGGCACCGGTGGCGAAGCGACCCCTGTCAGTGCGCGTGCGGCCTCGCTGCAGCGACCCGAACGACCCGAGCTGCGCGAGACGCAGTCGACGGGCGCCCTGCTGCGCACGCGACAATCGAGCGTCGAGAACGGTGTCGTCGAAGAGCGGCAGAGCCGCTCGCGGCACCTTTCGTTCGGTGCCGGCGGCTCGCAGCGCGAACGAGGCTGCAGTGTCGGCTCGCAGGAGGGCATGTTCGCCATGGACGATGTCAGCGAGCCTGGAGGGACCACGACGAACGCCGCTTCGTCCCCCTCGCTCCCTGCGACGACCTCCTCCCTTTGCCCCGTCGACGAAACTGCTCCACTGCCGGCGAGCGACCACCCCTTGAAACGCCAGGCCAACCCCGTCGTTGCAGAGAACCCACCATCCGAGCCCACAATCGGATCACCCCCTTCCTCGTCCTCGATTCCGGCCGTCGTTGAGCCTTCTGTACCGCCGCCGCAGTCAACCGAGACACCGACGGCACCCTTGCGCCAGGAGCAGTTCATCCTGATGGAGGACCTGACGGGCTCGCTCAAGTCGCCGTGCGTGCTCGACCTCAAGATGGGGACGCGCCAGTACGGCATCGCCGCGACCCCGGCCAAGAAGGCGAGTCAGACCAAGAAATGCTCCAAAACGACAAGCCACGACCTCGGCGTGCGTATTTGCGGGATGCAGGTAAGTGACCTCGTCGGTGCTGGTGTTGCTTGGGTGATCGCAAGGCCTCTGATGCGACGGAACGTTCGTGCCCTTTCACTGGCAGGTCTTCAAGTCGGCCGAGGGCAGCTACGTCTTCCAGGACAAGTACTTTGGCCGCAACGTCACAACGCGGGATTTTCCCTCCGTCCTGGCGCACTTTCTCTCGAACGGCGTCGAGGTGCTCGCGTACCAGATCCCCATCATCCTCCGACAACTGTACCGCCTCGCGTCGATCATCAAAGGGTTGAACCGTTATCGCTTCTACGCCGCCAGTCTGCTCTTCATCTACGACGGCGACGCCGAGGCGCAAGCAAATCTGAAAGCGCAGATGTCTTCGGGGGGTCAGGTGTCGTCGACGGGCGAATCGAGTTGCGTCACGACGTCGACGGGCGAATCGAGTTGCGTCACGACGTCGACGACGACGACATCGACGTCGACGGGCCTCTCTGATTCCCCCTCGGGCCCCGTCTTGGACCGACATCGTCACGCCTCGGCCTCGTCGCACGCCCACCGTCACCATGGCAAGAAGCATCGCGTGCCCCCCGGGGGGGTGACGATCCGCCTTATCGACTTTGCCCACTGCACGACTGGCGACGACTTTATCGCCGTCGATGAACTCGCCGCCTCGATGTCAAAGTGTTCCGACGAGGGCAATGGTTCGTCGCCATCGGTACCAGCTCCGGGAACGATTCTTCCCGACGGTCGTGTCGTCGCGAGCTTCCCACCTACGCATCCGAACCAAGCCGACCTCGGTTTCCTCCTCGGGCTCAAAAGTCTCGCCTCGTCATTGACGATGATCTGGAACCAAGAACGGGCCCAGGGCAACGCACCGGAAGAGCCGCTCCACGTCGAAGGGGAAGGCATCTGGGCCGAGATCTGGGGTCCCGAAGTCGGGATGGAGATGGGTCTCGGGAAAGGCGTGACGCCCGAAACGGTGTATGATCTTGCGACTGCATAGAGATCAGTACTCCTCTTTCTTTTCGTATTTCGTTTGTCCTTTACTTTCCTTGTGAAGGTCGAGATTGTAATTAGTTTCCCCCCCGCCCCCCCCCCCCCTTTTTTTTTCTTCTGTTTGCCTGGATCTGATGTAGACTTTGTTTCCTCGTTCATTTTCCTGCACGTGCCGGACGCGGGTGCGGCGGGTTTCGTCGTCGTCTTCTTCCGATTTTTTCATATTTGTTTTCGCTTTGCATGTATCCGTTTTATACCGAATTCGGACTTCTTCCTCCATATGTAAAGCGGTTGTATTGCACTGATGTCCAACCTACCGCACTATTAAACCCCAAGTTATACCATATCCCCTATGCTCAATGCCCGATCACACCCTCCTCGTCCCCTTGCGTTTGGACATGAGCGACCACGTCGCGCCATTGACGCACGTCCCGACGATGATCATCACGCCGGAGAAGATGGTCGCGCCGACATAACTGCCGTTCTCTCGAGCGACCATGGCGCCGGCGATCGGTGTGCCCGTCAAGGCGAAAACGGAGACGGCCAAGAACGCCATGGCGATGCGGATCCCGATCGTCGACATATCGGTCGTCATCGAGGCGACGCAGCTGAGATGTTCGAAACAAAAGGTGAAGAAACATCAGCCATTGAGTGCATCACGCTTCACCGGATAGGGGACGAAGATACTCACGCAGGCATCATGGAGACATAGGCACCGCTGCTAAAGCCATAGGCCAAGCAGAACACCACGGTCCCGGCGTTCGTCTTGGCCAACGCGAGCCAGGCGAAGCAAAAGATGCCCGAAACTAGACAGTTCGGCTGCCGAGGGATCGAGACGATTCGTGGTAAGCGTCCAGTAGCCGGTGGAGGCCGGAGCGGACTTACGATTAGGATGGTGAACGGTCCGTACGTGTCCGCAAGCCAATTGGGAATGATGCGACCAAACAAAGAAGCGGCGTTGAGGAACGACAGCGAGTAGAGCGAGATTTGCGGATGCACGCCGTGGGCCGACGAATACGACTGGATGTAGAAATAAGGGATGTACAGACCCCACATGATCAAGCACTCGCCCGCGACGAAAGCTGAGTAAGCGGGGTCGCGGAAGTGGCTAAAGTCGATGATGGGCCCCGTTTTGCGAGGTGGGAGGCGCGAGTCGATGGTCAGGCAGGCGATGACGAGGAGGCCGACGGTGAGGTACCCCGCTGCGCGGATCGCAGGGCCAAACCCGATTGTGGGAAAGATGTGGTTGAGCAGCAGAGGGTACACCACACCACCGACCGATGAGCCAGTGGCGAGGACACCCAACGCCGTCGCTCGTCGCACGCGGAAGAAATGCGATACGGCCGAAACAGCAGGGAGGAACAGAATCCCGGCGGCCATCCCGCACGCGATTCCCTGGGCGAGGAAGATGTGGACGTAGGTCGTCGCGTAAGACAGGCCAAACAGACCGGCGGTGTAGATGCAGGTGCCGAGCACGAGCAGATATTTTATGTAGCCGGCATCGAAAGCCTTGCCCGAGATAACGGCGCATGCGAGCACAAAGGCGAGTTGAGTCGAACCGATCTGCAGGAACGACACAGCTTGAGATCGTCAGACCTGCCTCAGTCGTCTTGAGAGTGGTACGATTGAACTCACCCAGGCGATATCACTTGGTGGTCTCCCCTCCAATTGGTGCTTCTCGTACCAACTGACACTCACGCCGAACGCGTTCGTGTAGCCCCATGTGGTAACTAATTTGGAAATAACGTCGACCGAGTCAGCCCTCCGAGTCGAGCCCCTCTCCGAGGACGTAATTGCCTCTACTCACAGCTCACACACCAAGCCCCAGCGACGACACTGTTCCAACGTTACGCACGGTCGTGAACATCAGCTAGACGTCTCCAGATCAGATGAGCGGAAAGAAGCAAGCTTCCGATCTCGGTGCCGACACGGCAGGGAAAAGCGGCACAGGCACGCTAAAATTCGGAGCTAGTTTCCTCTCTTTCATTCGGCCAGTCACAACTCACAGCCATGCTCTCCATCCTCCATCGGGGAAGATGATTGCCGATGGTCCTGGTGGTGTATCTACCAAGGGAGTTTCACGACCTTTCTCTACGTCGCTCGTCGAGGAGGTGGCACGTTCGAGAGCAGATTTCTCCGAGTCGGTACCTCGGCTCTGGGCGGCGGCGGCAGCGGCAGCAGCGGATGGGTTGGTTTGGGCCGCGGGTCGATTTGCGCCGCCGCACCGTCGGCATGGCAGCGGCGCCACTGGCAGGTCGGCATTGGATTCTGTGCGTCGTAGCTCCTGGTGCTGCTGCTGCTCCACTTGCGGTGGTGGCTCCAGATCATTCCGTGTCCGTTCATCTGTTTCTACGTCGCTTGATGCACCGCATGTGCAGACTTGAGGTATGTGCGTGCCCGTGGGCGCGGAACGTGAAAGTTGCTCAGCAGGCGCCACTTGCGGAGAGGCCGGCCGACTCATGTCCGAGACCCCGATGTCGTTGCGTTTGAGTTGTCAGCGCCTGCAGTGGTCAGCTGCGGATGCGTTGTCCAGGGCACGAGAACGTAGGTCCGTAGAAGATGACCGACGTTCGACCTCGCACAGATTGCACGTTGCAAAAGGTCAAGTGGCGGGTAGGTGCGGCAGTGGTCAATGGGCTGAGAGCGAAACATGCCGGGGCGAGCGACAGGCGCCTCGGCCGTCGATGCCGTCGCCGCCGGCCTCCGCCAGCCGCCGTTCGGTGCCCCACCTTTTCCTTGAGATGACCAATCCAAGGGGTCGAGGGACAGATGGCCTGCCACCTAAACTGACGCCACTCACTCCGCGGCTCACTTTGACGACCTTGTGTTCCAGACTGGAATCTGCCCTTCAGCTTTACGAATCAAAGCTCGACAAATGCTTCGTGAGTCTTCCAAAAATAATTCGCGCCAGGAGCACTTTTCGTTGCTTATGCATAGGAGGTACTTTTCCAGCGGCCCACACGGTGCCCGCTCAGCCGGTCGACAATCCCGTGAACACGAACTTCTGAGCAGAGTCTCGTATTCCTTCCAAGAAGTTATGATCGCATATCCTGCATTGTAGCAAATTCCTCCTCCACCTAAAACGATGATTCACCTCCTCAGAATCTTGTCGAGCCTCTCCTTCCTTTCCCTTGTCCGATCGTAGTAAGCAAACGTGAGATTCGTCAACAGGGTCAAACAGTTCGATGTGAGCCAGTAGAGGCAGACGGCCTGGGTGCGTCCATACCATCGCATAAGGAGAGAGTCAGCTTTCGCGGATCCCTCCCTCCTGGCAAGCGAGTAAGCTTGGGGGCTACGTACCACAGGTGCCATCGCGGCGATAGGGATGAAAGCGACCGAAGCACACCTCATCGCATTGGTAATGATCCTCGAGTTTCTCGGTTCTTCCTCATCCTCTCCGTCCACCACCTCTTGCACCTGTTCCTTCGGCCCGTTCGTCGTTCGAACCTGGGTCGTCAACCCCCTCGTTCGATCATTCCCTTCCCTCCTCGAATTGATCACCGTGACGCGTCTCTTCTCCGCCGCTGTCAAACCCCTCGTCCCCAACGCACCGACCTGACCCACCCTCACCCCCAAGACCGCATTCCCCGCGATCCTGCCATCCTCAATCCTATCCACCTCTTTCCCAGCCCTCATCACCGCCCTCCTCATCTTGGCCGACACCTCCGTATTGAGCAAGGTCGCTAATCCGACCATGAGGGGTACGAACATGGTTGAATCGGGTAGACAGAGACTGGGACACCACAGGAACGAACTGGTGGCCAAGTCTTGGAGGTTTGACAGAATTTCTGGGGTGAGGGTTGCGGAGGAGGGAAGTGGGAGATGGGCGGGGGAAAAGGGAAGGACGAGGAGAGCGCGTTGGCATGCGTCCCGGAGGATGAGGGATATGAAGATGAATAAGGGTATGTTGACGAGGGGTCCGATGTACATCGTTAGTCGAGGGTGGAAGCCATAGGAGCGGTACATTTGATGGGTCGCTTCTTTGGACTGGGGCAAGAAGAACGAAAAAAAATCCATGGGATCAGCTGGGAAAATTGCGTTGCATAGGCTCAATCGACTCACCGCTTTTTTATACTCCTGTTCATACTGCTCATAACTCAGTCCCTTCCTCCTGGAGCTATCCCGCAACCCCAATGCCAACCTCTCGTGCACGCCCTTCAACCTCGGCCTTATGACGGTCGCAAATCGTCGCATTTGCCTCCGTTGCCAGAGTTGAAGAGGGACCATGGAGGAGGAACGGATGAGGAGGGTGAGGAGGGGGATGAAGAGGGGCCAGGTGAGGTGGAGTGTCGCGGGGAGGGAGACGAGGAGGGTCGATAGGGGTTCCCATAGGGTTGGGTCGGGGAGGGAGGACGGCATCGACAGCTCGGACATGGTGGGGGGCCGCGGTGGTGGTGGTGGGGAGGGTATTGTCTCGATAGGGAGCGAAGATGGTGTTGCATGGCTTTGGGAAGGCCATAATGAGAAGGCTCTCGAGGCGACGAGCGATGGGCCGGGAAGGAGGATGGGGAATGCGCGTCTCTTGATCGGAAGGATGGGTCGTACATTCGCTCGTATCGATGGTCCGAGTCCAACCAAAGGTCGGGGCAGCATTCTGTGGCAAGGTGCGGGAGGGATTAGCAAGGGGAGGCCACGGTCGATTCCGCCGGTGGGTGTGGCTGTTTCCCGGGGCGTGTACATCATTTCGCAGCTGGAGAGAAGTCGCACCTCGTTATTCGGTGTGGCCAAGGTACCCCGTGACTGTAGTAATACGGAGGTGATGCGCCGTAGCAGCCAATCTTTGCGGTCCGCGCTCCGTCTGACCGGTGCGAAGTGAGCGCGGGAAGTGGGGGTCGATTAATCATTAGCGGAGGGGAGGAGAGGGCGGCGCCGGTGGGGCAGCTACGGACGACGGACAGCTAAGCTTTTGTTTTTATTTGCTAGATTTCAACAACAGTATAATTATATTAATACCTAAAAACCTTTGGAATAGTCTGTTCCGGAATGCGAGCTTGCGATTTAAAGCGTTCTAAACACAAGCCCATAACGGCCGCTGATCTGAATTGCAGCTGGCCCAGATCTCGCGCCCCTTCTCCCCTCTTCTCTCTCTCTCTCGCCGCGTCCGACTGACCAAGTCCACAACCCTTTACTCGGCTCCCCAGTAGGGTGCAGCACTCCTGCCAGGGATGGACTCTACGCAGGATTCTACCCTCCCCTCGCTTTCCTTAGCCGGCGGTGCTTCCGTCTCTGTCTCGACGCCCGCTGCTCCGGTCGTCCCCTCCGCTCCGTTGGCACCCCACCCGACCCAGATCGACGCCGCGATCCACGAACGTCTGTTGAGGGATTACAAGCGACTCAAAGTGCGCGTCGACGTGTTGGACAAGGAGAACGAGGGGTTGAGGGCCAGTCTGTGGGAGTTGAGTTGGAGGTGGGGCAAGAGGGAGTCCAATCACAAAGCCAAGCAGCAACAGCAGCAGCAGCAACAACAGCATCAAGAAACGGTGAATGAGTCCAGGTTGAGGGATATGACGCCCAAGCCATCCATGGCGGCTTTAGTACCATCCTCAACACCGGAGGAAGGACCGGCCACGATTCCACCGACGACGAGCGAAGGATCGTTCATGCGCCTCAACGAACCCGTGCATCAATCTCCGACGCCCAATACCTCCACTTTGACGTGGCGATCTCCGAGTCGACCTCCCTTGCCAAGTACACCTTCTTCACTGGCGGCTTCACTATTCCCAACCCCGCCCTCGACCTCGACCTCTTCAAAACCACCGACCGAGATGGGTCTAGGGTCCGGTGGTGGTTCCTCCTCTGTGTCTTCCAAGACCACGACTACGACCACCACCGCGGCAGCAGGAACGATCGCCACCGCGGCCCATGCTCCCCCTACCGCGTCCCAAGCGATGCGCGACGCCTCGCTCAAGCGTGACCTCGACATTTCCCTCCCCCACTCGCGCTCCTACTCGTCCCATTCCTCCCGTCGCACGAGGCAAAGCTGGAAGTGGGGCAGGGCATACGACTTGAAAGGTCATCGAGGCGCGGTCTATGCACTCAAGTTCTCAGACGGCGAGTGGGGAAACAGAGGCAGGGTTTTGGCGAGTGCGGCGTTTGATGGCGTCAGACTTTGGGGCTCCAAGGATGAGATAGGGGCTGCGGGGACCCGGAGTGGGGAAGTTTCCGACGCAGAGCACGACGGGGATGCCGATCCCGACGGTGATGGAGAGCAGGGGAATGTTTGGGACGATGGGGATGTACAAGAGGTGAGGCTTGGGTGGACAAGTTCTGTAAAACACACCCCGCTGACTTCCGTCGTTCACCTCTTAGATCATCCACCTTTCTTCACACACCGCCCCTGCATCGGACATCGCGTTTCAGCCTTCGATGCAACACGTCCTGTCGGGAGGCTACGACTCGCGTTTGTTCGTACACCCCCTCGGCGGTTCGCCTTCCTCCTCTACCCCAGATTCCCCACTCCAAACACCCACATCCCCTTTACCCCTTCACCGGTCCTCCTCCTTCGCCCCCATCTGGTCCTTAGCGACAGAAGGTCTGGTTCAATCCGTCAATTGGTTGCATCCTCATGCAGCACAGGGAAGTGAGAGCGAACAGGTGTTCGTGTGGGGTACGTCGGGCAAGGTTCTAGGTGTGGGCGATTTGAGGATGGATAAACCGGCGATGGTGGTGATGTGTGACGCGATGATCAATTCGGTGTAAGTCTACGGTCAATGATCTGGGGCAACGGCCGCATGTTAATCTAGGATTCGATGGTTTCTCCACAGCCAATCGTTCCGCCGATCCCCCAACCTCCTCATCGGCGACTCCTTCGGCTCCATCCGCCACTTCTCCCTCCGCGCCTCGACCTTCCTCCCCTTCCCCGAAACCAACTCGACCACACCCTCGACAAACTCGACCGGGTCCAAGATGACGAGTGGTAAAAAGGTAACTAGTTCGATCTCGTGTTTGGCCTTGGCGCCGGATTGGTATGGTGGGGGCGGACATGGTGGCAAGGGGAGGGAACCTAGGTGGATGGCTTCAGTCGGGTTCGATAATCGTACGTCCTTGCACCGCATCGCATCGCTGCTAAAGCGGGCTCTCTTTCTACGAATCGAGACTAAGGGCCTAAACTGTAAACTTCTTCTTCGACCACAGTTATCAGGATCTACGACCGTTCCTCCCACCTCGACCCATTGAAACAAGCCCTGACGCCCCCTAAACTGATCCAAACCCTCCGCGGGAAGAATCGTAATTGGCCTATCAAAGTATCCTTCTTTCAAGGCAGGGAATACTCGGACATCGTTTCGACGACAGGCAAATCCAAGAGGGGTGCGGCGGGGTCGACGGGCCGGAGGTCGAGGGCTACTAGTTTCTCGAATAGTTCTGCGGGGAGGATGGCAGGACTTGGGCATGGGCACGGGCTCGACGAAGAGGAGGAAGAGGACAGAAGACGAAGGGAAGGGGTTGAGGAAGGGAGTGGGGAAAAGGGGAAGAAGGGTTCTTCGGGTGGTGGGATGGGAGGGGGGCAGAAGACGGAGGAAGAAGATCCGAGACCGCGACCCTTGGATGAATCGCTTTTGATCGCTGTAGGGTCCAGCGATCCAGTGGTCCTGATCTACGACCTGACGGGGCCTGTGCCTCCATCTGGATCATCAACGAACGAATCTGGATCGACGACAACGTCTACCACGATGGAGTCTGGGAGGCTCGCGCAGAGGTTAGAAGGGCACAAGGATAGTGTTTACGCCGTCGATTGGTTGCAGCCGAGGTATGGGGAGCCGGACCGGGGTAGTTACCAGGGACATGGGTTGTTGGCTAGTGCTGGGGGTGATTGGGTCGTCAAGGTTTGGAAGCCGGTTTTTAAGGATGAGGATGAATAGGAATGGATGTGTTGTACTGAATACTTTGGTTGCTCAAGTGAATGATTGACATGCTACAACCTCGGAGATCACCCCTGACTACCCGTCGAGCTCCACCCCCCACCCCTCCCCCCTGACCCCTGTCCCAAACTCAGGAAATCATCCTCCTCATCCTCTGAAGAGGTCTCATCCCCAAACATCGTCGTCCGTCGATTCCCATCACTCTTACTCCGCTTACTCCTTCTCAACGTCCCCATCGAATACCTCCTCCTCAACGTTCGATGATCCTTCGTGATCTCCCCTTCTGAATCCTCACCTGCGAAAACCGCCGCTTCGGTGGTCGACCGAGGGTTCGTCGACCCCATCGTTTCGGCATTTTTGAGCCCGAGGCGAGCAAGGATCTCTTTCCTCCGTTCGGCGTTGTGGACGAGGGAGTGAGTTCGCCCGTCCTTTGAAGTCGATGGCGCGGGACCAGGTTCGATGAGTGTCCCACCCTCCTCTCCCTCCTCGTCGTCGTCGTCGTCCAGCACGACCGCTTCCTCCGGGACCTTGATCTTCCCTCCTAGGGCGTCCTTTTCCCTTACCCGACTAAGCTCGTCCCAACGATCGACCGAACTATCTCGATGATCGATCCGACCGCCGAACTGCTCCGCGCCACTCTTCCTCTTCCTAACCTCCTTCAACACGTCTTCCCTCCCCCGATCGATCTGACGTTCAATCTTGAGTCGGTTCTCGATCATTTTCACGCGCGGGAAGGTCGCCATTTGGCCTACGCGCAACTTGCGCGCCAGTTCGGCCCGATTCGGATCGGATAAGAGTTGGAACCAGTCCCAAAAACGGGAGCGGGGCCAAATCGTTACCGTGCCTATGAAGACGAACGACCCCCGATCGATGAGTCCAAAAACCGTATTGGGCTTGGTTCAGGATCGGACTGGGCCCCCCGAGACTGACCCTCGAAATCCTGCAAGAACAAAGCGGACCAATTCTGACCGCCAAACTCGGGCATCAACTCCAAATCCCGTATGACCCTAAAGTTCTTGGTCAGTTCGATCTTGAGGAACTGTTCCGCCGCGGAGAGGAGGAAGCCTCCTCTCCAACCTTTGCCTCGACGGTGAGCGACGGGTCGACCGGGGGCTCCTCGAGGCGCGAACGCGAAGAGGTGAATGTGGGGATTGACTCTGTGGATGGGGATGGGCGTATTTGAGTCTTTGGGAAACCACGACGTTACCGGAGACAAAGCTCTATGTGCACCAAACTCACTGGGAAACCACAGAGAAGTTGACGTTGTACAAGAGATGCAGAGCTTGCAAGGGGATATCGACCCTCAAACTCCCGTCCTTGTGCTTGCCCCCAAATTCCCAAGGCTTGACCTTCCCGTCCTTATCCTTTTGCAACAACACGACGGGGTTCATCACACTCGGCACGGCTGATGAAGCGATCGAGGCGGAGTAGATGACGCAATCCGGTGCGGTGAGGTAGTTGAGCAGTTTCGTAGGGGAATGTGTGTCGTAGGGGATGACGGAGATGTTGAGGATCCGCCCGGTCCTTTCGAACGCCTCGCGAAAGGTCATGTTCCCCATCGTGAAGAAACTCGCTTTTCGAGCCCAGTGCGTCGCTTCGAACCGAGCGCCCGTCTTGAGCAAGCGAGGGAGCCAGGTTGTCAGGCCTTCCTCGCATGCGCTAATTCGGTCCGCCAGTTCAGGGACAAGCAAGCGGCGTAGTTCGTCGTCCGTACGGGTGCACAAGAAAGCAGCGACGATCGATCCTGCCGAGGTCCCCGTCACGACCCGAGGGAGGGTGTTCGTGTCGAGCAAGGCACGCACGACTCCGAAGTGGTAGTAGCCCAAGCCTGCGCCACCGGAAAGACACAGCGCCGTCGCGCCGAGGTTCTTGGCGCTCGAGCGGAAGAATTCGTGTTTGATCTCGAGCGGGACCTGGTCGAGTGGGGCTTTGCGCACGAGTTCGATCGATCGTGCGACTGTGGGTCGAAGCACACGTAACAGTCAGCGGCGGGACGAGCGCTTGAATGGACTGTACGTCCGCCTCGGGACCTACCTTCGTCGACGTAGTCCTGAACGAGGTCTTTCGTCCCATAAAACGTTTCGCTGTCAAGACCGCGGACGTCGTTGGCTTTGGACTTCTGGTTCGTCAACTGAAACAACGCGTCGGCGACTGACCTGTAGAGCCGGAAACTCTCGGACCCGGCAAAGTTGTTCCTCAACGCGGCGTGCAAGACGGCCATGACCCCCTCCGCATCGCCCTTTTCCCTCAGCTCCCTCAGCGAATTCAGCACCCTTCGGATCAGAGGCGAGTCGTAGTAGGCGTTGGGGGCCGATCGCTTCCATTCGTTGAAGCGGAGGTGGGCGTCGAGCAAGAGAGCCCGTTCTTTCCACTGTCGACGGGTGGGGAATAGTGTTAGTGTTGGTGATCAAGAGCGAACTGTCAAGTAAGAATGCACCTCTTCAAAATTGCGAGAGCGTCGCAAAGCTTGGCGTAACTTGCCTCGCTGACCACGCCCTGCAAGATTCGAGCGTTCACCAGCAGCGTCAGTTCGATAGCAACCGCCGATGCGAGGACCACGAGACTTACACGAGCCAAAGTACTCTATCAAGTTGACGATCTGCCGTACCATGACGTAGGCGAGGAACTCGATGGAGATGACGGTGAATATGATGAACTGTTATCCCTCAGCAAAGAGTAAGCTTTGGTCGAACAAGGAAACCCCTCGATGCCGGCGTGAAAAACCTCACCAAGAGCGGCCACCGTGAGACATGATATGCCCATCCTTCGCGAACGATATCCCGTCTCCTCTTGGGGCCCCTGTGAGTAAGAGGGATTCCACTCGGCTGAGCGACCGTACTACCCCCTTCCTTGCCTCGTCGCTCGACCCACCTGCGAACTTTTTCCCGAATGGGCGCAAAGTCCGAGACGGCGCGGATCTTTTCCAGGGGTGTGTCTGTGCCGTCGGTTGGGGTATCCTCGTTACAGGCCTGGGAGGAAAGATGAACCCGCGCCCATGGTACGTCAGTGTCGAACGAACCAAGCTCCCGGGTGTATCTTTGAGGCCTCCGAGTGCAGTGTATGTGCCCTCGGGTCAATCTCGGACGTGCAGGCTGGCTGCGCGCTCGAAACCGGTTCGGCGGACGACGACGTCATGCAGCTCGGAGCGGCCGTTACGCCGACTGGCGGGCAAGCGAGCACGCCGCGGCGATCTGGGTCTGCGCACGCAGAGGATGGACAGGTGTAGCTAGCTGCACGTTGGTCAAGGACGGACTCCTAGAGCGCGTGCCACTCCGGGTGCACCATTACGACCTCCCTCCCCGGCCTGGTGCCCATTGCCGTGCCGACTGCCGGACTAGGACTAGGCGTACACCCCACCACATGCTCACAAGCCACTCACTCACCCCAACCCAACCTACACCGACAACTCACCTTTCCAAACACCTCCATATCCTGCTCAAAGCACTCATCGACCCAATCCCACTGCAAATCACCGGCATGCAAATCCCACATCGTCTTTCTCGCCGTATCCGAACGAGGACCACTCCGCGCGGCGCCACCTCCGTTGGTCGTGGGACCTTTCTTGGAGTGCGTACGGGAGGGGACCGGTTCCTTGGTCGTCGATTTGGTGGGCTTGAGGGGTAGGGGTTCAGCCATCCTGGACGAGCCGGTGAGGTGGAGCGCCGAATCGATGCCGGTGAGTGTTTTGAGGGAGAGCGTCGAAAAGGCAACCCACCCGTTCACGCGCGCACCCCGACAACGCGCACGCATGCACGTAACGATGCAGTGGCAGATCGTGCAGGACGAATTTTGGCCCATCCTAGTACTACTACTCTTCGTTCCCAGGAAGGTCTCGAAGAATTTTGTCGTTTCAATTGTGGTATCCCGTAATACAGCAAATTACCCCAGCCACGACATTGCCACTCTTTCCCAGCCATCGTCGACGACGGAAAAAGGCGCCGCGCGCCATTCTTGAGCTCACGCCACGGTCTCGCCGTTCGACCCCATTCGATTCTGGTTTGAGTGCATAACTACTCTGCGCCTATCCAAACGACTTGTACATCCTTGTCCTTGGGCATCATCAACAGCTCGGCATCGAAAGCGACCTGAGGGGAGTGCAGTGGGGCAGCTATCAGTCCACGCGATCCCTCCCCCCCACATCGCCTGAAAGCCAGGTGGGATCTTACCTTCTTTTGCCTCTTGGCCGATCGCAACGTCCCATTCAGCGCCTCCACTATTTCATACAAACCAGAACTTTATCACATCAGTCCCTTATGCACCCCGTCTCGACCTCGTCCTTCCGGATCGAGCCCCAAGGCGGGCTACGTACGTGTATTGGCCGTCTTGTCGAACAAGATCCCGTAAGCGCACCTCGGTTGCCCCGAACTGTCGGTCGTGCCGTAGCTCTTGATCGCGTCCTATGCACCCAAGAGTACACTTGTGATCTCGTCAGCGAGATGAAGGTGGGGCTTGAACTGTGCACCGTTGCAGTGTGAAGCGAAACTCGTGCAGCGGAGCGCGGGACGGTCCAAGACTGATCCGTCCGGAGCCAGACTCGCCTTGAGGATCTCGATCTCGTGAGCTGTATCGAGGACCATCCTGGATCGTACTTGGTTCGTGCGGAGGAATAGCGAATGTAAGACGACGAGAGCCACAACTGGCGCAATCGGCTCGGCGTGGGTGCGGGCGCGACCCTCCACGCGTGAGCATTACTAATGCCGAAACCGAGTACATGCTACTTCGGCGTCAATCGCAGCAATCTAGATTATCTCACTCAAAAGAAAAAATCAACAGAAAATTTAAACCGACACTGGTTTTGACTTTTGTGAAAAACTCGCTTCGGCCCGATCGTACCGGTGCGACACGACGCGACGCCCGCATGCCTGCAGGCCACTGGCCGCACGCGCTTTCGTTCGGCAAGAGCGCGCCTCCTCTTTCTGGCGAGCGAGTCGAACGAGTCTTTCTTCTTGACGTCCCGACGCCACTCGTCGCGCCTCTCTCTAGTAACTGGCTTCATCGTCTGCGACAAGATCCCAAGATCTTTGAGCCGCTTCTTTGGGCTCAAGATCCCTTCACAGCAGCAGCAGCTCAACTCGAAAGTGCAACCGTCTCCGAGAAGTTGTCCGGCGCGTCGCACCACTTCTTTGGATTTCGATGCAGTCGTACCCGCCACCGCAGCCGCGCCAGCAGCAGCAGTACGCGCCCCACGCGCCAGCAGCCCAGCAGCAGGCTCCAGCTCAACAGGGCCGGGGTCAGGCCTACGGCGCAGGGACGAACCCTCCTTTTGTCCAAGCGCAACGCCTCGCTCAAGCCCAGTACGAGCAACAGCAACGACTCTTACTCCAACAACAACAGCAGCAGCACCAGCAGTCTTCCTCCGCGTACCCGTCCAGCAGTCAAACAAGCCACCACTCCACCTCCTCGGCTCAGACGATGTCAACCCCCGCCTCGTCCTCCTCCACCTCCTCTGCCGCTGCCTCCGCCGTCGTCCCGGCCATCCCAACCGAATACGTCTATTTCGAACGATCGCCTACGGGGTTCAGGAAGGACACGTTGGAGAAGGCGCAGGCGGCCAAGTTGAAGTTGGAGCATTTCTATGGCAAGGCCGTGCAGGAGGCGATCGAGAGGAATGGCAGGTCAGTAGTACATCCCCATCCTCGTCCTCATCCTCATCCTCATCTGCGCGCGGGACACGTAGCGGTGCCAGTCGTGGTCGGCGTTTGTGCCGAGTCGGATCGGATCGGGGTGGGGTTAGCGCTTGCTAGGAGGGAGAGGATATGGGAGCATGTCGTTCCTCGGAGATGGTATTGGAACGAGTGAGGCAGCACGTCGTGCGATGCATCGTCAACACGCTGAGCGATCCTCGGACCTCCACGCGATCCAAAGTGCCTCGTGTCCGAATCGTCGCTCAGGCCTCCTCCATTGACGACAACCACATTCGCTTCCAACGTCGCTCGACGTATCACACGGTCCTGAACTTATCGTACTGACTTCCAACTCTACTTCGCGCAATTCCTAGACGATCCGAACTCGAAAAGCGACTCGTGGCGGACAAGTCGATGCCAGACGAAGCCAAGGCGCGTCAACTGGCCCAGCTCGGTCGCACCGAATCGTCCTTCCTCCGATTAAGAAGGACGCGTCTAGGCCTGGACGATTTCAGGACCGTCAAGGTCATTGGGAAAGGTGCTTTCGGTGAGGTGAGTCAAAAGAGCTGGGTGGGCTGCTGGGTGCGAAGCTTTCGTGAGGGCTTGGCTGATTTCGGTTTCTTGTGTGGGGTTCTCAGGTGCGCTTGGTGCAAAAAGTCGATACGGGCAAGATCTATGCGATGAAGAGTTTGAAAAAGGCCGAAATGTTCAAAAAGGACCAGGTGGGTGAACGTTCGTGGTCGTCGAGGTCCTTGCCGTCACTGACGCCGTTGCTCCGTTCGCCCCAAAGCTCGCCCACGTCCGAGCCGAACGAGATGTGCTCGCCGAGTCCAACTCGCCCTGGGTCGTACAGTTGTACTACTCGTTCCAGGACTCGAACTACCTCTACCTCCTAATGGAGTTCCTCCCCGGAGGAGATTTGATGACCATGTTGATCAAGTACGACACCTTCAGCGAGGACGTGACGCGTTTCTACATGGCCGAATGCGTACTCGCCATCGAGGCCGTCCATAAACTCGGCTTCATCCACCGCGATATCAAACCGGACAACATCCTCATCGACAAGGACGGGCACGTCAAACTTTCTGACTTTGGTCTGTCGACGGGTTTCCACAAGCAGCATGACTCAGCTTATTATCAGAGGCTGTTGGATGGGAATGAGGGGGCCACGCGCCCGCAGAACAATGGGAGGAATTCGGTCGCGCTCAACTCGATCAACTTGACCGTTAGTTCCAAGGATGCGATCGCGACTTGGAAGGCGAACCGACGGAAGCTGGTGAGTACCCACAAGACTGTCTCAACTTTCCGGATCCGAAAGAGTTCATCTGATTATGTCCGTCACTCGGGTTTAGGCCTACTCGACTGTTGGTACGCCCGACTATATCGCCCCCGAAATCTTCTTACAACAAGGCTACGGCCAAGAATGCGACTGGTGGTCGCTCGGAGCGATCATGTTCGAATGTCTCGTAGGCTACCCACCTTTCTGCAGCGAGAACGCGCATGACACGTATCGCAAGATCATCGATTGGAAGAACCAGTTGTACTTCCCGGAGGATGTGAGGCTGTCGAGGGAGTCGGAGGATATGATTCGAAGGTCAGTCAGAGTGTCTCGGGTCTCGTGAGCAGCGATGGGGAACTGACTTTGGATTCGGTTGTGCAGAATGATTACCGGCCACGAGACTCGATTAGGGCGCAATTCGGCCGACGAGATCAAGAACCACGTCTTTTTCACCGGCGTCGACTGGACCACGATCCGCAACATCGAATCCCCCTTCATCCCTCAACTTCGGTACGTACGCCCTCAGACTCCTGATGTTGTCGAGCAGAAAGCTAACTCGCGAGAGCGATTCTGGGTTTGACGTACAGCTCTTTGACGGACACGTCTTACTTCCCTACCGAGGACCTCAACGACGTGCCCGAACAACCGAGCCCGTCCGAAGCCAGTTCGGGAAGCAAGGATCTTGCCTTCTTGGGTTACACCGTCAGTTCTTATCACCTTTTTTTGCGTTCTTTCCCACCCCAATACTGAACTTTCGTCTTTTGCTGCGGCCAGTTCCGTCGTTACGAAGGCAACCCAATCCCTTCGTCCGACCGTTTCTAATGTCGTGTCTAGAGGGCACGAACCTACTGGCAAAACCTCGTCACTTCTAGCTTTCCGTTCGTTTATAATGTCCTATCCGCGCATATCATCCTTGCTATTTCTTCCTTCACCGCAGACCTCTGAGGTTTTGTCCTCCTATTTCTTTTCCGTAGCGCCCCAAACCTACTCACTAAAATCACGTGCAATTCGAGTCTTGAGTCGGTCACGTTCAGCGAATCACGAAGCGGAAAGTGCAGACGCGGTCTATTTAGAGCTATAATTTGTAGATCACGCGTCCGTCGAACGGAGCCACGCTTAACCTAATTAGAGTCCACAAGTCCAGATCACGCAACGACAACACTGCAGAATAGACGGGCACTGAGCCAACGCGCGCGTCTCGACAAATTAGAAGGCCAGCGAACCACGTCGCGTCGCGTGAGACTATCAACGCGTAGGCGCGCGGTTGGCGAGACGTTGCAGGTGCCAGCAGTTCGACCACCCACCGGCTTTTCGTCTCTCCCTTTCTTTTCCTGCGCTCATCTACCAACGTCTTGCTTCGTCTCATTCTTCCGCCCTCGATTCCAACCACTTTGGTGTCTTTGATCAACTACATCGTCCTATACGAATACACCGTTCAAACATCCTCTAGCACCCACCCCCTTTCTCCCTGGTCTTCTCGTTCGCTGCTCATCACTCGACCCTTTTTTTTTTCCAATCACCTCAACGCAAACTCACCTCAAGCCTACCACAAGATGCTGCTTTCCACTTCGACATCCCGTTGGTCCGCTTTGACGACCTTGGTCATGCTCGCTTCTTGCGTAACCTCATTGGGTGAGTGCTTCGTGGCGCCTTTCACGATTTCGGAACTCAGCGAAGGACGTGACGGCGGTTGCAGCCGGAGTCCGTTGAAGCAACGCGCGTAAACCGCCTTGCGACGCGCGCCGCGCGCTCGCCACTATACCCTCATCTTCGCCCCTTGGTTCGAGTGAGAAGGTGTTCGGACTGGCGATGGCCTACCACCATGCCTCATGCGGACGTTCAGTGGCAGATTATTTTTTTTTTCCTCTTTTACTGACCTCCGCTCTGCCCATGGCCCATCACCTCCAACCCTACCTACCCTCCAGACGCGAACCCCTCTCCTCAAAGCACGACGCCGGCCCTACTCGCGATGAACCTGTCCAAATCGCCAAAAGTGATTCGCGTCGTCCACGAAAGCCAAGATGCGACCGCTTCGATCCTCTCGCGCAAACTCGACGTCGTGACCCCCAAGAAACGTCAAGACGATCAACTCCCCATCAGGCGTCGTACGACCGCCTCTGCTTCGGCCAAGAAGAGCGATGCGCGGAAGAAGAGGTCCTTGCCTCAACGGGAAGCGATGAAGGGTCGGGAGAACAGGAAGAACAGGAAGAACAAGAGGGCCGGTTTCGAGTCTTCGCATATCAAAAATCAGTTGGCGCTCAAGGCCAAGTTCAAGAGGGAGAAGGTCGAACAGGTTGAGAAGGCGTCGAAGGACAAGGTCAACGCGGCGAAGACGACTACGGCTAGTGGCGATAGCAAACCTCGCGCTTCGGAGACCAAGAAGGCTGACTCCAAGGCGTCGGCGACGAAGAAGGCGGAGGGAACGGCCAAGTCCAAGTCGGGATCGGCGACGACCAAAGCTGGTGCGGCTGGTGCGGCTGCGGAAGCGACGACGACGGCACCCGCGGCGGCGGCGGCGGCACCAGCGACGACTACTACGCCTGCTGCTGCGGATGCCGCCGCGGCTTCGGTCACGACTACGAGCGCCGATTTGAGCACTTCGACAGCGGCGGCGGCGGCGGCGGCGGCAACGACGCCGACAGATGCCAAGTCCTCTGCTGGTCGGGGGGCCTCGCTTATGAGCGTTGGGTCGATGACCGGTCTCGTAGCCGTCGTTTTGACAATCCTCGCCTAGACAGACGCTTTTGAGGATCTTCAGGATTTTGAATCTCTTGTCGCTCTCACCTCACTCATTCGTTCGCCCAATACACTGTAGCCCTTCTTTTTTGTTTCTCACCTACATTCTTTCAAAGCAATTATTACATTATGGACACAGCCTCATATTTTTTGTCATTTAGCGACCTTGCGCGCTCAGTTGGCATGATCAGTACATTCACGAACCTGTCTTCACTCGGATTATCTTTCGAATGTTGGCGAAACGTTCGAGACGATCATGCTGTGATATCACACACCATTTCTTACTGATCTCTTGTACTGGGTTCTGGGCAGAATGAGCTCTTTGCAGATGCACCGGTGCTGAACACTCGAAGTGGGATCTTAGGGGCGATCCTGATCAAATCTAGCATCATGACAAGGCCAGCTACCGAAGCCTACCCTTTCGAACCCTAGCTCCGGAGTTCAAGGTTGAGTATGAGTGTGGGGACTTAGAATGATCATGCTGTTCAAGAAGGAAGAAGAATGATGGGCGCTCGCAGAAGGCACATGACGTCCACCACCAAGTGAGCGGTCACCGGTTTCTACAAGGTCAAGTGCGAGGAAGTTGGGCTAGCAAATTCGATGCTTTGTAGTGTGACAAGAACGAAAAGCATCTGTGGTATAGTGGTATGAACAGGGAACGGGGAACAGGGAACGAGATAAAATTCTTGACAGCTTGACGACCAAAACAGTACCCCTTGTGGGATCGTCGGCGTTCTGGCCCGCCAAACCTACCTCGCCTTCACGTATACCACATTTCGACGGGGCGGACGTATTCACCATGTGTACCGTCTCTTGGAATCCTTTGGAAACCTCCCGTGGAAAAATGCTGTCGAAAGCTGGAAGGTAGGTATTCAAGGTCTTTTGCTGAAGTAGGTCGTCCCTGAAAATTTCCGCAGCAGATCCAGAGCGACCGGCTGGCCGACAAATTGGTGCAGTCGGTGCATTTTCAACAGCTAATGATCAGTGTATCCCATTTTCGAAGCTTCAATTCGCAAAAAATCACCTTTCTTCCTGAGGCACGGGAGGCACTTGTGGAGCAGGTGGAGGAACCGCCGCTCCAGCTGCCGTCGGTGGTGCAGGAGGTGCCGGCGCTTCAGATGCTGACTCTGCAGAGAACAATGGAAGCGGAGGCACTCCCGTTGGTGGTGGAGTCGATATGACCGGCATCTCCGCTTTTGAGGGTCATTGATACCCAAGTTGGCAAGGCGATGGTGATCGATAAATGCAGGACGACCGTCTCCTATCGCACGACCACGATCGCCCGACTTGTCTCGAGTCCGAGCGAGAAGCCCAGTTCGGGCAAGATTTCCGGCATCGTAATTAGCGTTGTTTTCGAGATAATTGTGCTGGGTCAGCTCGTGTTTTGTCTCATTAAGGCGAGGAAAGAGGGGGGGGGGGCATCGACAGGTGACGGGGATGATGCCAGCTGGGGCGCAGAATGGAGGGGATGGCCCTTACGCAGATCAAAAAAAGATCGGAGAAGCATAGATGACACAAATTACGGGAGTGTGTTCATAATTGACTGGATCGGGCTTTCATGCTTCTTCTAGGGAGGTGCTGTACGATCCTTACAGCAACCTGGTGCAGTGGAGCAAGAAACCGAGAACGAAGGTGAAGAAAGAGGGTTCAGGGGCCGCGCCGAGAGGGATCGCTTGTCAAGGGGAAGGAAACGACAATATCGCTAGGAAGGTCGATCGAGGAGATGTGCCCAGGGGTGGAGGTCCGAATACCTTTCCCCTTTAGCTCGGAGGTAATGATGCAGTACCGCGGCTGAAGGAACGAGCTGAACGGCTCTCACGGTAGAGTCTGGGGCGAGGGAACCTGTGCCTCTGTAAGCGTGTGTCTAGTCCGAACGGTCATCTCAAGCCACTCTATGTACTTTTTCGAACACGTTCGGATTCGCCGAACCCGAGTTGCGGCCCGGAGCCCGCTCTTCCGAGCTCCGTGGCGATCAACGGTTGACCCCTATTCGAGTTTTTCTTGGTTCATGACCTCGCGTCTCTCTTTCAAAATCTGTAAAAACAGAACTCAACCCGAACGCGAACTGAAATCTAACAAACATCAGCTTGCAAGGGCTTGCTCACGAGGTCGAACTTAGGTATGCCTAGCCTCCCTCGCAACCGGCTATTCCGGATCGCGCTCAGCCCGGTATTCCCACTCGCCGAAGTGCTAGCCTTCGCTCCAGCTTCCCGGCGGCTCTCCACACCCCACCCCACCCCACCCCACCTCGCCTCGCCTCGCCCCCAAAAACTCCACATTCCCATCTTCAAATACTCCAGCATGTCTTCCTCCAAACAAGTCTCTTCCGAATTGCAAGCTGCGCAAGCGCGTACGCTCGCACGCTTGGCCAAGATCCACGAACAATTCCACTCGACCCCGGGATCGGGTCGGTTCAAGGGCAAGGTCGCGATCTTGACGGGTGTAGGATCGGAGAAGGGGATCGGGAGGGCTTCGGCCGTGCTGTTGGCTAGGGAAGGTGAGTTGCATTCTTGCGTGCTGGTCGGTGAGGTGGGGTGGGTGATGGGTGGCCGGGGCTCGTGTTGTTGTGGGGAGGGAATGCGGGGGGCAAGCTTTCGCGATCACGGAGTCGAGCCTGCGAGAGACGGATAGGAAGCCTGCCATGCGATGCAAATGACGTGGATTGGATACGATGCTAAACTGAGAACTCGGGAATGAATCCGCAGGTGCCAAGCACCTCTATGTGATGGACTTTAACGCTTCGTCCTTGCCTCAGTTGGCCAAGGACCTCGAGGCTCGCTACAAGGGGCTCAAAGTCGGTCACAGTCCGCTCTTCCTCCCGTCCCACAAGCGACTACTAATCACAATCACTTTCCCAGGTAACGGCTATCGAAGCCGACGCCGCGAACGAAGACGCCATTTCGAGCGTTTGCGAACAAGCGATCAGGGAGGAAGGCCGTCTCGATTGCTTCTTCGCGAATGCCGGAATCGTCGGGGCCAATCTACTGCAACACACCGAACCTTCGGAGTTTATGGAGGTCTTTAGGGTCAATACGTTAAGGTGGGGCTTTCGGACAGAGCTATGGATTCTTCGCCTTGAGCAGGATTTTCCGGATCCTTCCCGGGTCATTGCCAAGACAAGGGACCATGACTGATCCATAGATGGCTTTATCGTCCCCGCAGTTGCTTTTTGGCGGTCAAGCATGCTTCGGAAGCGATGAAGGTCGTCCAGAAGGACTCGGGCAAGACCGAGACCGGCGGAAGCATCATCTTGACCGCTTCCGGTACGTTCGCAAATCTTGTTCGGAGCAATGCCTGAAGGTTGTCGGTCTGGACGGTTCCCTGATCGAGAAGTTTCGTTGTACAGTGGCTGGTATTAGAAGTGGCGCTGGACCGATCGATTACTCGTGAGTCTATTCGGGACATACAGATAAGTTCACGGTCTTGGAACTGATCAACCGAATAATCTGCCTGTGCCCCTTCTAGGGCATCCAAAGCGGGCGTCATCAACATCGCCAATACTTGTGCCAACGGCTTGTTCGGCACCAATATTCGTGTCGTAGGTTGTTTCGATGTTTGCGTTCGGTTGGAGTATCTGGCTGATCAGGAGCATTGGTTCTACACTTGCGCGACAGAACGCGATCTGCCCCGGCTTGATCGAGACGGGAATGACGACCTACACGTGAGTTAGGTGCGATCCCCAAATACATCAAAGTTACAAGAGCTGATCTCCCATATCACTGTGTGAGCAGTTTTGAGCGAGCAAAGGAGCGCGGCACGCTCGGCAAAGTTGGGCAGCTGAACCCTCTTCGCAGGTGAGTCCCGATTGAGGGAGATATATGTGTCGACGAGACAGGTTGTTGATCTCGATGTCTTTACCACGCATCTCAGGTTCGGTATTGCCGAGGAGATTGCGCAGGCCGTCTTGTTCCTTGCTTCCGGTGAGCTGGCGTCTGTGCTCGGAGGAGGTTGCATAGTCGTCAATGCTGACCGTGCTAACCGTGCCTACAGATGACTCGTCCTACGTGAGCCTCGAAATGGTCTTTCGACTGCCCTCCGCCATGATCTTCACACTGACGTTCCCCCATCCCTTCTGGAAAAAACAGGTCAATGGCATCCACCTGCCCGTCGACGGTGGTCTGTCGTCGTCGCACCCCGTCGTACCGGGGCAAGCTTTTTAAGAGCGAAGCAGAGCCGCTCGTAAGGCTCCTATCCGCCTGAATGAAGTAATCTATGTGATATGTCTTTTTTTTTAATTTTGTTCGAGGTTGTGAAATGATTGAAAAGACGTTGAAGTTGCTTGCTGCACTTGCTGTGTGAAGACTGGTGACGAGTTGGTGCGGACGGCTCCTTGGTGATTGCCCGATCGACCGCCCGGCCCCGGGGGGGAGCGATGGGCGCGAGAAAGCTCTACGAGGGGAACGCGTTCTACCTTCATGTACCGATATTTATGTTGGTTATTAAAGCGAACTTGTGACTACCGAGTGCGCCATGAGGTGCAAGAAAAGCATGCCTACACCGCTGCCGAATAGTAGTATCATGAGCCCGACTCGGAGCTAATGTTGGCCTCGTCGTCATCGGGAAGCTTCGTGCTCGGAGGACGACGGCCGAGCTCGCTCTTCTCTCTCTCCTCTCTCTTCTCTCTCACTTTCTCACCCCCTGGCGCGTAAAACAGACACGCCCGCCGATCAGCGCTTCCCTCGGTTCGTCAACTACACTCCTTTTCTGTTGGAATCGGCTGGGAACCTCGGGGCGGGCAACTGGCTGTCGTCGTCATCGTCGTCGATCTTCGTTCGTCGCACCGGTCTCCCTTTGCCGCGTAGGGACAGCTTGAACTCGTGCGCACTACAGTCAACAGAAGGAACACCACTCAGTCATAGAGCTCATAGGGTGAGTGTCCCACGTTCAAGCTGCGACGGGATGCTAGCCCGATCGACACAAGGACAGCGGTCGCAGTGCAGTGCAGTGCAGTGCAGTGCTGATCAACGGGACGTCTTCACCCAGGTGTTCATCACAGTTCAACATCATGGCGGCCTCCAACAACCCCTATAAGCAATACGTGCCCTCAGCAAAGGCTGCCTCACCCGCCCCCGTCGCAGCACACCCCTTGAGCCCGTCAACGCCGACAAGCAACCCTTACTTTGCCGCGGCCAACAATCTCAACACCACCTCTACCAGGCAACCAACTCTGATCCGCACAAGTTCCATCATTTCCGAGCTGGGCATCTACTTGCCTTCCGTCACGAGCAGCATAGAGGGTGAGATACCGCGCAGGGGATAGCCTTTTGCCCCCCCCCCCCCCCCCCCACCACCCCACTTCTCGGTCTGAGCTGACCTCGCGTATACATCCCGTGCATTCGTAGCCCCTTCCCACGATCCGATGGCATTGACACCTCTGCGAGCGCACTACCTCAAACGCGAACTCGTCACGCTCGGCTTTGCTTCCGAACTGAAGGCGTTCGGCTCGCCCAGCGCCGTCTCGTTGCTCGGACACCCCTTCCTCCCCGAGTCGCGCTTCAAGAATGGCGTCCCGCTTCCCGAACCCAAACCTGCATCGATGGAGGCTTTGTCGCTGAAGAACAAGACCGAACAAGAGACGGTCGACCTCCCCTTCCTTCGCTTCGTCTTCCACCAATTCGTCCTCACCTTCCCCTTCCTCGCCAAGTGTCCGCCGACCTTCTTCAGCCACAAGCTGCAACCTTTCGTCCACTCGTTCGTCTCGCGCAACATCTCTGGCTCGGACGAGAGAGCCGAAGTGACCAGTCGTCGCAAGGTGCAGAACAAGATCGAGAAGCATTTAGGCCTCATCATGAGCGCCGCGATCAAACTCGCCGAGAACGACGGCAAAGAAGAGGTCGTCCGAATCGAAGACGACGGATCGATGCAGACCGCCGTTCCTGCCAGTCAAGCACCCAAATTTGGCACTCCGTCAAAGGCGAACAAGGTTCAGGCTTTGGCCAAACCTCCGCCCGAGGCGGCGTTCTCGATCAATATCGTTTCTGTACGCAATTCGGTCGTCAAGGGGAGGGTCAGGAACAAGTCGCACGAAGAGTTCATCATTAGGACAAGGCAGAAGGGGCACAAGGATGTCTATGTCGCCCGGAGGTATGGCGATTTCGTCAGGCTGGCTGATACGGTATGTTCATTCAGCGAGTGGTAGCATAGGTATGTAATGAGATGCTGACCAACAGATACGGATCCGTTTTTTTTTTGCAGCTCCGCATCGAGTGCATTGAGCAAGACGTCGCTTCCCCACCCAACAAGGATCGTCGCAAGACGGAGATGAAACCCGGAGGAGGAGGAGGAACACCGCCGAGCAACAACTCGCCACGACAATCGATCGACGAATCGTCGTCGGCGCACATGAGCGCGCCGGTCAAGTTGCGCAACATCCCTTCCCTGGCCCGAGAGCGCAACCGATTGACTCTTCGAGCCTACCTTCGCTCCTTGCTCAACAACCCGGTCTTGGCGGCTACGGGGGCGTTCCAGTCCTTCCTCGTCGAATCACCGATCGAATTGTCCCCCATGGAGATGCGCGACGTCGAATTGAGGGAAGAAATGGATCGAATCCGTGAAGAAGAAGCGAGGAGCTTTCGATCCGAAGTCGATGAACGTGTCGCTGAATTGGAGGCGTACCTTCGGACGTTCAGGGAACACTTGGTGCAGAGTGATGGGTTGTCGAGGGTGTTTGCGACGATTCGGCGGACGGAGAAGGTCGAGAACCTTCCTGTCGAGTACAGGAAGGTCTTGGAGTGGGCTAGGATCTCGTGAGTTGCTCGTTGTCGCATCAAGGTACAAAAAGAAGTGGGGTGGGACCATATTACTGATAAGGGTTTTCTCGCACGGCTACAGCCTTGCATCGACAATCTACCAACTCTTCCTCGGCTCCGACAACTCGTCTTCAATCTTTACGCAACTAAAGCGCATCCACGGCATGATGCCCTACTTCATGCTCCGAGGGATCCTCAAGATCTCCAATCCCGTCGCAATGGTTCGAGCCGTGCTGGACCTGTTCCTCGCCCGGCCCTTCGGTTCGAACAGTCTGTTGCAAAAGATGTTCAGCAGTGGCTTGAACGACGAAGTTAGGGAGTTGAAGGACGACGCGACTTTGGTCGCGCACAAGATTGATGACGAAGTGTTGTGCGACAAGGTCGAGGGCTTTGTTGATGCGTCCAAAGAGTATCAGGATCGGTGCAGGGCCGAAGCGAGTAAGTCTGAAGAGAGCTGCGAGTGTTGCAGACGAAAAAAGTTACTCACCCCCTCTCTGCCGGCTTGCAGAGGGCGAAAATATCGATTTGATGTCCGTTATCTTACGCTCGGACCAGGAACCTCGCATGGACGCGACGACGTTCGAGCGCGTCCAACGCGCGAGCGTCGCTTACGAGGAGTACAAGCATGAGCGCGATCAATTAACCGATCCCGACGAGGACGAGGGTCCTGATAACGACGATGCTTGGCTTTTCGAGGATCTCCATGTCTTGTTGAGGATTTTGACCAAGGCGAGGGACAAGGAGCAGTTGATCGAGTTGATCTTTGAGGTCAGTCGTCGTCGATCGACTAACGGTACCTCGTACTGTTATTAACATGTCTCGAATTATCGCTGTCACAGGGGAGTACCTCCGAGTTGCTCAAGGATATCGTCACGATCTTCTACGAGCCATTGGCCAAGGTGTACAAAGCGGCCAACATTGCCGATTCGCTTTCGGACCTGCAAACGTTCCTCAACGATCTCATCAAGACGGTCGAGTTCGCCGAAGACGCGAACCTCACCGATCCACAGCAGACGGTGCAAATCTTTGTCGACCTTGTCGGACGCCACGAGGCGAGGTTCTACCACTTTGTTCACCAGGTGCACAGCAAGGGCGAAGGGCTGTTCGACAACCTGATGAAGTACATTGAGTTGTTCATCAACTTTGTGCGCGACGGTCTCCCGTCCGCCATCTCGCTCGAAGCGCTCTTACCCGCTGGCGGTCAAGAGCGACAAGCGATGATGGCCGAAGTTGATTCGATCGTCGCGTACCACCATCAACTCAAGAAGGCGCACCACGATCGATTGAGGAAACGCATGCTCAAGGGCAAAGAGACGGAGGCCGACGCCGATGCAGCTTTCGTCACGGGTGTGATGGAGAACTTGCATCTCGGTGGTATGATGGGTGATGTCGCGGACGTGACGGCCGAAGCGAGCGATGAAGAAGATTTCGAAGATGGTGGGAATGCGACCTCGGAAGATGAGGATGAACCCCGCCGACCGATCGAACTCGCTCTAGCTGCACCGCCTCGTTCGAACAACCCTTACAAAACGGCGATGCTCGAACGAATTCCGATCAAGAACCCGGGCAAGAGGAAACGGCGACCGATCCAACCGCCCGAACTGAAGTTGGTCCCTGCTCTGGTGCCGATTTTCGTCGAAATGGTTCGACCCGAGTTGCAAGCGGCGAGGAGAAAGACCAAGGCCGCTCTTGGGGTCTGAGTAGAGTGTGGAAGTTTCAAGTCGCTTTGTTCTGTTGAAAGGCGGGTTCGTCTTATCGCCTGAACGTGGTTCTGTGTGTAATGAACGAATAGACTTTTGATGACAACTCGGAGCTGGCGGACCGGTGCGATACTCGGCCGAGTATCGGCCGAGGCGATAGTCGCTCATCGCGGCTATCTTCGCAGGCGCGGGCCCCACACGGCACTTGCCGTTCGCCTCCTGCCCCAACACAGCACAACCTGACTCGTCCGGAGCCTCTCTCCGCGATGGAACCCAACGTCAAGACCAGTCACCGCATCCAAGGGACGTTCCTGAACCCTACCTCGGACCGAAAGATCGAGATTCTGCATGATCATCTCCTGGGTTCGTTAACCGCCCGCTATCTACGAATTCCTCTCCACAAGCACCTCGTCAACAGGAGCCCTAACGGCCCAGTTCCATCCACTGAATCGCTGTTTTCGATCACTTCGTAGTCACGAACCAGGTCGATGGCACGATCGACTACTTTGGACCAGCCGTGGAAGCGCCCCAACCCAAAGAGGTGCTGGACGAGCTCTGGAGACTGACCGAGGACAGCTTCATCTTGCCCGGCTTCGTGGATACGCACAGTACGTCCCTGTTCATCGTTTCTAAAGAGTATCACCTGAACAACTTGGACTCTGTTCAGTCCACGCCCCTCAGTACATCAACGCCGGCAACGCGCTCGACAAAGTAGGCTTCCCCTCCCCCACGTCCGATACGTCCGGACTCCGAACTCAACCCGAGCCTGCCCCCTGACTTTTATCTCCCTTCCTCACAGCCCCTCAAAGAATGGCTCGAAGCCTACACCTTTGCGGCCGAAGCAAGAATAGACGCCGATCCTCGAGGTTTGGGCTCAAAAGTCTACTCGCGGTTGGTGAAAAGGTTGATCGGCTCGGGGACGACGGCGGCGAGTGTCTTTGGGACGTTGTCGGTTGAAGCCAAGTGAGTGGGGTTCTGGTTGAGGTTAATTTATTGCGGAGAGATGGCTAACTGGAAGGCTTGGGGGGTTTTGAAAAGTGTGGTCCTGGCCGAGGCCTTCATCGACAGTGGGATTCGGGGCCATATCGGCAAAGTCAACATGGACCAGAATGGAATCCCCACGTGGGTAAACCTATTCCTCCAGACATCGTTGACGGTGTACTGAAAAGGTCGCCGTGGTACACCTACAGCTACATTGAAACAACCGAAGCTTCCCTCCGAGACACCGAAAGCTTCATTTCGATTCTCGCCACCAAGCTCGAAGCCGTTCCGGTACCCTACAACGGCCTCGTAGAAGCATGCATCACTCCGCGCTTCGTACCGACATGTACACCTAAGCTTTTAGATGGATTAAGCGCGTTGGCGGAGAAGCATCAGCTGAGGATTCAGTCTCATATGAGTGAGAGTATCGGCCAGGTCGAATGGTCAAAATCCTTGTCGGACGGAGTCGAGGATATACACGCTTTGGATCATGTGAGACGGCTCTTGACGAGCGGTAGATCACAGTCCGGATCTTGGCTCACCCCCCACCCCCCCCCCCCCCCTTTTTACTGAATGTTCCAACAATCCGTAGCACAAGCTCCTCACCCCTCGATCCCTGATGGCGCATTGCACGCACTCGACCGCAGCGCACCTCTCGCTCCTCTCCGAACGCCAAACCTCCATCTCCCACTGCCCACTCTCGAATCTCTACTTCTCCCCGGAGAAATCGTTCCCCTTGCGATCTGCCCTAACTCGTACCGTCAAAGTAGGTCTCGGATCCGACATCTCAGGAGGGTACGATCCTTCAATCGAATCGAGTATGCGGATGGCGGTGGCGGTCGCTCGTCAACGGGCCCATGCGCCGGAGGGTGTGGAGAAGGGAGAGAGCGCGGTCGAATGGGAAGAGGCTTTATGGGTCGCTACGAGGGGAGGAGCCGAAGCGATGGGCTTGTCAACCGGAATCTTTGAGAGAGGCCGACCCTTCGATGCTCAATTGATCGAGTTGGGGAATCCGCGCTCGAGGGTCGAATGGTTCGATGGATTCGGGGAGCAAGGTAGCGTCGAGGCCACGACCCCTTTCAAGACCAAGGTGGAGAAATGGTTCCATTTGGGCTCCGAGGTCGATCGGAAAGCCGTTTGGGTTCAGGGAAGAAACGTGTTGCAGTGAAGCAAAAAGTCAGATTCCATCCGGTCACAAGTTCCCGATGAAGTAATATCCGATAAAAACAATATAGATGCGAAAGAATGTAATAGGAACTCCGATAGGATAGCGGGGGAGAAAGTCGCGGACTGATACACAACATATAAACATGAAAAAGTTTGCTTATAAAATACTATCAAACGGGATAAAGTACAAGTCTGGGACGTATGCGCCCTTTTTGATCCGGCATTCTCAGCTCGTGCCCGAGGCCGGATCGATCCAAGTCCCGTTCGAAATGAAAGCCGTGGCCGCTCGGGCGAAATCACCACTCTTGCCCGAAGACGTGTATGCGAGTCTGCAGATGGGAACAATGAACGTCTTCAGCGCCTTGTTACCTCTGGACCTAAATATGACGCGCAAATCAGACTCACCGGAAGTAGTGCGGGATCGTGTCGTTGAGCCAAGCGATGCTGTAGTTCGTTGCGGTACCCGAGTAGCGCTCGACGTCGTCGACCAGCAAGGAGAAGCCATCCCAAGAGTTCGCAAGACTGTCCGGGATCGCGCTCCAAAAGATCGAGGCTTGGTCGATCGTAAAGCTCGTCGCCGAAGTGAGGTAGGTCGGGAGCGCGCTCCCCGTCGAGCCATCACCGACGAGAGACGAAGCAGCTTGGAGAATCGAATCGAAGCCCCACCGTCCGGCGCCGTCGAGGAACATGCCAAGCAGCAAACCTTGGAATAGAGCCGAGGGCCGGGTGACGAATGCGCAGCCGGGCAGGAAGATGAGCGCGAGGAAGTAGTGGTGCAGGCGAAACTCGAGATTGGGGATGCACGTCAGGAGGCCAATGATGCAACCTCCGACGAGGTACCAGAAGATGTAAAAGTAGAACCATCCCGTCCGTCGAATGATGCGTAGCTGGTTTAGCACGCAGAAGAAGATGACCAGCGCCAAGATGATGACGGCGACCAAGCTGCCCGGCTGCTTGGCGATGTCACTCGCCGTCAGACGGATGATGGGAATCCATGCGAGCGAAATATTGATGAGAAGGCCGACCCAGAAGCCACCAAGGTACCACACCGTGCGCTCGATCGCCGCGCCCTCAAAGGCAGGTACGACCCAGCGGAAGCTAGTGCGCCAAATGGCGTAGCCTATGAAGAGTGTTGGGAGGAAAAACTTGAACCCCTTTTCGAGATCCGGGGGCATGGCGGACGGGTCCGAGGCCAACACGACGTGCCAGAATCCCATGCATAGCAATGTCCAGAAGAAGACGGCCGGCTCAGGGCTGCGATGTAAAGCGGGAGAGAGTCGGTCAGTGACGTATCCCTTGAGGATAGAGTCGAACACGACGCGTAGGACCTACCGTATGACGAAGGAAAAGATAGTCGACATGGCGACATTGAAGCCGAGGATTTCGTTGCGAATGTCCTGGCACCCCTGTTGAGTGACGGTATCGACGAAGCGATAACTTGAAGGGAAAGTCGATTCGAACGAGACGGAGCCGACGCCGTGCTTGTTCATACCGACGTATCCGGTGAACTCACCGACCATCTCGAGGCGTCCGCAGCCTCCTTTGCGGTTCCCGAACAGCCCATGGTGAATCGCCGAGGCGCAGATCCACGAGTCGCCGCGGTACGTCGACTGCGCGTCACCTCCACCGACGACCAGGGGCTGGAAGATGATCTCCTGATCACCGACCGCGCGGTAGTTGAGGAGCTCGACGTCGAGCGTCTGGCTCGGGCAGCGGAAGACGAGCGACGAGTTGGTGAAGGGAGCGCAACCCGTTGCGTTCAGTCCGCAGCCATCGTCCTTGCTCCAGAACGAGCTGGTACCTAGGATGAAATCCGGTGTCCCGACATTCGTCTTGGAGTCGAAGAAGGATTCGTGCACGAGCACGACGAATGCGATGAGCCACACGAGGAGAAAGATGGGCGTAATGAAGCGACGGCGGCTTTGCATGAAGGCGAGCTTGCGGTTGAAGAAAAGTTCGCCCTGGGACCACCACGGTCGCACCGCGGTCTCGATCCAAGGGGGTGAAGGTCCTCGGAGGTACAAGAGACCTCGACCGATTCTCGGGAACTTGGAGTGGATCTTTTCGAGGAGGGCGTTGAAGCGTCGGCCATCATCGCCGATGGAGCTTTCGCGGTGAGGTGTGCCGTCCGCAGCACTCCGATAAGTCTGGAACTGGTGCAACTTGTCGAGGAACATGGACGATGCGATTCGAGAGAGGGTCCTTTTTCGACTCCTTGTTGCATGCCCTGGATCGAGTCCGGCACCGTCGGTCGTAAATGAGACGGCTGAGGAGCTGATCGGGGTCGTCTCCGCAGGGCCGGCGCCCGCACCTCGGCCTCCGCGATGATGATGTCGGGGGAGGTGGTGATCGGAGACTGGGAGCACGACCGCCGAACCGTGCATAGGCCCGCCCTCGCCCTTCTCCAGGTCCTTGTCCTCGAACATCGACGAAGAAGAGCTGTCGATCTGATTTGTGGGATCAAAAGGTCGAATCGGCAGCTCATGTACGGCGCTCATGTCGAGCTGGATGCCGAAGGGGCTCGAGTTCGCAGCAGCGACTCCGGTCGTCTCCTGCGGCGGCAGCGTACCGCTGAGGCCGAGGTGTGGAGCTGCTTGGCTCGTTTGCCTCGAGGAGTCGGGCATCGTAGCTGGCCGTCGTTGCGTTCTGTCACGCCGCTCTCGGTCTTTTCAGCTCGTTGGTGAAGCTGAAAAGTGGCTGAAAGAGGACGAGCAGTGGGGTGAGACACGCTGACAGACGGCTGGATCCGCAGCTGACGACGGCCGATGCGCTCGAACCGCCGGTTGCCGGTCGCGCGACCTTGACTGCACCGCGCCTAAGCCCGTCGCGGTACCTTATTGGGGTCCACTCGCCTTGATTCCGGTTTCTACGTGATCCTCCTACTGCAGGCTGATTCCCAAAAATAACTGCAAGGAATTGATCGGGGGTTGTTTTATCGTCTCTTTGATCAGAGTGGAGTGAACCAATCGTCCTCCATCCTCCGTTCACAGCGTAGGCCTCCGATCGATATCGCGGTCGCAAGGTGCGCTGGTTATCGGGGGTCCAAAACATCGTTGATGAGAATCTGCTTTCTCAGCGCTTGGGTGCGTGCGCGCGGTCTGCCCAGCCCGCTTGCGCTTGCGTAATGCAAAGGCAAAGCGTTGGTCACCCGCTCGATTAGTCATCCCCGTCGCCCGATCCAATCAACACGTCGATTTCGCGATTTCGGCCCTGCGGCGCTTCTCAACTTCTCTGCGAATCTCGGCGCCCAGCAATCGCAACATGTCGAGGCCCCTTTTCCTCTTGGCAAGTGCATCGCTTTCGTTGCTTCCGGGAACCAGAACGGTACCGAAAAAATTACCCTTTCTTCTGTGGCTCTCCTTGCACCAAAAAGCAGAAGAGTTCATCGACGAATCTACACTTAACAATTTGGAACCTCGACACTGCAAAGTCTCGTACAGTGGCGTTCTGGCGTCTGCCCCGGTTGACTTGAAGCAGGCCCGCGGTCTCCGCGGGAGCGCTATCCCGACAGGGGCTCGCCGACGTGATTTAATTTTCGTCCCGATCACGGGAGACGGAAGAGAAGCAACAGCGCCGTTTGAAAATGCTCTATTGCCGACATGCCATCGACTATTTCTGCGTCATTGGATATTGGAACCGAGGCAGACGAGTCAATCGCAGCTGCTGGAGCGCTGGAGTTATCGCTTCGGACCATTTCCCGGAGGTCTTTCAATGAATTACGGACGAGTAAATTACATCATGACAATTCAGGGTCAATGAGTCCTACACTACTGGCTTCTGCCAGTGTGCGTAACAGCATTCCCTCCGACTTTTCCGAAGATTTCTAGGTATTAATATAATTATGCTGTTAATGTAGTCTATCAAATAAATAAAAAGACAAGTCGTAACTATGCTTGCCAAAAAGGAATGGGCTGCTGGACGGAAACGAAAAAAATGTAAAATGAATTTGCGTTTTCAGAGGTCGTTGCTGCATCTATAGAGGGTTGCAAGTCGAGCGTCCAGCGGGCGTCGACGCTCAACGGGAAATGAAAAAATACACGGTATTTTATGCCTTCGGGGGCCGCCCTGGCCCTCGATGGGCACCTCCGCTTACTGATATCCCGGCCACGCAGGAGTTTCCGGCCCACCTTGCCACGCCGGCCATGGACTGAATCCGGTCGGTAGCGTTTCCAAGGGTGTCAACCCCGTCCTTCTATCCAGTAACGGCCATTGCATCTGGTCCGGATCGAACAGAGGAGCCGAAGTCCCAGTAACTAGTCGTTCCGAATCCATCTTGAACGGCGTTTCCGTCGTGCCGAAGCCGTCAAGCTGGCCACCGGGAGGTAGTTCGTAATTGGGCAGCGCCGGTGTTGGGAGGGCAAGGTCGGGCTGATGCGTGGCAGTGTAGGTCGAGTTCGTGTTCTGTTGGAAGGCTTGCTCGTGTGTATGTGTCCCCTGAAACGAATTAAAGTTGTAGAGCGGAGGGGCCAACGACGCGAACGGGGTTTGCTTGACCGCCACGACCGGAGGTTCGGGCAGGGGTACAAAGCTTCCCATCGATATCAGATCGGGCCCACGATACGTGCTCAGATCAGCGGCAGCGAACGACGGGACAGGAAGAGTACGCCGCTCGAAGTGATCCAGGGTCGGTGGCGCAGAGTGAGGAATGGAAGGATCGAATCTGGCTTCCATCGGGATCGGGATGCTGCACGGCGCATTACGTCGTCGGCCAGACAGTGTTCGCGTCGCGTGTGAGGAGGAGGCGCCAGCAAAGGGAAAGGACTGCGATGCCGGTGATCGTCTCGCCGTAGGATTCGTCAATGCTTCGAATTTGGGGGTCGGCAGAGGGGAAGGTGTCGGACTGGCGATCAGCGATGAGGCGGAATTGCGGTAGGTGGCGTAGGGGTGGTGCAATGGCAGGGCCGGCGGCGGCGATGTCTTTTTGCCCCCACTCACGCCCCGCGAACATATTGACGATGCATCCGTGTCGGCATCACTGCGAAAGGACGAAGAGGACTGGAACGAGGCTGATGACGAAGCGAACGAAGAGAACTGGAACGAGGCTGATGACGAAGCGAACGAAGAGGACGTCGAGGCGGAGGACGAGGCAATCGATGATGTCGAGACGGCCGAAACTGTGCTCAATTCGGAGGAGCTCGTACGATCCTCGCTATTCAGCCTTGGGATGCTCTTGGGTGATACTGTAGGTGGACGTCGTCAATGAAAAATTCAGATGTCAGTATGTTGCCAAATTGAGCCTCTGAGCTTGGTCATTGTTGCGAGGCGGAGTCGGTCACCGGGCACACATAAGCAAGACGCCGCCGATCCCGGGACCGGCTAGCGCGAACTTGAGTAAAAAAGTTCGGCAGCGATGCGCCGCGGCGCGCGCGGACTCCATCACTCGCCCGCCCCCGATCCGCATTCCGGGCGCGCCGATCGGAGATCCTCGCCAGCGATGACGACAGCTGACTAGTACAAGCTGAGAGTGAATGAACGCACGGGAAATGGAGGGCTTGGTGTCATCAAGAGGATCACTATAGTGGCATACGACTTGATCCAATGGTCGATGCTTGAAGCGAGCCGAGCGTAAGCAAGCACCGCACGCAGGCTTCTCGCCGTCGCATCTGATTAGAGAAAGAGAGAAATGAATTGACGCGAGGCGCCGGGATCCGATCAGGAGTTAGCCGGCAGTTCCCGATTCTGCGAAAGCGTTGCAAGGCCATTGCCCGTGCAAAAGGACCAGATATGCGATTATCAGGCGCTCACCTTGTTTTCCGAGTCTTGCAACGAGCACTGTGTACCAAAGCAGGTCGCATAATGGAACGTCGCACCAGATCAGTTCGGGAATTAGAATTCTCCGGCGAGCACTCGCCTGCGAAAGCAGCCAGCAGCAGCGCAGCTCCCATCGGCTCAACAACCTTAAATCTGCAAGCTGGACTGCGAATATCGATGAAAGGGATCGAGAGGGTGATACGATATAACTCACCATGCGAGGCCCTTGGCCAAAGGTGCAGCGCCTGTAGGAGACCTCATGTACGATCTGTCGAGGTGTCGAGGTGGATCGACACCAATCAAGGAAGAAGCGGCAATGGGGTGTGGGCGGTGGGTCAAGCTCAAGTTGGGAAGCTCAAGTGAAAGAAAGCCGGACCTGTCGGCTGAGATGGGTCCGAGAGCTGAGATGGGAGACGGGGAATCGAGAGGTCCGGCGAGGAAAGCGACCCGGTTTGGATGGCAGAGCAGAGTGACAAAACGCAAGAGTGAAGTTTCGGCGCCAGGATCAGCAGCACCTGGGACCAGATGCTTCCGGTGAGTCTATGTTGGATTAGCGGGCGCCTTCGCTTTGCTGGGTCCTCCGAGAGCACTGCCCTCACGACCACGCTCACGGCAAGTCACGGCATGCGCTGTAGCCGCTAGCCCACTCAGGCACGCCCGACCACGAGCGCTGGCAGTAACCGCGCGTAGGAAGTTGGTGCCTTTACCTCAAGAACTATCAACATGAGCACATTATTCACCGGTGCTGCGATAACGTTTTGGTACAGTAGAATTATCCAAGTGGTGAATTCCACATAGCTCGACTGGTGGCCTACAACGTCCGCCGAAGTGCCAGCTTCGGGGAGGAGTGAAAATCGCGAAAATGTGACAAAGTGATTGCCCCAAGAAACTGAACCGCGGCGCGGTTCTGGTTCGGCAGCCAGCGATATTTTCGGCACAGCGCGAATTGCGGAGTCACGTAGGGCTGGGTAACGGCCATCTTGCACATGTCAAGTGTCACAAATCTGTAACGGATCAGTTGCGTGTTAAGCGGGGTCTTAAGAATTAGGTGTAACATGTGTAACAGGTGTGACACCTGCACAGGCCTGGCAGTAGCTATGGAGGGTATCGACGTATCGTGGCCAAATCGGGGGCTAAGCCGCCGCGGCCCGCCAGCCTGACCACGCCAAGCGTCAGGCACTGACTACCTACCCATTTCTTGTAGTGACTGCCCCCGGAGATATTTACCTTCTTCTTCTTCTGAAAAGTATCTGGGTTCTTGGTCGGAGCGCCTGACGCTCAAGCGCCAAACTGGGGGAAAATCATGATGCTACCAGTTTGACCCAATCTCGACCAGTTGCTACGGTTGTTACGCCTTTTTGATGCATTTCACCTATGTTACAGAGATTGAGATGTTGTCACAAGCTGTTACGAGTGGTGGAATATCATGTTACAAGGCACCTCGGAAATGTTACAACCGTGTTACGTACCAAAAAAAAACGGCGTGTTACCCAGCTCTACTCCTGCTGCGCTGGATGACTTTTTCGCATTGGGATTGGCAGCTGCATCGATTCCCCTCGAAGGACATGATTGTGTACCGTGGTGTAGGCTGACAAGATAACTTCCAGTCACAGGTTCGCCAGCAGATTTTGGAGATCCAATAATGTTTTTCGGTAGTCGGTGCCGTTTTGAAACCCACGCTGAGGTTTTGTGACCACTGACGTCATCCAAGCGAGATCGGAGGGGCCGCTTTGACGCGTTTTCAATTACCGACACCCGATAGGGCTCTTGATTGAAAGCGCGCGTTTTTTTAATGCAAGGTTGCACGTAATGAAAAACCTGGGTCAGTCTTCATCGCCGACCAGATGATGTCGCATGTAGGTAGGAGGGATCTCACGACCAACATCACTCACTATCGTCGTCGGCAAGCACAATTATTTGTCACGCTCTGATCCCAGTTCTTTAAAGATATCCTACTCCACAGTCGTTACATGTCATCTCGAAAATCGAGCTTCGTTAGCGTCCGCGAAGCAATCGACGGTGCCCGACGAATCCTTCGGCGAACACGCGAAAAAACGAAATCCCCCATCCTGGCCTCTTCTCGCCAGGGCCCCAACACATAGAACCTCTCAACAGCCTATAACATTTTCCATCCTAACCAAAATAAAAAACAAGCCGCCTTCGGGGTACCGTAGTTTAAATTTGAACATGTGCAGTGCGGTGCCTCGCGCGCGGCCGGCAACTTCCTCGGGTTCCGCGGAGTTGCGTAGTGTTAGCGCGGGGGGTCCGACAGCGCAAGCGGTGAAGATCTGAGGTTCCGAACGAGCTGGGGCATGTTGTCCGTTCGTTCCCTTGAACTGCGTGTTCCCTCAGTAGCCTCAGGGCGTTCATGCCTGACGCCTACCTCCTAAGGTACCCTCTGTTAAGTCTAGAGTCAGTTGATTTTCTATTGATCCAGAACATCCATTTCGGCCCTTCCTTGGCAGTAGGTAGGTACACTGCTTTTTCTCGCACGAGGTCGAATTTTCCTCTCGGAGGTCGTGCCTATCCCCTGAAGCCCATTTACCCATCCTCCTTTCCCCGGTGACCGGTCGTTTCTCGCGGGGTTCTAGAACTAAGTCACGGGGTTCTAAAACTAAGTCGACGAGTTCACGAGCTTTGTGCGTGTTACAACAAAAATACTGAAAAAAAAAACGAAACGGAAGAACAAGAAAAAGAGACCATCTAGGCGCTTTTGAAGACGTACCAACCACGGGATAAGTGAACGCAAAGGATGCACAAGGGAGGGAAACGGTAGTAGTATAAACTTTGAAAGAGAGCGCGCGTCAAGCGCCTCCCACTGCTACTCCTCCGTACAATCCTCATCCATACTCGCCGAAGCGGAAGATGCCGATGAGCTCGCACCACCATGACACCCCTCCTCCCTCCCGAACAAGACCTTCTTGGACGCATCATAAACCGCATACGATATCGCGACCGCAGGAACGACCTTGACCAACGTCGGGGTAAGTCCCTTGTAGAACCCTCGCCAGCCTTCACGTTGGTAGCATTTACGAGCGGCGTCGCGGACGCCAGTGTAGGTTTGAGGGTGGGCGGGCGTGCCTTGTGCCTGGAGGCGCGTGCGGACTAGGTTCCTATGGAAAGTAACGTAGGGGGATGAGCTACTTTAAACGCGGGTTCTAGCAGCGAAATGAATCTTCTCGTGAGCACTTACAAAGGATAAACACTCGTCGCGCCCACACCCCCACTCAGCGCGCCAAAGGCCAAACTTCCCGGAATGCCCGGTTCCTCCCCCGCCCACTTGGTATACGCCAACTTGATGCCTTCGAACGTCGACATATCAATCGCCGAATAAGGGAACACCCCAATCAACCCGGCCGGTAAACCCCTGAAGTACAACTTGACCCCACCCTTCCTCCAAATGTTTTTCGCGGTTTCAAAGATCAAGGCATTGCCTTTATGTTCCCCTCCCGTGGAGGACATGACGCGCGTTTTGAGGGTCTCGATAGGGTAGATGACGAATTGGGAGAGGACACCACCTATCCCTCCCGAGACGAAGCGACTCGAGTTGGATATCATCGTTTGGTCCGGGACGCGGTCCCAGTATTGTGCAAAGACGCGCTTGGCGGATTCGTAAGAGAGGAATTTGATCGCCGACTCGGGGAAGATCTTGATCACGTTCAGACCGTTGCCCGTCCAGAACGCTGCGGGACCTCCACCTTGGCGCCAGATCGCTCGGACGGCTGCGGGGATGCTCCCCTTGCCTCGTCGGACTTTCTTCGTCGGTCGTGATGGTGCTGCTGCTTCGGGACTCCCTAGACTGGGCACGTAGCGCGGTGTAACAGGTTGTAATGTGGAAGGTGAGGTGATGAGGTAGACCTTGAGGCGATCAAAGGGGGCCGTCGCCGTGCGGGAAACAGCTCCGGCTAATCCACCCGCGAGCAGGAACTTGCCCGCGCCAGCAAACATCCCGTGCTGGAATTCGTCGGCTTGCTCGTCGCCATCGTCTTCAACCACGGGTGACGTCGAATGAGCAGGGCTAGCGGTCCCAGCATCGGCCGTGGTCGTCGCTGTCGTCGCGGCCGCTGCAGCTGCCGAGGGTGTCGTTGATTTCTCAGTCGAATCGACAACGCGTGAAGCTGCAGCACCATCCCTGACACTCGCAGCTCCAACCGACGAGCTGGAATTCGAAACATTCTTAGACACCGCAGTCTTGGGCGGGGCCACATTCTCCACCGCGTTTCCTTTCTTGACCGCCCCGACCGCCCCGGCCTTACTAGCCCAACATTCAACACATTCCCTCGCCCACCTCTTCTCATCATTCTCCGTCTCCCTCTTTCTTAAATTCGTGGCGTCTTGAAGGATCGCCAGTGCGGCGGACGAGTTCATCGCTTTCTTTGGTTGCGAGGTCAAGGAGGCGGATTTGGACGCGGCGGCGGATTTGGTCATGAGTCGGTTCCAGCCTGTTTTGCCGCCGCCGATGACGACTGGAGACGAAAAAAAGATGCAACGAGATCAGCTTACGTCTTCAAGAGAGTGTGCAATGGCGCGTAGGAACTGACCATCACCGTCCTGCGTGAGCCGACTCATCGACGGTCGGTGCTTGCGGTGCGTCTGATAGTAGTGCATAATCTCGGGCATCGAAGTCGGTCTCGGCAATAACTGCAACCACACCATCGATCCGGAAACGTCAGTTACCCCATACGAGTCCTTAGCCGATCTCGTCGTCAAACGCACCAACAAGAAATTCCTCCACTCGGCGAACGAGATGGCTCCATCGCCATCCTTATCAACGGTCTTCATGAAATCGTCCAACGTCCCATCCATGATCTCCAACCCGGCTCTCTTGCACGCCTGTCGGACCTCGGGAACGCGCAGTTTCATATCCCGGTCGCTATCGAATTCGACAAAGACCTTCCACAGTTCTTTCTCCTTTTCTTCGGCGTACTTCTCGAACGCGGTCCAACGCGCTGCGGCGGAGGCGATGGGGGCTGAAGGTTGGGATCGAAGCGTTTTGGTCGACTCTGGTGAGGTAGACGCTGTTCGGAGAGGAGTGTCTGCACCTTGCGGTGGTGCCGTCGTTGCTGTCGATGCGGCGAGGGCGGAATTGAGGGATGCTCCGGCCGGCACGTCATTGCATTTGCACCATAGCTCCCTCGCGTACGTCTTGCGATCGCGCGCGTGCTGGTCAGCCTGTTGTAGTGCTGTAGGCGCGGAAGGAGAAGAAGGAGACGAAGCGGTAGTAGCCTGCGCGGAAGCATCCGGTAGGGTCGACGTCGAAGCGACAGGTGAAGTCGGTGGAGAAGTGGGTATAGGGATCGAATCGAACAGTGTCCTGAAAATAGAGAGCCTCCTGACGGGTCCTTCGAAGGCCTTGTATTCTGATAATGTATGGGGTTCGTCTTCGGGCGCGGCAACGTCGCCGTCGCGTACGGCTTGTTCGTAGGCTGCGGAATCGAGTTCGATGGGTATGCGTTCGTGTCGCGGTCGGAGAGAGAGGTTCGGGTCGTTCGTTGAGGGGGCGGTTGTCGAACCTGATGCGATGAGCTGGAATATCTCGGCGTGGCAGGGTGTTGAGGATGAATCAGAGAGGATACCAATCGTTGAGGACGAAGATGCTGACGACGCTGCAAAGAGGGACGAGGAAGCAGGGTCGATGGAGGGAGCCGACGATGACGATGACGACGAGAACGAGAATGAGGGCTTTGTCGAAGGCGGCGGTGCCTCGTCATCGTCTCGTATCGGTGGTGGATCGCTTGAGAGGGTCGTCATCTTGTCTGACGTGAGATGATGTCTTTGAAAATCAGGTGCGGACGGTCGAGAGGGTCAGTGAAGTGGGACTTGGCACGACAGGCGTGGCACGACTGATGCCGAATGGGTGCTCGGTGGCTCGAGTGCGAAATCCCCACTTTCGCTTTCGAGCGAGAAGTTCCTGCCGCGACGCTTGAAAGGTGGGAGTAAGACTGACCACTGACGAAGGACCGGGTATCTACCCAAGCACGCGGATGGGGTGTCCCTGAAGAGGTACCTCCCAGAGGGACACGACGACGGACTGGTGACGAATGCGCGCGTGCGGAATGGAATAATGACCAACCCGAACCGCTCTGGGCAGCTCTGGGCTGGCGCTGGCTGACGGACTGCTGCTGGCGGTGCGCCGTGGCAGCCAACTTGGCGGCCGTCGCTCGATCGTGCGCTCGAGTCGTCCTCGCACGAACGGACTGGCTTACCAGCTCAGAGTCCGAGAAGGCGAGACCGTTCACGGTTGTAGCAGCTTGTGGATCGACTAGAAACTACCGCTGGCCTGTGGTCGGAAGAGAAGTGGCATCAGTGACAATTTTCAGCATGGGCGTGACTACTGGCAAAAAATCAAATCATGCCAGCAGCTGCACCAGCAGCAAACGACAAGTCGGCGTGCTCGCTTGCTCGCGTGCTCTCGACGGCGACGACCGAAGCTGGTTGCTGTCGCTGAGCACGACCATATCGTCCGCGGGCAGAAAGACTGACCCAGAACAAAATCGCAAACAGATAGCCGAGCCCACAGGGTAGGGCACGAACGCGCAAACGAGACAGAGAGGGGTGGTACACAGCACTGCCCCAGCACAACTTGAAGCAGCAGCAGCGAAAGCGACGGTTCGCACACACGGACACGTCGTGGCCCGCTCGGTGCTACTGCTCGGTGTCTGTCGATCGTTGTTGGCGATCACTTCGGTCGACCTCGCCTGCTGCACTGCCTCTGCTAGCTCTGCATGCGCCTTGATCGGCTCGGGCCAGTTTAAAAGACTCTCTCTACTCAGCAGTTCTGACACGACACGGATCAAAATTATGAGCTTATTAATGTCCCTTCCACTAAAAGTGCGTGATCCCTGACGCGAAGAATTTCCTCTCTCGGAGATTCACCTCATCATTACCGAGCAGAGCAACCCATAGTAGCCAACGAATAATTGACACCGCCTGTGTCTCGCCGACGCGCTCATGAGCTCAGGAGGCTCCACCCTGCTCCATCCCGCTCTCTTCGCCTCGTTCTCCCACTCATGGCCTCCCAAGCTCCCCGCACATCGCCCACCATGTCATCCTCGACCCCCTCCCCGTCTCTGCAACAATTCCTGGACCTCCTCGACGCAGGCGACTACTACGGCGCCCACCAAAAAGCGCGTACGAGCGCAACCCGCCTACTCGCCCCACCTCGTCGTACCGCAACCCCCGCACCACCATCATCCAAGAACGCATCCTCAGCCGAGCCTCTCCCCTTTGATTCGAAAGCCCAGCAAGCGAGCGAGTTGTTGTGGCAAGCGAGTCGCAAGCTGATGGAGCAGGCGCAGATCGGCAGTGGGGTCGATTTGGCGATCTATCTATTGGACATTTACAAGACCAGGAATGTCGGATGTGGACCCGAGGAGAGAGGTGAGTTCAGAGTCTATCACGATGACATCCCTTGGTAGTGGGTGGGGACGGAGTACTCCCCAGGAAGGCGCGTGCAAGCCCTCGGAGCGCCACGTTGCAGAGGAAGGGAGCCGCACGGGCGACTAGAAGCAACCCTGATAACCTTGGGTACAATCACCAGAGTCGCAATGGACAAAACCACTGACCAATGGTACGCCCTCGGAATCGCGCAGCCAAGATGCTGCAATTGATCGCGCTGACCGGACCTGCCGGAGCCTGGCGCAAGACCTTGACCGACAACATCTTCAGGTCAGCCTTGTCCATCCTTACGTGGAGGTGGAGGATGCGGCCGACCGTACTGAAGCAATACTTCCCTACAGTTGGTCGTCGAAAACTGGTGTCGCCGAATCGGGTGATCCCGAGATTCACCTCTACCTCGGTCAATTGCTCTACAAAGGTCCGTCAAGCTCCTCTCCTCCTTGGGCACACAACAGCGGCTAACATTCCCTCGTCCTCCCCCAGAACAAAAGTACCACAACGCATCCCTGCACCTCCTCTTGGTCCCGACCCAAGACTCTGCCCGCACGCTCGCGGAAGTCATGTTCGCCTGGTCCCAACTCGACCCAAGCGGCCTCAACGGACTGGGTCGCTACGCCGCGCGAGCGACGTTATCCTACCTCGAATCGCACGCCATCCTCGCCGCTCGCACCTTCCTCTCTCATTTCCTCTCCTCCGCACTCAAAACTTACCCCGATCTCTTGGTCAAATCCATACCTTACCCTTCGCCTACTTCACCTTTGGGGAAGAATCTCCCCTCTTCCGAACAAGGCGACGAATTGATCCTGACCAAGTTGCAATCGTTGAATTTCTTGCAATTGGCCATAAGGACGATCCAAGTCGGCGCGGGGGAGACCGTCGATAAGTACGGAGGGGCGAATGGGGGAGTCAAGAAGGAGGTGAGGGGGGAGGGAAGAGTAATTGGGTCAAGATGTGCGCCAGGTACGAGAAGGAGGTGCAATGGTTCAACAAGAGTCCCGAGATCAAAGAGGTAAGCACGGTGGATTATACTTACTTTTTCAACATCGAGTGTTGGTGAAAGAGAGCAATTCGCTAAATTAACCGTCCCGTCGAGGTTTTACAGAGTTTGCAAGAGTTGGGCATCATGTACTTTGAGATCAAGCCGCCTCAACAGGCGAGCAATCCTTTTGCGGCGATGATGTCGGGCCTGTTGGGAGGAGGTGGGGGAGCCCCGGCTTTGGGACGGTGAGTGTGGTAAGAAAAGGCATGATAGTGTTGTCTAGAACACTGGGTTCTACGTGCTTGAGTGGGCGTGTAGTTGCGAATGTATAGCAAGACTCATGAAAGTTCTACGCGCCGTGGTGGAGAAACCGTTTCCCTCGTACGCCACCTTGCCAATTTTCCGCGTCCGTCGCCTCGACCTGAGTTCGATCAGAGGCACTTGAGGTTTTCCGATCCCGGCCTTTTTGCTAGGTAGGGTGGGCATTTTTCCGTCCTGGCACCAGACTGCGGAGATTCTCTTTGCAGATGGTTAGGCATGTCGAGCACCGTTCGCTGCGGTCCCCGCTCGCCTCCAAATCTGGTTAAAATTGCTATATTTCAAGTGTCGAAGAAGAAGAGACATGCGCAATGTACGAATAAAGCCGATTGAACCTCGAACGCTCTCTCAACCGGTTCAAACGATCTTGACCTGGTGCGTCGCGCTCTTCTCCTCGTCCTCGCCAAAAGTGTTGATGTCCCACGTGGGCTTGTACTTGTAAGGCACGTTGAAGCGACGGTACTTCTGCTCGCCGAGCTTGTTGATCTCCTCGATCTGTTCATCCGTCAAGGTGATTTGCTTGAGGTTGGATTGAATCCTCGAGGGGGTGACACTCTTGGGGAGGATACTGTGACCACCGACTTGACCCCAGGCGATCAAGACTTGGGCGGGGGTCGCACCGATCTTATCGGCGATGGCGATGATTTCGGGGTACTCGAACAACTTCTTCTCGCCGTAGTTGTTGTTGCTGTGAAACCCACCCCCACGACATCACCATCAGTTGAGGTGCCTCGAGAGGGGTGTACGGGGGTAAATAGAAACTCACCCAAGGGGACTGTAAGCGGTAAGGTGAATGTTGTGCTTCTTGTGGTGCTCGATGAGCTCGCGTTGCAACAAAAGAGGGTGTCGTTCGACCTGGTGAACGGCAGGGGTCACGCCCGTCTCCTTGGAGATGGTATCGATCGCCTTGATGGAAAAGTTGGAAACACCGATGGTCCTGACCTTGCCCGTATCGAGCAATTTGATCATCGCTTTCCACGTATCGACCAACGAAGTCTCGAGGTCGAGCTCGACTTCCTCCTTGCCGTTCTTGGCCTTGGGGAACAGGTTCGAGGTGTGGTCACCATTGGGTCCGGGGACGGCGGGCTCGAAAGCAATAGGCCAGTGGATGAGGTAGAGATCGAGGTATTCGAGGTCGAGTTCCTTGAGCGTGTTGTCAAGAGCGGCCTCGACTGCGCGGCACAAGGAACGGGCCGTACAGAGGTGAGCAAAACATCACGACCGGAGAAGTGGTCCAGCTTTTACAACTCACCGAGCTCGGGCTTGTGGCTCGAGTTCCAAAGCTTGGAGGTGATGAACAACTTCTCACGAGCGACTCCGGCACTCTTGATGCCGCGGGCAACCTCCTCCTCTGTGAGAATTGAAACAATCCGAGCACGTGGTCAGAAAAAGGCTGCGCTCAAACTTCCTCAGAGATGTGTGCAGCTCACGATTCTGGTAAATCTTGGCGAGATCCAAGTGACTTAAGAGGAGGAAGGAGAAATCGAACATGTCAGCCAGGTGAACGCGACCACCCGCACTGGATTTCGTCATCGACCGCGCGGAAAATCGATGTCGACTTACGTGTAACCAGCCTTGACGGCCTCCTCGACGGCGCGCTCGACTTCCCTAGGGGCCGATTGCCAAGTACCGAAACTAGAAGAAGACCCTCACATCTTGTTAGTAATCAAGTCCAAAAATCTCCGAGCCCGAGAGATGGAGCCGAGCACGCGGGGGCTCGGCACGAAGAAGATGGTCGGCTTCGACGTCAGAGCGCGTCAGAGCACGTCATGCGAAAGTGGGGAACTGGGTTGGAGAGCGCTTTCGGAGCTGGTCGGAAAGCACGAGGGGTGGTAGGAGGACCTCGAGAAGAGGTACATGGATCAATGTAGCTTACCCTACGAGAGGAATGGTGTGACCGGACGAAAGCGTGGCAGTAGCGACCATTTTTAAAGTGGGGTTTTCCTACGAACGCGAAAGAAAGAGAGGACGGGTCAACATCTGACAAGCCACATATCACGGTCAGTTTCGTACTCACTTGGGTGTGAAAGGTGAAAGGTGCGATGAGATAGCAAAGCGGTAGTGCGGAGTAGAAGCGAAAGGAGCGAAAAATAAGTGCCGAGCGGGGAAGAGCCAGTTGAGGCACATCGAGACAGATCGCGACGGCCCGGAGCAAGCGGCCGGGGAGCCCGGCCCGTCGTCCGGCGCCGCCGCGCTAACTCACGCTGTTCGGCTTGGGAACTCTGCGGTTCCTGCCACGACTGCCAGGTGTTCCAGTCCTCGGCAGCTTCCAACGGATGTTACAGGCAATTCGTTCGTATTTGCGCGGCTGTACAGAACATGTCACGGGTTGGTCTCTCTCCCTCCACGTTCTTGCTAATCAAGGACGCTGAGCCGGCGTCATTCGGATGAAAAACCAAAAACGTCTTTGCAGTAGTAGGCATTGCCCACATTACACACCCTCTTTACAAAATACCGTTACTATATCCTTGGAACAAACTTGAAGAACAAATTCTCAAAAAAAGTCAGCATTCCTTCCCAAGACATCCCCACCCTCTCGGAAAAAAACTCACTCATACAACCTCGTGAACGAGGACGTCGCAGCGTTGATGATGAGTTTCTCCGAATACTCGTCGATCTGCGCCGACGTCAGGGAAAGCATGAACCGCTCCCTCAATTGCTGCGAAGTCAACTCGCCATTGGCGAAACAATCGAGCTTCGAATCTGGAGATGATGTCAAGGTTCCGACCCCAAGTCAGTCCCCATCGAAGCCCTCTCGCGTTGACTTTGTTTTCCCGCATCAACCCACCTTTTTGCATCAATTCGACGAGGGTGATGATCCTCTCAGCGTGTTTACGAGCGGCTCTGAACGCGCGCTTGAAGAGGTGTTTGAACTCGAGAAACTTGTCACTTTCGTATCCACCTAGGATGTCGATGTAGTCCTGCGGCAGTTTGAAAGGCGCCATTTCAAAGCCGAGCGATCCGGGCGAGTTGGAGAGGAGGAAGCCGAAATCGATGTCTGCTCTCCAGGAAGCAGGTGTCAGCTCCGTCTCGTCGACGAGAGGCCACGCAAAGGCCGCGACTCACGGATCAGATGCCCATCACGATCAACGAGGATGTTGCCATTGTGTCGATCCTTGAGTTGGAGCAAATAACAAATGACCGAATACGACGCCAAACTCTTGACGAACGCGTCCTGGGCTTTACGGAACCGGCCCGAGCTCGGGGGACCATACGTCTGTGAATCGGATCGTACTCCCCACATATCAGTTTCTCCTTTCGTCGAGGTGCATGCTCAATCAATGAGAGGGTCGGACTACTCACATCGACGAAATGGTCGTATAACGTGAAGGAAGTGAACACCTGGGTCCCGTCGGCGGCCGTACGCGTGTACGCGTCTTTCTTGATCGAATGGATCGACACCGCATCGGTGATGGTCTCCATCAAACCCGACTGTTCCGAAGTTACCAAGATCCGGAAGCTGATCAAAGAGCGCAGCCGTTAGTCCCTACTGATGGCGACACCGTGCCCTGTTTGCAACTCACTAGCAAACCCAACTCGGACACTTCTCCTCTGCCCAAATCCTCCCAAACTCTTTGACCAACTGAATCGCAAACTGTTCCTGCCTCAAATCGGCGCCCGTCTTGACAATGACCGAAATGACGTTCCAATTCGCCAAATGACCATACGGGGAAGCCGCTCGAATCCTCGCCGTTTTATCCGCAAAGGATTCTCTGAAGACCGCACCGGACGGATCGTCTTTGTTGACTGCGCGCATGACGACGGCTCCGTCTTCGAGAGCACCACTTCCGGTCGAGGACACGGCGTGCGTCCAACCACTCCGAGCACGACCGTCTTCCCTCATTCGGGCCATGCGTTCTTCTTCCAACGCCATCATCTCACTCATGATGCGTTCGCGAATCATCGTCGCTTCCGCAGGGGCCAACAACCTTGCCCTCGTTTGGGGTGCACTAGGTGTCGGCGTCGTCGTCGGTCCATTCATCAAAGGAGGTTGACCTGCCACAGCCGAGGTCCCATCCGCCGCACTGGTCGTATCCAACGTCGTCGTCGTCCCCGACGAAGCTTGGCCTACTTGTCCTTCAGGGTTCGAAGCAGCCGCGGCACTCAACGCCGCACCCGTCGCAGCCACCTTGTTCGAACCAAAAGGTAAACGAGAAGCGACGGCTCCCAACCCCGCTCCGACGACGCCCCCTATCCCCGCGACGGTCGCAACGGGTAGACCGACCAATGTCCCTGCTGCTGCGGTACCTTTGGCGACGACGCCTCTTGTGGCTGCTTGGGAGGCATCAAGTTGGGCGAGCATGACTGCGGCCATACGCATGCGATCGGCGTAGTCGTCGATCGAGATCGCAGGTCGGGAACTGACGGATCTCCCACCGGGTTTGGACCAAGTCGGAACGGCGGGAGAAGACGAAGACGAAGCCGATAGAGGAGGCCTCGTATTGGATGGCGTCGTAGGCGTCAAGGGTCGATCGATCGGCCGGTCGATCATTCCCACTCCAAGGGTTTCCTCAGCCGGTGGACCCGTCGCAGTAGGTGTCGAAGCCCTTGCCCAAGCTTGTTCGTCGACCGAACGATTGTGGATCTCTTCTTCCTCCGCTTCGCGAGGTGAGAAAGGCGCGTCGTGGATCGAGACGTCGCCGTATAATTGTTCGACCAGATCCATTTCCCCTTCCGGCTCCTCGAACGTTTCGGCCTCGAGTCGCTGCTGCGATGTTGAACTCTTGCTCGTTTCGGAAGAAGCCAAGGAGATATCCCCTCTATTATCCGGCACCCTCGGCACCTTGGACGCAGTCGCTCGTGATGGGCTCAAGGCTGGGACTTCTTTGCTCGACGACGCCAGAAGGGAAGGTGAGCTCGCGCCCGCACTCGAGAACCTCTGCCTCTCCAAAGCATGATCGAAACTCCCCCTCGAGACCATGATCGAGTTCTTCCTCGCGCCCGACAAATCGCTCGTCGATGATCCGGCAGCACCCACAAGTCCGTGCCCATTCCCCTTCACCGCTCCACCACCAGCCGACGACGACCTGCCCTCCCTTTCCTGCAAGGCCCTTCGCAAGTCCTCCGCGTTCTGCCGTCGATCAGGATCGAAATCCAGATCAGTCTCGAGCACTTCAACATGAATGACGAAAGGTGCTCGATCGGCCGAGTTGAGTACGACCGATTCCGAAGGGGAGATGCGAACGATTCGTGCTTGAGGTTTGAAGTGGATGCGTTTTTGAGCTTTGTCGGATGAGGGGGGAGCTATGGGGTGGTAGTTGCGACTTGGCATACCGAGGGAACAGCCTCGTGGTAGGCCGTGGTTGAGGACGGTCAGTTCGGCGCGAAGGGATGAAAGTCGAGCTGGTTTCGGAACGAGGACCAGTCGGGTGGAGATGTCCTGCAAGGACCGTAGTAGATCCAATTGTGACCGACAGGCTTGCAATAGCAATAGCTTGGACAGGAAGGCCGGAGGCAGGCCATAGCCTGGTGTTGTCACTCCACTGAGAAACGAGCTCGAAGGGTTGTTGATGAAGCCCGGAGAGGGTACGTGGAGTGAAGGGACAGAGGAGGACGAGAAGGCGTGGGGATGGAACGCGGACTGACGCCGTCGACCGAGCAAAGGACTGGCCGTGGCCGGGTCGTTGGCCCATCCCGACTTCTTGGTGGTGACCGTCGTCAGCGCACGTCCTACAGTCGTCGTCGACCGTGATCGATCCCCGGCTGGGCCCGAAGTCGATAAAGACGTGGTCGTCGTCGGCAGGAACGTATGTGATTTCGATTGTGGATGCGAGGCTAGCGAGCTCAGGAAAGCTGAGGCGCTGCTCGCGGAGGAAGCCTCGATGGGTGCCCCAGGTACATAGCTTGGTTGGCGTTTCCCCGACGACGGCAACTTGCTCGTACTGGCGCGCCGTGGCGAGTCGCCAAGAAGAGTCGGCAGTCCATTCTTTCTCGAGACCCCGTTCGACGTTGCTGGTGGCTTCGATTTCGCGCCTGGGGCTGTAGACCTTGCTGTCTTGGCCAACGGAAGATCCTCGTCACTCGCACTATTATCCTCGGCGTCATTACCAGCATCCGAATCGGACTTGGTGATCTGATCGACTCTACGCGCCTGCTCGACGGCGACTTTGCCCGTCGTACTCGCCAATCTTGGCATCGCAATCGACGCGGCCAAGATACCCAACCCGACAAACATCGCCGTCGGAGCATTCAGTTTGGCCAGTGGGAGACCCGTATCGACGGGGTCGGCTTTGGAAGGGGGTTTGACGGCCGAGACGTCGCTAACCATCGGTTCTGGGGTCATGGGGGGAGGTGTCGGAGGGTCGGTGAAGATGATGGCTTGCACGCGATTGTACACGCGACGGCAGACGGCGAATTGTTCCGACTTGGGCATCGAGGAGAGATCTGAAAGCGAGGATTGGAGGTACCACAGCGTCTGTGGGTGGGTGTGGGTGTCGCCTGGAGGTTAGCAAGATCTTCCCCCGAGAAAGATCTGGTACAGACTGACGATGACGGCAATGTGGGCGTCGCTTTCACATCGTTCGAGGATAAAGTTCTCCAACGCGACCGAAGGTGTAGGCCGTGTGATGACGAGGTAACTAAGGGGGGAGCGGTGGGGGGTTAGGAGTCGGATTTGGCAGCCCGAATTTGGTAGCTCTCGACAGAGTGAGGCTCGGGGCACTGACCACAGCTGGGGCCAATAGAACTCGACGTCGTCTGCGGCGAAACCTCTGAGCCGATTGACGAGGTAATGTGTGATACCGATCGAATGCGGATAGTTCTTGAGGCTGTGGAATGGGATAAGGCGACCATCGCATCAGCTCGACGTGCCGCCGGGAGAGGAGAGGCGAGGCCGGTTCGGGTCCGGTCGCGTTGCTGCATTCGATGTGAGGCTTGGTTGGCGAGCACTAGCCTCCGAGCGATGGTATTGCATGGCCCGGTCATGTTCAGGCCATAATGGCATGTCCGGAGCTCGGGAATCGGGAATCGGGAATCGGGAATCGTGGGCGGCGAGGTCATGTTGGCTCGGAGGCGACGCGTAGCGCATCGTGTCACCCGAGCCGACCACTCTCGGAATGCCGATCGTTTCGAGCGACGTGGATCGCGTCGGACTGCCTCAACGCCAACAGCAAGTAGACGCGTAGGGTACTTACTAGGCGACACACAAGTGCACATCAAAGAAATCGCTCTCAAACAGTCTCAGCAGCAACGCCGAGCCACCGCCGCCGCTGCTCGGCTGCTCCATCGCGGTCCCTCCACGGCGACGAGGCGCAAGTCCAAGTCCGAGACCGTTCGAAGGCGTCAAAGGGGCGTGTTTTGGGGTCGGAATCGATGGCAAGTGTTGACCGGGTGCTGACTGCGCGTACTGCGCTCGTGTCTCGTGTGTGGTCGACCAGGCGCGGAGGAGACGAAGCAACTCGGCGCCGGGACACGACGACGGGAATCCGCTCCTCGGCGATGCGATGAGAATGCAGAGCGAGGCAGAGCCTGGCAGAGCGCTGTTAGAGCGCTATTAGTCTCGCGGAAAGCCAAGCCCTGGCGTTTTGGATTGGGCCGTCGCGTGCCATCGCGTCCCGGCGGCGGTTAACTTAAGATCGCGGGTATTTCTTCGGCGAGCATGATTTTGCAAAAAAAAAAAAAAGCGGAAAAAGTCACTGCAGGCCGACAGGTTTTCAAATCTCATTCCACACGCCCCATCTACCACCTCCAATCCCCAACCCCAACGTTGATCAACGGTCTTCCTCCGTTGCCAACTCCAACATCCCCCTCCGTCAACCCCCGAATACTCTTCCTCCACTGGTCCTTCTTCCTCTGTCTCCTCTTTTCCTCCTCCGTAATTCCCTCGGCGAGCAAGACGTGTAGTTTGGCAGAGTTGTGGTGTTTGGTGCCGAAACGTCCTCGGCCTTTGATGTCGACGCGTTTGAGGGAGGGGCCTTTGGACGTCCAGGATTGCGCTGGGAGAAGGTGATCACAGTTACGTTCGGTCTCAAATCTTGCTCACCCTCGGATCTGAATTCGAACCCGACTTACCAACGACGAGTTGATCCCGGCTGAGTCCTTTGGCCATCGCATGGTCCCTAGCGAGCGCCAACATGGACAACAACCTCGGCGCTTGTTTCTTCGGTGACATCTGCCAGCCAAGGAGACATTCAGACCATTAGCACGAAAAGGTGTTCTTAGTCTAACCGTGGAAGGACACGCACCTGCAGTTGCAGAATGGCTTCATCGGCGCCTCGTCCGGCGATCAAGCGACTGAGGTCGTTGAGCTTGCGTTTCGACGTCTTGAAATTCGCCGTACTCGATTTGTGCTGTACACCATATAGCTAGCCTCAGTCTCATCCTGACCCCCGCCACCCACATGACCAATAACCGCTCAACAGCAACTCACATAAGTCGCCCTACCAACCTGCCCTCTGGCCATTTTAACGCTCTCAACGACTTCCTCCTCCTCCGCGACCGCATCGAACAAACCCTTCGGCGCCGAGCTCTTCAACGCGACTTCCTTGTCCAAAGCTTTGGCCGTGTTGATGGATTGCGCTTCGGAGACGTCCTTCTCGGATTGACGACGGCGCGAGAGGAGGTTCTTGAACGCTGCGACGGAGACGATCGAACGACGTGGGGGCGTCGATTCAAGGTAGGTGGTCGGGTAGCGAGGGGTCGGAGATGGGAGATGGAATGGTCGTGTAGGGGGTTGGGGCCTGATTCGTCGTGTGAGGGTCGCGACGAACGAGGTCGACGGTCGAGGGGCGACCATCGTGAACGGGGAACAGGAACAACGGTCCAACCGGAGGCCCGCGACTTGTAGATGGAGGTTGAGGGGTGGACCACCTATGACAATCACCGTGAATCGAAAGGTCCCTGTCACAAGACGGACAGTATTTGCGGGGGGAAAGAGAGTTGGTCGTCGCGAGCGATGGCGCACACACGACTCACTGATGCAATGTCGAACTGGATCGCGAAGCGCCAAAATTAAGCTTAAGCTCGGACCATCTCGCGCGTCGGGCTTGAGCGTCCTCATTCGAATTTGCCTTGTTAGCCTCAGGGTTCTGTAAATAAGCTTGACCAGCTGTAAAGAACATGCCTCAGTTCAATCATATTTCTCCGGGATGTACGTTCGCCTCTGCTCCATAGCTTATTCTGTCGGTCAGGAAACAACTGCCTTTTCACACCTTCATTGAATCAGGTTTCTTCGGGGGTTTTTTTTTGAGCACAGCAAGTTCACATTGTGTCTACCAGATACCTAGTCAGAGAAAAGGCCCCACAGTGAGCGTTGGCCCCGCGCGCCCCTTTCCTCGGGTGGGCACCGGGCCCGTCCGGAAACGAAAGATCCACAAGTACAACCTTGTCCAGGCACCTTCCATGCCCTACCAAAAAAAGCTCAATTTCGTTTCGCCAATCTGATCCAAACAAGGTGTCCCAACCCTACGGTGGGATCTACCGGCACGGCACCCAACCCCTGGAGACCAAAAAAAAAAAGAGCTTTCAGCCGCCTATTATGTTTGAGCGAAGTAACGATCGATGATGACAGCGCAGGGATGTGGTGGGTTCTGATTCGGCGACGTTTACCCCGGAGATTTTGAACCGTTTTAAACCTCTTGGAAATATGCTTGATCCCCCGTCGAGCCTGCTCGCACGGTCGGACAAAGCCCTGCTGGACTTTTTTTCAGGGGGCAACACTGGGGATCTACACGGGTGGCAGGGTCAAGGGAATGACCCTCTAACTCCCACGCGCCAGTCTTGGTCTCGACGTTGGCGTCGGAGATCTCGGCTTCCAGTACGGTTAATCCTCGGACTCTGTTCTACCCAAACAATGAGAAAACAAAGAAGAGGACCATCGTCGGAGTCGCTGTGCAACGCGGCCTGATACGTGCACGTGAGAAAAAGCGAAAAGAGCAAACACAGCGAACGCCCACACATCCCCACTTCCTCTCCATCATCCCCGTCCTCAAGTCTGACCTGTCCCGCCGCATTGCCAGTTGAAGCAGCTGTTGGCGGCGGGTGACCATGCATGTTAGCAGCAGCTCGCAACTTGACGTTCGAGCAGACGGAACTACTAGTAGGCAGTGATACCTGGTGTGCATAAAACTCACTTTTTGTGGACAAAGTTGTTGATTCATCATTGATACCGGTCATGACGTCTTGCACTGCCGATTGGCGGACAAGGAAACCCCCTGTAACGCCAAATCCCGAGGTGGAGGCAAAGGTGGAGGTGGATGACGTAAGCAAGAGGTTGACGGTGCGGTGACGGGGAGGTTGACGATCAAGATCAAGGTCAAAAACGAGCAGCATGAAATGCGGTTAAGTCAAAGGTGGAGGTGCAATGGGGAGGTACAATGGGGAGAAACAGACGTAGAGGTGAAGGCAAAGGATGAAGGTGGAGGTGATTCGAGGTGGAAGCGAATGTGATGGTGATGGGGAAGGGTGAAGGGTGAAGGTGAAGACGAGAATCGATGTAGAGGTGAAGATGGTGTGATATGAAGGTAGATGAAGATGAACGGGCATGCAAAGGTGAAGGTCAGAGCAAGGTCAGCCCAAGTCTGTCGTACGAGGTCGTGTCCGGCCGATGATGGCAGCTGCGGTGGCGGTGGGGGTGCATGCTCGGAGGCGGCCACAAGCGGGACTGACCCGATACAATGATAATCAACAACTTCTCCCAAACTTTTTACCTCGCAAGACGACCAGGACTGCCGTGGGCCCCTCTTCGATCGAGAGCGAGATCGGAGGCTGATGACGATCCGAGTCAAGATGAGGAGGGCAGTGCCCAAGTCAGCGACGGTGGTACATACTTGCAACGAGTGGGGGGGGGAGGGAACTCACGGTGGCTGATGGTACACTACTGCCGACTTCCACCACCTACCGCCTCGGTGCTGCGTCGATGCGCTAGTCGGTTTCGACCCAGTGGTGGAGGAGCCATGTGAGAGGTACTCATCAACGAAGAAGAAGGAAGGAGAGAGAGAGAGGTGAGAGGGGGGTGGCGCTTTTATACTCGCCCCGAGGCCAGGCTTGGCGCTTATCAAGCGACTCGAGGTCAAGTTCTTGCTTCATCCGTGCCAATGACGCTAGCCCGCGCCGCCGCCGCTCGGCATCGCAGCTCCCTCGGCGCTGCGATCTTCCGAAAAAGGAGACCCCTCGGTCACCCGAGGTCACCAAGTCGACCTGATTTGTAGCAGCACCAATGAAAAAAGCAGTGTTTTTGATGGTTGTAACATGAGGCTCATATTTTCACGCATCTGCTCGTACTACTCTGAGTCCGAACGACCCATTACTCGTGTTGCCCTTCCATGGTTCGGAGTCATTTTGAGGGATCAGAAGATCGAGCTCATGAGCCAGGAGCGCGCCGGTCCCCGTCAAGCGCCTTCGCCTCGCACCACGTCGCACCATCATCAATTTCACCCGCGAAGATGGCGACCCCAGTGCCACGAACGGAGCATGCCGCCATGGCAGACGCTCCGTTTGCCGGCTCCGATCGAAAGCCGAGCCTGCACACGCTGCAGCCGCTCGTGCGCCTCCTTGTGATCTTGCACAGGGAGATCGAGTCCATTCTCGGCGAGGCCCTAGGGCATACCCTGACCAAGCTCACCGATGATCAGTGGAGATTCCTAGGCGACAACAAGAACGCGTGGCGGACCTTGCTCTTTGCCCTCCTCTACCTCTTGCGAGAAGACGGCGGCAAGGCCACGCCCGGCAAGACCTTGACGAAATTCGAGGATCGGCTCACCTCGGATGCGCCCGAGGGGTCGCAACGACGTGCTCAAGAATACGAGCATTTTCGTCGCGTATCGGGGGGGCAAGACTCGATCGGATTTTCCGGTGTAAGTGACGTATGGTTCGAGACACCAGCGACGAAACGAGCACGGGGCTGACGGCTCGTTGGTGGCACGCTGGTACGGGTTCCCTGAATCGGTCCTCGCACAGGCGTGGGTTACCTTGATCTACGCCGTTGAGGCAACCAAACGCAATCGCCCTCCGATCCCCCTGATCCCCTACACCCCCAACTGGTGGGACGACCGTGCGATGAGGATCGTCGAGGCGCTTTTTGGATGGAAAGACCGAGTCTACCAAATCGTCGCGGCCTTTGTCGACAGTCGCTTCGTCTTCACCTCGAATACACCCCCCCAGGACGACGATGCGGACGACGCAAAGTACTCGCCACCCGCGAAAAAGGGCAAGGATATGGGCTCGTCACTCAAGTCCAGCGTCAAGAAGGCCGTTGTTGAGGCTGTCTACGAAGCCAGACTCGCCGACTCGCCCGACGACCACGACGTTCGACTCCTTTCCGACCTGACCACAAAGATCGCGAGTCTACACGACAAGGCCTCAAATCAGGTACAAAAGGCGGTAAACCTGTATGATCTAGCGTCGGTGGCAACGTCTACGTTCCAAGATGCCGTGCACATCATCCGCCACAACTCGCCGCGGATGCTCACACCCGACGAGCGCTCCCGTCTTGCCGAGCAGACGATCTGCGACTGGATCCGAGGGGTATCACACCGCCCTCATTGTCTCTTCCCGGCCCTCCACGCGCTCAAGGTTGCGAGCGGGCACACCCGAGGCCTTGGATTGGTGAGTGGTGGCACCGCCGGCTCTCACCGCGTTTCAACGAGTCGACCCGGCCGTCAGCGGGCCGACGCGCTCCAATGCGAGTGCAGTTGCACTGATCCGATTGTTCAACCATCCGACCTCTTTGCACAGAATTTGGGGGGCGAGTTCATTACCATGACCCCACGACGCACGTCTATACTCATCTACAAAGGTGAAGACGTGGCCAAGACCTTGCTCGAATGGCTACGATGCGTGTGGGTGCCTTGGCGATCGCACGTCTCGAGCAACCCCGTGGACCACGTCGCAACCGCGCTACTCGCGCAGATCGAGCCCCCTCTCTCCTCCGCTTACTCCTTTGTCGAGGTCTCGACAAAGGAGTGGGCGTCAAAGCGAGAATGGATCGAGCGCTGGGAGGTGCTGCGCCGTCACCTCAATCAGCAGCTCGGGGAAGCGACCCCTCGTGCCACCACCGCCCCGGCCAACGTGGCACCGGCTCTCGCTACCGCCTCATCATCCACGGCCAATCTCGAAGAGCCCTCCCCCGAAACGACGCTCGATCCTCCCCCTTCCAAGCGCGCCAAGAAGGCGGCCCCCCCCAGCCGTCGGCATGACTCGGGTCGGATCGACAGCCGATTCGACCATCTCGGACCCCTCGTCGCAAAGGTTCTTTTCAACGTCGAGTGCTTTGGAGCGAATGGCTTTGTGCCTCACGGAGAATGGCGATCGGATGGACAAACGGTCCGGCTTCTAGGGTACAACGTCGCCAAGGCGACCCCTAACAAGTTGTCCCTGCTCCTCCCACTTTGCGCCGACACCCCTGCCCCGGCAGCCACGCGTGACCCGCAGTCGATCGCGGAGACGTTCGAGCACGTGACCAGTAGCGGAACCGTGGCGTTCGACCCGACCTACGATTGTATCGCACGGTCGTCGCTCCTCGCCACTCCCAACGAGCTCGTCAAGTGGGTTTCCGCCTCGACTCTGGTCCCATTACCGACAGTACGAGGCGGTATGCCGCGCCTCGAGAGGGTCGAGAATGCCGGCGAGAAGGTCCTCAAACTTCTCTACAGCCACGGCAAGGGTGAGGTGCGTATTCGCTGCGCGGGCGCGGGGGCCGCCCGTCTCCGGGCCGGGGGGAATGGATCCAGTATCATCCAGCTGACGAACCGTGTTCGCCTTCACTTCCATCGCCGGAGCAGGACTGGGCTGGTCCAG